CATTGCTTCAATCAATTTCATGTGCCATGGGCGCAGTTTGTTTAATTAACCAGGGCCTGCAATTTCCACAAAGGCTTTTGGCGGTTTTCATTTCGCCAGTTTTCATTGCTAGTGCTGTCGAGTGTGACTTCTCAAGCGTGTGACCGGAGGTGAAATTTTTATTTCTGATTTTTGGCATTAGACCCGCGTACCACTGCCTCAAAATGCCTTTAAAAAGAGCCGGGCTAGCTGACTGGCTGGAAGGCTTGCGATGGCGATAAATGTGCGCAGATACGTTACAGACCGCGTCGCGTCGTCTGGCCGCTTTAAATGGACAACTGGGAGTGGGTCACAGCTGCAGCTGTGGATTCGCGGCGGTGCAGCCTGCGGCTCACCGAGGCAAACGGAGCGATTATAGGGACCCAGACTTGGGAATAAGATTTCCACAAAAACCAGTTCGTCTCACCGCCGACATCCCAGCCAAGCTAAATTACGATTTGGCGGCGTTTTCGATTCTTTCTTCTCGGAGCGTAAATATTTCAATTTATTTGTTGGACATGCGTCTTCAGCATCGTATCGTTTTTCGAACACTTTCTTTATAATTCGTACCCCGACCTGGCGGCAGATGTATCTACATGTGTCGTGTCTTGACCAGAAACCCCAATATCTTGGCTACGGTCTTGGACTTGGACTCGCAAACACGCAAAGCCGGGCCAAAATGTGTGTCAATGGCCTTTGGGGCCCTTCTTTTTATTATTTCGGGGGCGGGGGCACAAAGTCTGGGGCGTGTCTCATGCGGATTTTCACTAAAATGAAAATTAAGAGTGAAAACGGTTTTGGTTTCTGTATTTCTCTCTTTTTTTTTTTTTGCAGCAAACAAAGCGAAAGAGGTGTGTACGCCGATTCCAACTGCAGGCCATGCATGACCCGCGCGTATTAGTGTCCCATCCTCTGGCCGTCCGATTGTCATGCTAAATGGGTGAAGTGAAACTACGACTGCGATTTCAGACTGCCAGACTGGGAGCATTGGCCAACTCCCCTAAAGAGCAATGCCTGTTTTCAGCTTTTTCTTCTCCTACTGTCAACTGTCAAACGAAATTTACACGTTTTCCTTTCAGCTGCACCTCACGAAATAGTCGGGGCCACCAAGTCGAGACTTGGACAAAGAAATGGGGAGTGCGTGAGTCTCTTTTTACTGATTGATTGTTTGGTAAAGTTTGCATGTTAATTGCCTTTATGGCGGCCACAAAGCCCACTTAAAAGTCTAAAACCCCATTACCGAGTTCATTGGAATTTTCCTTTTTTATCAGTCGTCTCGCTGTCGCATTTTCTACAAATTAACATTGCTAGCATATGACTCTGACCCTAGGGAAGACAATTAAAATGAAACAAAGACTGTCTGCAACTAACATTCAGACTTAGAAATTGCTGGACAAGATAATAGGCTACTCATATTAAAAGTTTTCCTTTTTTGAAACTTTGGGTAATCAGCTTTTTAGTAGCTAAACATATTTCAAAAACTAATGGACTTTAACGATATATAATAACTGTCCGATAGCTATACTTCGTCATTAAAAATAAGTTTAAAAAGGTTAAGCAATCGCATCCTCTGGTAGCGGAACGGAAATGGCCGAGGCTGCCCCAACAATTCAATTAAGCCTGCTCCTCTTGCACATCTAAACGATCGGCGGACCCAATCGCGGAGGTGACTTGGCTCCTCTACCTGCTAGCCCAGCTGGATGGTTGATGAGAATTGAAAACAAAACAAAACAAACAGAGCTTAGACAACACACAACAATGCGGTCGTTGGACGCGCAGGCGCGCAGCGGGGGCGCTTAATATGCAGCGAGCGTAGCAGGCAAGTAAGTCGGGTGAGCAAGCCGGAGATATATACCCATATCCATATACCATATAGATATAGCCAGCAGCAGCTGGCGTCTTTCGTTCTTGCTGTCGCTCAACTGATCAACTGGTTTAACAATAAAAACAAAGCTCTGGCGGCGGCGTTGGCGTTACTTTAACGTTTAACAGAAACGAAAAAGTTGCCGTCGTTATTTTATGTTGCTTCTCTCACACTTTGCCATCGATTGTCGGGGCTTGGCTTTCTTTGAAGAAAAAAAATTACAAAAATAAAAAACAATCTCACATAGAAACTATAAAAAATGGTAATTTGTACGCTTTGCCTTTTTTTCCGCTTCTTGCTCAATCACACGCGCTTCTAATGTCTGGATACGAAACATAAGCTCGTTCAGCATACTGCCGCAAACGGATGATGATGGTGGCATATAAAAAGCTACACGAGTTTTTCAATTGACTTGGAAAGTGGCAAACAACTGGCAGCATGCATCAATTGGGGCGGACACCAGCGAAAAGTGGGCGTGATGGGCAACAACAATGGCCCACTGTTTTTGGCTCTCGGCTTTGCCACACTTTTGATGAATTAGCCGTTTTTTCCATCGAGTGACGGGGCTTGGAAAATTGAGTTGCAGCTGCAGCACTTGATGGAAAACGCTAGCAGGGGGCCGAGGAAGTTCATTGAGCCGGATCATACCCAGCTGAGACTCATTAAAACACCACTTGAACCGCGCTTCGTGTTATACCGCCTCTAAGTGCAGGTCAATAAGTGGAGTTGTTGTCTGATTTTCGACTCCAAACCAATTGATGCTTTTGTAGGATGCAATTGGAGAGAAGTGGGATAGAGAGTTTGATTGATGGGGCTTGTAATGCGGGGTAATTGATTTAATTACAAAAAAAAAGTACTTCCCATACCGGGAATCGAACCCGGGCCTTCTGGGTGAAAGCCAGATATCCTAGCCACTAGACCATATGGGATTGCCATATTCCCCTTGAATAATGATGCTGGCCTCCATGTACTTGCAAATAAGAATTTTACTAGGAATTCTATGCCTTGTTAAATATATACTGTGTGAGATGTCCTACGGAGAAGACTTAGTACATGGTTTGGTCATCGTTCAAACAAGTCCCATATTGTCTAGTGGTTAGGATATCCGGCTCTCACCCGGAAGGCCCGGGTTCGATTCCCGGTATGGGAAATTTTTTTGCTTTTCTTTTTTTAACAACACTTCTTTATTTTAAACAGTTTTGACTAGTTTTTAGAAATAAAGGAATAATTTGAGTATGTAGCAACGCACAGTCGTCAGCGTAGAGAAGGGAGCAGATTGATTATTTTTATTTTTTACATCTACCAAACGTTGAGTTACATATAAATGTCTTTAATAAGAATTATAACCAACACCGTCAATGCAAATCTGATTGTAACAATAGCTGTCGATAATAACTGCATTTATTATAGTTTTTGGGGTTTTCTTGTATGCTTTATTTCTTCTTCGCGATTGCCTAGCGCCACCCAATTGATGCCAATCGGACACGCTACGAAATAATTCGAGATTTATTGTTAGGGGGAAAGATATGCCGTTGCTTTTCGTTGGCCCAAGTTGTCAATTGTTGGTGTTTGTGCTGTTAAAGAAAAAAACAAAACCAATGAGGAAAAAAACGGTTTTGTTAACGACTGGCAAAAGCTCAAAGAGCCAGAGTACTTAACTTTTGTTAACCCGAAAATTAGGCATGCCCAGCATTGCAACATATAGTAGAAACAACAACAACAACGACAATAGCCTGCCGCAAAACGTGTGGCAAGCGAATGGCAACAACAATAAAATAGACACAATGCCTTGACTGAGTTTTTAACGTTTTTTTTTTCGATTTTTATTTTTTTCTGTAGATACGGAAAATTGCTTTTTCATTGTTGCAGAAACCAATGTTTGCTTGTTGTTGCTGTTGTTATTTACAAGCTGACTTGGCAAACGGAAAATCAATTTTTAATTGCAACAAATTTGAGAGAGCTGCGGTACAGGCAAATTGCGAGCTAGCCAAAAAAGGCAAATTATTTTTTAACGTTAACGAAAACAATTGATATTTGAGTCAGAAACGGGTTTAACGGTATCGAGCGGCAGCTGCATTATCTTTTGAGGAAACGCGCCCCAACATGTCAAAAGGGGACAGCAACAATATGTCAAAATCTCGATGGGCAGAGCAATGAACCGTTGTAATTAGCATACGACCGTGTGCGTGCGTGCAACAGAGAGGACAATAGAGGCACTTTCGATTATTGAACTTGTCAAATACCGCATTTGTTTGCCTGCTTGTGTATTCTGTGCTAATTTTGTTTATTTATTTGTAGCTTACCTCTTTTGGCGTTGTTTTAGTTTTTAGCTGGAAATCTTCTCCTTCCTGTGGTGCCAAACCGAAAAACAAGCGAATAATTAATTTCATTAGAAACATCTAACAAATGCGAATCGAACACGATATAGTTAAGCTTAAAATAAGTGTGTGTAAACAAGATAACCAACACCGCGTAGGTAAGAGAGGGGATAAAAAATAGAGAGAGAGAGGAGAGAGAGCGCGACGCAAGTTGTTGACGGAAACTCCTGTAGCAGCAACAACAACAACAATTACACGGCGACAATTACAGCGCTTTATTGATTTTTTACAAAACAACTACTCGTTCGCGAAGCGTGCCATTTCCATCTGAAATTTGCTTTTCAGTTTATTTTGCAATTATTTTATACACAGAAATACAAAGCACAAAAGAATTTTGCACACACCAGCACAAGCTCGCACACCCACACACACTCGCGCTGAGACTTCAATGTCAACTTCACTTGTGCTTTTTTTTATTTCTCGCCTTCTTGCTTTTTATTTTTTTTATATTTAGCTGGTTAAATGACCGCGCTTAAATTACCCGTTGATCTGCACAAATTCACGCGCGTTCAGGCCGAAGAACACAAAATTCACCCGCTGCTTCACTTTGGGCCAAGCGCGCTTTTTCCACAGCTGTTTACCTTAAACGATAAATCGATAGAGTCAACTGCCATTACCCAGTCTATCGATTAAACCCAGGGAGGAGTGCGACTAGTTCCGTCAAACGAACTGGTTCTTTTTTCGTAGTGACGCCGATACTTGAATCAGAAAAATGTTTAGAGGTATAGCGAAAGGAAAAATAGTTTTAATCAATTATTTATCCAGAATAGTGAATAATATTTAAAAATTATGAAAATAATAATACTGTCGTCTATAATTAATTAAGAAAGAGAACTGGAGTAATTTTAATATGATATATACTGAAACTAGGAGTCTTATATTTTCCAAAAGATGAGAAACTGGACATCAGCATTTGATACGCATTTCTAATGAAATCCTTTCATGAAAGACAAAAGCAGTAAAAATCAAATAATATTTTACTTAAAATATCGATAGAAACTTGGCAGATATCTTTACATGTTTCCCCTGAAGCTTTTATTTACATGTAAATTTGCAGTACATTTTACTCGTAACAGTTTAGCCTGACAGTTAATTTTAAATCAAAGTTGTAGGCAAAATGTTATTCAGCCTTCTTGACTGAACAATTAATTCAATACCTTGCTTTATATTTATCTCTATTTTATTAATCCAATTTATTATGGGACTCAACCCGAGTTCCTGTACCTTCGCCGGAAACAGTGACTCACATTGGGTTTCACACCCTGACACCGGTTATTCCAAGCCACCCAGGCAGAGAATCCTTGTTGTTTTCTAATGTATTTTGCACAGGCTATAGAATACCTGATGTCGTCACTCAAAAGCAGTCTGCAAGGTAATCGGCAGAGGTCGTTGGAAGGACGACCATCCGCTGGTTTGCACCAATAGCGATCGTTGATCTGGAATAGTCCCCAATCCACGGAACCATCCACGTTGGAGGGATTGATGGCCTTCGTATTGAAAGAACTCTCACCTTCGACTAGACATAGCCAATCCGGGAGCTCGTTGTAGGGCATTCCATAACGATAGAGCTGCCGGGCTAGGCTGCATCTGCCTACCTGACGTCCACTAGCCAGTGATAAAGATAAGAGAACGAGCAGCCAAAGAGGACACATCTTCGGAAACAATGCGCGGGTCTAATTGGGACTCAACGCTTTTATAGCTACACAGCATGCGCGGGATTTTGGCTTGGGCCAATCTAATTTTTACAAGCACTCATTTGGACAGCTCTGAAGTGTGGCCCACACTTGAGCATAAATTATGAACACTGGCCGACAAACTTCAGAATGCTCTCTGCTTTAATGTGCTAATTCTTTTAGACAAAAATCAAATGTTTAACATATTAACATTTGAATCAAATGAGTAATGGCACTTGTTTTGCGAAATTCACAAAAGATCAGACAACTTAATTGATTCTTAATGAAAAGAAATATAAGCCAGTATAATAGGACGTTTTCTGCAAAGTTATCATTTTTCTTGGGATACAAGGATCTATCAAAGTTTCAAAGTTCAATATACTATATGCATATTAAAATCAAGGAAAAATGTCGATGTCTTTTCATTGAAATAAATTTATGTAGAACACCTAAAATGTTAAAAAAATTTATGTTTTTAAATTTTGATACCGCAGTTTTGCGGAACAGTGTCAAACCCGTAACAGACTTTCGATTCTCGAGCATGGAACACGCCGATCAGGCCAGTTTCGTTAATATATGGAGTGGGAATGGCTCGCCATTTAAGCGAAGCATCTGCCTGGCCCCAGTTTCACTTTCAATGGGTTCTTTTGTGCGGTGCTCAGGTATTATATAACCATATTGACAGCTGGAGGGGCTGGAGCACTTGAGATCGTGTGCGCCAACAATGGAACAATCAACCGAGAGCAAAGTCGTTCAACTTTTGGACAACTCGTTTTTTATTGTCAAAAAGTACGTAGAAAAATATGCAACAAAATCGATATAAAAAACTAAATATTTTAATATCTAATGAATCTCCTGCAGTTCCTGAGCTGGTGGTTGCTTAATCTCTTGTTCCGTTGGCGGTTGATAACCCTGTTTTGGCAAGAACTGCCGCTTTCTGGAGGTGGGACGCACCACGATGTGTGCTACGCAGGTGCAAATGGCGGCGATGGCAAAGTATTTGAAACTTTCACGTCCTCCCAGGCTATTGAACATCAGTCCCCCGATCAGTGATCCTATAGAGAACCCAAGTCCATCATCCATTCCAGCCATCAATCCTTGAACTGTGGCCGAAGTTCCTGGAGGAGCCACCGCAGAGGCATACGCCACGATGCAGGTATAACACAAAGCATAGGTTATGCCCTGGAAAAAGAGCTCAACGCCCACCAGATACCAGGGATTGGGAATCCAGGCGATCAGTGACAGTCGAACAGCGTAGAAGAAAAAGCACATGCTCATACAGTGAACATAGCCTAGTTTCTTGATAATTTTGCCGCTGTAGAAGAAGAATGGCACCTCACCCGCCAGGCACTCGGCGGCCACCACCAGACCCTCGATCAGCTTGATCTGGTGCATATAGCCAGTTGCTTCAGCAACCTGTTCCAAGTGCCAGAACATGAAGTAGATGATAAAGGAGTCGATGATGCCAGCCATGGTGGCGAAAAATAGGAAGACCAAGATAGGTGGCTGACGAACCAGCTGCCAAACATCACTCCAAATGGACTCGGATCCTCCCAGCTTCGGCAACTTCAGCTTAGACACACTGAACAAATCCAGCAAACTGAACACGCACATGATGATCAAAGCGGGGGCTAGACTTTTGACTGCATCCGAGGTCCACCAGTTGACCACGACTCCACTTAACAAGGCTGTGGCTCCAAATCCAATGGTGCCCCACACCCGTTGCGCTCCGTACTTTCCCTCTTCCTCCTCGCCCAGAAGATCAAAGCAACAGGCATCGGATATGGAATTGGTCACGTTAAAGCCAACAATTCCTATGCAGAGTAGGCACACAAATAGCCAAAACTTTCCAGCTCCATAGATGCAGCTAGACACATGTCGCACTTCGCAAGACGCATTAGTCCATTCGCTAGTTGCAGGTTGAGTGAGGCAGATGTGATGACTCTCGTTGCCATGTTGCAGATTCTGACTGAGATTTAGGCCAGCCTCGTGGGCCACTATTAAAACGGAAACATCATCCTTTCCCGCAATACATGCCGCCTGGTGAGTCGTTTGACAAAGTGCTGGAGAGGAGTAGATGTTAGAACTACACTCGTGTAGATTCCCTAGCACCGTAATATTCCATTGGGCACTGCCCTCCTCCAACGGGATGAAATGTGAATTATCAGGAAGGAAGTAAAATCCAGCAAAGGCAAGTGTCATAATAAGGATAAGAGAGATGAAAATGAACTTGCGCAGGCTCTGTAAGAAATATAAAATGTGTTTTATTTTAAGGATATACACAGTAACTGTCCTAGTCTTACCGTGAAATAATCAACTAGGAAACCCACCAGGGGTTTGGCTAGGACATAAAGTATGGGCAGGATGGCCATTATATAGCCCATTACATCCGGCGGAACACCGATTTGCTTGCCAATAACAGGCAATTGCGGAAGTATGGGTCCCATGGCTAGAAAATTAAATAGGTATTTAAAATATTACATAAACTTTAGAAAGAAATTTGGAAATTTATAAAGCTAATTTTCCATAAGCCCTGCTAACATTTCATCAGATTTTCTCATCATTTATTCGATAATGTCACCGATAACAGACTTAGTGATATGAAGTAATACCGGGAATTGATTATAATCGCCCAATTATTGTGAAACCTATCTAAATTGGGATCGTGTAGATCAGTTATAAAGCTTACCTGCCATGAAAAAGAAGAAATGTGCCTTGATAGGCAGCAGGCGCTTGTTGAGTCGCACCATTGTCCAGTCTGTTAATTATGGCTTATCGTTGTGCACAAAATATAAACACAATGTATCACAGTTTAGATCTCTCCATGCAATCCTAAGTTTATTCCAGATGAGAAGGTGTTCCTAACCCGATAAGATCATAATTTTTGCACTTCGTCTGTCGTCGTTCGACGTTGGTGGGGATCTGTTGTCGTCTGGTGGAAAGAATCTGTAAATAGCCAGCAATATGGATGTAAATCAGAGACTGCTAAACGATATCTTATCTTACTGTGATAAGATGTTAGGCTAGACTATAAGAAAGTTGTAATCGGCTACATAAAAGTTTTTAAGTTGATAACTAAAAGCATAAGCCATCAGAACAAGTTTTCTTATCTTCCGGACCTAAAACTGTTATAATGTTTGGGCAAATTAAGTCTTTAGGTACGATAAAGATTTTAGGGCCTGCCATAATAAATATGCCTTTGAGGCACTTCGAAGATCTCTTAACTTGGGCCTTTCAACTCAATTAGTTATTGCGTGTTGTGTAAATTCAATAAAACTTTAAGTAAATGTATGTACTTTGTAGGTAAAAACCGGTTTACCAAATTACTCGTAAACTTGACACAGAAAAAAATTACATTTAGCAAACCCAAAAAATATGGCTGACTTTCCAAAATCGATCATTAATCAAACGCAAATTAGAGATGTTGAAATCCCTAGAAAGGGGAGTTACTCAAAAAAACCCAAGGTGCGTGAAACAAGCTCAAACAGAACAATGGTAAAAAACAGGGAAGCCATAGATATGTTTTACTTGGCTGGATTAAGTTGTTGAGTTAATCAAAACATTTGAATACAATGGAATTGCACTGTCAAACGTTAGAGTATATATTAATTATTAAGTACGGATTTCAATTATTCGTTGAACCATTAGGTTCACGCGATTAAAATCCACCCACTAGTGACGACTTGCCTGAGATCAATTTATATACGGACGCCGAGAGCTGCGGTCAGAGACTGAAGAAAATGCTGAAACGCTTGCAGTTTGTATGGCAACTGATAAGTCAAGTCGGCCGATAAGGAATCGGTCAATCATATGGTTGGTGTATGTATATCAGTAGTTGATAAACTGTAGATAAGGGAGCGGCCAGATGAGACTAAGAATCTGGACTTCCAGGTAATCCCCTCTAATATTCACCGCCCTGTCCCCTTAATAGGTGCTAATCAATCAGAGAGATATCCAAAAAAAACCCCGCTTGACTCATCAGCTGTGCGTTGTGTTTAGTTCATTATTATTCCACTGTTCACTGCCGATCTCATTCTGCAGCTTAAGCTTACGGATCGCTCGGATCGAGTTTTACTCGCTAGCATCTGGGAGGGCTGCCTTCAGTCGCCGACGATCTTCCATTGCGAGCGGTTCGGGGCTTTTGGAGCCAACTAGTAAATCGGAAATCCGTAAGCGGTTCTCAACGCGTCCGACTAGCTTAAACTTAATCCCGACTTGACGGCGATCTCGAGAGGCAATTAACGAGCGGTTGACGCAATCAGAAATGCAGTGGCTTACATTAATTTTGGTGGGGCTTTTCGCCTCGTTCTTATCAATATCAATGTGCGTGGCTTTGGAACCGCCCGATGATGGCAAATGTAAGTTGATTAAAGCTAAGGGGGCGGAACTCTTTTGTCTGGAAATGAAAATAAAAACAAAGTGAATTGGGGAAATTAATTTAAATTCCAATGTCGTTTATTGATTTATGTGATTTTGTCTGGTGCGTGAATTTAATTAAAATATTTGTGAAAGCTTGACTTCAGACTTAAAATCATAACTCATTTATTAAGTACTTAAAATACTAAAATTATTATATGCAATTATTAAATAGTAATCTTAAAAGATACTTACCTTTCATCTTAAGTTCAAAAGCAATTTGCATACCTTATAATGAGTATTATCAGTTAACAAGCTACAATGTTAGTTAATAAATTCAAATAAATCCATCAGAAAATACAATCTATCAAAATTACTTTTTTATTGAAATATAAGCCAAGCTAAAGCCGCACTTAGCTATAAAAATAGTGTAAAAAAACACCTATCATGGATATTTAATACGAAATGCACTGCGAGAGAGCAGTTGACCTTGGGAAATTGCCCGGCTGTAATCAAAACCCGCTATAGAGTGTCACATCTTAAAAAACAGCCAATCAAAAACCTGTCCCAACCTTGGAGCTCGTGATCCACAACCCAAAAAGCGGCCCGCCAGAACTGCCTTGACTCCAGTTCGCGGCTTTATGCCAATTCTGCGAATGCAACCAACCCGTTTAGGTTTCCCCGCGTCAACTGACGCACCTGAGGGGAATTTTTAATTTTCAAAAAAAGTGAAATACCCCCAAGATAAGATCGTTACTTAAAACTGCATGCGGGAGAAGCACTACAAGATACCTAAAAATAAAGATAATCATAATTAATGCCGCGTCTGGCAACAGGTTTTTTTTTAGGGGATTTTAAATCAACAGATGTCCAAAATTAAATATATTCATTTGCTCTCCTCCCACAGTGCGAGTTTGTATCGTTGAATCGCGTGGCGCTTATCGGAAAACCCCCAAGTTCTGCCCGCTTCTAAAAGCCAAGAGCAACATCGAGTGCGTCATCGGCGTGGACCGGCTAGATTGTGTAAGGCGAATCCACAAGGGTACTGCCCACTTTGGAGTGCTTACGTCGGAGGATCTGGTGGCTGCCCGCTGGGCCAGCGTTGAGATCCTGGTGGCCAGTGAGTTGCGTTCTCATGAGTCCTTTTTTGAATACGAAATTGTCGCTGTTGTGGACAATCAAGCCAATATTCATACAGTCCATGATCTCCGAGGCGCCAAGCTTTGCCATCCCGGTTACGGTTTGGGCAATCACTGGACAGAGGTTCTGGCCAATGTAGGTTATCTTCAGAGATGATTTTTTATAGTATGTACTCAAACGAAATTGATTTCTTGCAGTACTTTGAAGCAGCCATGGTTTCCAAGACCTGCGACCCTGAAATTACTGTCACGGAAGATCGCATTGCATCCTCAGCGAAGTACTTTGGACCCAGTTGCAAGGCAGGTCCCTGGGTGCCTGATCCCAAGCAGGATCGCATATTAAAAAAACGTTATCCCTCGCTTTGCGAGATGTGCTATGAACCCGATAGCTGTGACCAAACCGACAAGCACTGGGGACGTCGTGGAGCTCTTTACTGTTTAACCAGTGGAGGCGGCAACGTGGCCTGGGCTCGTCTAGATGATGTGCGCAGTCATTTTGGAGTAAGTTTGAAGGCTATCCTTTTGGTTTAAGTAAATACTCAAAACTAACTTGAATCCTTTTAGTTCTCCGGGATTGCGGCTCAGGCTAATCCTTCGGAATACAGTTACCTCTGCCCTGATGGTCATCTGCAGCCGATGAACGTCTCACATCCATGTGTTTGGGTGGCCAAACCGTGGCCCGTGGTGGCTGCACGTCGTACCCATGCCGCCCAAGTGCAACGTCTGGTAACTGGTCTCAATCACGACGAACCTGATAGTTGGCAGAATGCTCTACTTAGCCTTCTGGAAACATACCACGTATTTACAGTTCCGTTGGATAATGTGATAACTATTGATGACTATCTGGATCAGGCCACTGCCTTCCAGTCAGCCTACAGCTTTCCGGAATGCAATCCTCCACGTTCAATAGTCTTTTGCACTACTTCCATCATCCAGCACATCAAATGTTCCTGGCTGCAGGAGGCATCACAAGTTTATGGTATCCAACCCAATATCCAATGCGTACGCACCATGGATGTGAAACAGTGCTTAGACGATACCAAGTTCAAAGCTACTGATGTGGTTTTAGTGGATCAAGAAATGCGGGTACAGGCTCAGCGGGACTACAACTTAGTACCACTTCTGTACGAGTTCGCTACGGATATGCATGATCGGTATGTGACCATTGCCTTGGTGCACAAGGATTCCAAGTTCCAGAACTTTAAAGATCTCAGGGAAGCCAGAGCCTGTTTGCCTTCGTACGAGGGAGCTTCCCATTTATCCGTTCTAGAAACAATAGTGAATGCCACAGGCAAGGTGCATTCGATGCACTCTTTCTTCGATCGCGACTCCTGCTTGTGGAATCCGCAAAAGGGCCGTAAGTGTCCTCTGCATTATCAGGGCGACGAGGGTGCCCTGCGTTGCCTTGCCGAGGGTGGTGATGTGGCCTTCCTTAGCTCAGATGTATATAAGAAGTATGTGGCTGGTAATCTCACTTCGGATTGGCTGGCTCATGGCAATCACAAGGACTTCAGGGTATTGTGCCCCTATGGAGGCATCGAAAAACGATCCAATTTCGATTATTGTTACCTCCATTGGACCACTCGAGGTCATCTAATGACCCACAATTCCACGTTGACTCGGCGCAATGAGATCTACAATTCTCTACGAGATATGGATCAGTTATTTGGCAGAAAGTACAAGAGTGAGACGCGTCCTTTTACCCTCTACGGCAGTTTTGACAAGAGAAATAACGTGCTGTTCCGGGATGCAACCGATGGACTGCTGGGCCTTCAAGAACTTCACCGTGATAATGCCAGGCGGGTGATGGAGCATATATACGATCGGTACGCTAACACACAATACTATAGAAACTTTGACGAGAGTGGAGCCACAAAATCTAGTCATAGTTTCTGGATGTTGTTTGTCGGCTTCTTTCTTACACTGCATCGCCAGTTCACCTAGTCCCAAGCTCAAATATATTCTTATTTATTGTGATATTACACTAAAACTAATTTAAGAATAAAAGTTGTTTTCACCAGACCTTTATCAACAGATCAAGGTTTTAAATTCTTAAAAGGCAGTTGTTTTTAAATATTGAGCTATCGATAGCACAATCGATAACTTCACGTTATCGATGCCGATTAATATTTAATAATGTAATATGGGGTCCTATATTAACTATATACATAATATATCTCTAAATATATTGTCAAAATGCTGCAAAGACAATAAATGTGTTTCAATACAAAAGCGCTTAAAACTCTATTTATTTTAGTTTGGAACCTACCAGTTGCATTCAAACATGTCCGCAATATTCAGCACTGGCTAATCAGCTGATTGTGTTTTTATTGGCCCATTTGTTGTTGCTATGTACAAGGATTTCGTTGCCAAGGAAACATACAAAAATGTCACAACTGAGCAGCATTACGATTGATTAAATTTACGTGGCACTTGGCATTAAATCCTTTAACTTGGCAATCAAATTCAGCACATCAGTGGGCAGTAATTGCAACTAAAATGTCCAAAAATGCGACGCGAACAAGCAGCAAGAACGTAAGCCCAAAAAAGGCACACGAAAATAATAGAAGAGCAGTCTTTTGAAGCACACATATATATAGTACACTTTTCGATTGATTAGTATGCCGCCAGCGATTTCACCTTTTTCCTGCCACTTTGCACTTTACTCCACCACCAAATGCAAACAAACCTACATTTTATCATTTACAACTTGGGCACAGTTGTCTTATCGGGTTTAGTCTTCGAGTTAATACCAACAGAAGCTTGATTGCCAATTAGCTGAAACTTCGTCATGTTAATAATGTAGTAAATTTGTAATAGCATTCAATTAAAACTAATAAACGAACCGATCGCCACACACAAAAAAACAATCTGATTTGGTCAGTGTTGTCAAGTGAAAAAGCTCAGTGCTGTAAAATTAATAAAAAAAAGGCGTTATGATTTAAAAAATCTGTTTAAATTTTAGGCAAAAACGGAAATTCCCAGGAAGGTCACAAAATCACCTGCAACAAGTGGGCCAGCGACCACAAGGGAATCAAAGGAACGAAGGTCACTGGTCAGGCAAACTGATAGCTTGGAAGGTGAAAAAATTGCCAGGAAAACCACAACAGCAGCGCAACCTTCTACTAGCAAAAAGCCATTAGGCACGGGGAAAAACAAGGAGAAGGAACCCTTGAGCAAAAGGACCACACCGTCCCCAGGTGCTTTGCGTGCCACCACCAGACAAACTACCACAAACCCACCCTTGAAGCCCAAGTCCATTACCAAGGCCGTATCCAAATCCAAGCCCAATGCAGTACTGGACACCTACCACAGTGTTACGGTCGCTTCACCACCGCAAAAACGCAGAGGACAGGCAAAAGAGGAGAACGAAACACATACACCTTCAAAAGAATATTCCCCTTTGGCTCAAGTTAAGAAGGAGCATGAGTCGCATTCTCCTCCAAAGGAAGATGCCCCTTCTGCTCCGGCAAGAGCAAGAACTTTCACACGCACCCTAGATCCCGAGGAAGTAGTGATTCTAAAGAGGGAATCTGCCAAACAAAGGAGCGAAGTGGAGACCCACGATTCGCAGCCCGTAAAGCAGCCAGTGGCCTTTGAAGTAAAGTTTGAGGAAGTCAAAAAGCCAGACCCGGAATCTGATCACTACTCCGATGACTTTGAGTCCTATGAATCCGATTTTGAAACGGATGCCAGCACGCCTGGAGAAGAAGAATCAGATGAACCGGAAGAACCTTCATTATCCGAGGCAGAAGTTGAGGAAGAGCCGGAAGAGAAGGACGAGGAAGAAGACTCAGAGCCCACACAGAATCCCATCACTGTGATCCAACGCGACAAAGATCAGGAGCGCAAACTGGATTCTGGCCACTATGACATGCATCAGCGCCGGAATCCCTTGAGCAGTCAGTCCACTCAAAATCAGTTCGATAGTTTTGATACCAATTCGATGGCCAACTCTGAGCAACTGGACTCCGGCATTAGTACGACTGGAGTTGAGAAGCCCCAGAGTGGGGAGTCAAATGTGTACTATGGTGGTTACTCCGGATTCGTGTCCCATCCCGTAATCAGTCGTCGTGGCGAGGAGCTGATGGCTAAATTGCGTTTCGACCAACTCAACTACCACCTGTTCGAAATGAAGCCTCTCAGCTACGAGGGATTCATGCAGAGCTATGGAAAGCTTAATGCCTGCCAAATGGCCACACAGACGCAATCGCCGCAAATGGATGGGGAGTGCCAGACCCTTGAGGTACACAGCCGCTGCAGTTGGACACAGCATCCACCTCACTACGGTGGGCAATTGGTGCTGAGCTGCAGTGGTGATGCGGATATGATGGATACATCGAACGCCAAATCAACTGATGAATATAAAGCTAGCCTTTTTCGTTTGGAGCAACTGCATCGGATGGAGCAGGATCGCTCCCAGCAACAGCAACAAAAGAGATTAGCTAAAACCACGGATATGGAGAGGCTAAATACTTTCCTTCACAAGGCTGCAGGACTCATGGGAAGGGTTTTAGAGGGTAACAAGAACCAAAGCCAAAACAATAGTCCCCGGAATATACCATTGCAGACAGGTCTACTCAATGCTCTCCCAGTGCGCCGAATCTTTGGAAGTTTCGGAAATGGACATTTAGTAGTGACCGTGCATGAATGTCCTAAGGATAGCAATGTTTATAAAGAAGACTTTGCCAGCCTGTTGATGGTTTGGACATTGTCCAATCCTGGTCAGCCTTTACGTCTGTTGTCGACCTGGGCAGAAGTCAGTCGCGTGGCTCTCTCTAGTGAAGCCCAAGATATTGTGGTGGCTGGACTACGTGATGGCAGTATAGCTATGTGGGATCTGCGGGAGACACACAGCTATTGCTCGAAGTTAGATGGCCATTTGACGCACTTTGCAGCTACGCAGTCAGTGGTTCCCATGTCGGAGAAGCTACAGAATGTGGTGAATGCCATTGATCTGGGTGCCGTGGTAGATGTCCGCAGCTTTAGACCCCAATGCAAGGGTGGGGGGTTAGCCGCAGCTGGTGGTTTGCAGACGCCATACAAGGAAATCCAGGTAAGAAAGACGTCGCTCTAAGAATTTAACCTACTTATTAATTTTTAATAGAATTTTATTTAAAAAAAAAGTTTAAAAACCCATTTTAAAACAAGAAAAGTAAAGAAAGTGACCTTAAACTAAATATGAATATAATTTAGGCATGATCAAAAATATATGTATAAAATCTTTAAAACAAAATCCTTATAAAATTTAAATAATATAAATCCTTTCCAGTATGCCTCACTGAACGACTCTGGCTTGCTGACCATGTGGACTCTGGTGGAGGGAGCCTCATCCAGCAATAGCAACGAGTTCAGCTCTCCTTGGGCTCGTGTGAAGCTCCTCCAGAGTGCCAGCTGTGATCTAAGGAGCTATGTTGAAAGGCGCCTTCTAAAGAGCCATCAAAGTGCCTACGAGAAGACTAAGTCTTTGTTCCAGGGAAACATCTACAGCGATGACTTGCTAAAAGAGCTAAATGAAACGCAAACACTGACCACCGTCCTCCAGGGTCAGGGACTGCAAGGACTACGCTTCACTAGCATCGATACGGGCAGTGATTTGATCTATGTGTGTACCAACCGGAACTTTGTGCTCTGCTGCACACGAAGTTTGAAGACGGAACGCTTCTCAAGGATCGCTGTGAACGAGAGTCGTTTTCTGTTCCCCACTTCACTGTGTGTGCTCTCTAATGAAAACTATGTGGCCGTTGGTCTATCAAATGGATCTGTGATGATACTCAACTGCAATCAGCGACAGATACAGCGCCAAAAAAACCAACAGAGACCCAAGACAGGACTCCCGCCAGCCTTCAATGAGCCCGATCCTGAAACGGGAAAATCCTGCGCCATTCAGAACATCATACTCAACGAACGGAGATCCTTCGACCAGCAAGTGGATCCCAATTCCACCTATGATACCCGACCGAATACTGCTTTGGAGCTAATTGAGAGACCCAGGCGTTCCTACGAAATGAGAGTCTTTGACCAGCAGCTGCTCCTTAGTGGTAGTGGACTGCGTCAGCATCTTGTCCAAGCCTTAATCCTGTCGAGCGATGGCTGGCAGCTCTTTGCCCTGGCGAATGGTATGGTGCGCACCTACGATTTCTACCGCGACAGTGAGCTACCCAGAGAAAAGTCCACAGAAATTCGATCCAAAATCACGGATATTGCAGGAGCTCACAGCTCTGGGCACGAGCAGATACTTCTCATTCTGGACTCTGCTGGAAAGGTGCACATGCACACCCACGATTATTAGCTTGTTAAATATTTTTTAATTATTTGTATGCGTTTGTTGAAACGATTTTGAAAAATTTTAAATGCAAATAAAGTCGATATAATCCTAACTATCAGTCTTTAATGCAGCTTAATGGAAACTATTAAAAAAGTTAAAACTTAATCATTTAACTTTTAGAATAATAACAGTCTAGTAATTAATACAATTTGATTTTGCCAGAACCGTAAAAACCAACTTTAATAAACTCATAATCTTGTAGTTTCGGATAAACTATTTTTTAATGAACACTTATTAATGCACTTTTAGAATATCCTTAAAGTGTATATTTTATAAACATTTATTAACAAATATTCGTAGAACAAAATGATTTTACTTGCTCACGTCACTGATATGTACAATTCTCCGGATAATTCATGGACTTCACTCAAAGTCACACCTGCCTGGCCATTGACAACATACCGCCGGCGGTTGTGGCTCCCAGGAGCTGTCGCACCGTCTGTAGCTCGTCCCTCAGTGCCAAGACTTGGGCTCTCAGAATAGAGTTCTCCTGCTCCAGAAGAGCAGCACGAAAAGCTATTCTATCCTCACGGATTTTACGTGCATCCCTGGACTTCTTCGCTGCCTCATTGTTCCGTTTTCGCCTCTCAAAGTATTTGGCATCCTTTTGAGCCTCCGGAATGGGTCGCTTTTCTCCGCGCACACGACGGTGCATGAAACCCGGAAACATTCCACCTCCAATCATGCCCACTCGATTCAGTTCCATTAGCGGGAATTCCAGGGCCTGAAGAGTGTGACTTGGCGGAGCGATGTACTCGAAGGCAGGGAGAGATTCTGTGGATCTCTTGGCAGTGATCATCCCAGGGAAACCCAAGCCAGGTAGCCCGAGATTTTGGGGAATGGGAAAGGGGTATGGAGAATTCTTTTTGGATTCCTGATCTGCATCCACGTCGGATGGCATCGATAAGGTTTCAGTGACATCCAGGATAGGCGACTGTGCGGGCGAGTGCATCCTTTTGTTGACTTCCGTTCGCGCCAACGGCCGGGCTTTGTCTGAATCCTGCTCTGAGTTATGGCCCAAGTCCTGGCGACCACCTGCCTGCCGCGGTAATTATAGGTTCTTGTCACACAACCCCCCCCACACACCCCCATTTGGGGCTAATTCTAAGCCAGCCACAACCCTCCATCGCCGGCTGATTCAACCAATCACGCAATGTTGACGGTAATTATTCGTCAAATACATGACACTTGGCCGGGGCCGCATGGCATTTATTTGTGCTGCCCGGTTACAAGGACTTCATATAACTGGTTAGCCAGATTACAAACCCCAGTCCAGGCCCCCTGGACTTTCTCTACGGGGTTGTCGCCCACCTGGTTGCAAGTTCTTGGTCCTTTGTGTTGGCCAACTGTTATGTGGTGGGGCGGAAATAGGAAGGATTTCCTTGTCGCTGACCAATGAGAGTGGACGTGTGGCTATCGACCGACATTTTGTAGACGAAAGTTCGACGACAAGCAGCGGTAATAGTCTGAAAGAGGCGTGGTGGGAATCCTTAAGTTATTGTACTCACTGAAAATAACCCATATTAATTAGTAAATTAATAATTTATTTTAAATTCTTAACAAGTTTCTATATGTTAAACTTTTATAGGATTCAAGAAGTGATTTACAAATCAGTTTAAAGCTTAAGCTTAGATTTATGGAAGTTGTTTTAGAAGACTTTCTCAAAGTGTTTTAATCGATTTTAGTAGCCCAAAACATATTCTTTACTCAATTAATTGAACTCCAAAAGTGCATTGTCAGAAAGCCCAGATATAGCCAATATGCTATATCAAGACATCAAAAAGTTTTAGCTAACTTCAATTTCATCAAGCATGACTCTTCAAAAATCAAAGAATTTTGCATGTCTCCCGAATATATTCTCCTGCCCAGACTAAGAAACGGCACATATAAACATCGCTGTGTGTCTTCTTTAACTCGTTCCATTTAAGGTTGAGAAAGTGTCACCTGTTTGCCCAGGTAAATTGGCAGTTTGGGCCACGGGGCATTCCCGTTCCCTGTAACCGGAAGTCGCATCCTTATAACGTTTCATAATGTATGCGCTAATTTATTATCTGTTGGCAAAAGTTGGGCCATAGTTAACCCTTTGACTAGCATGCTACCGATGTCGTTTATGGTGTTTGGACTAACAGAGAGCTGAAGCTAGGCATATAATGGATTGCGTGCCAGAGTGACATGCCTGCCAACTGAAGGAAGTCTAATACTAGTCAAAGGGTTGAGCAAGATAGATTCACAAAAATACAAAAAAGAAGTTTTCGAATTTGTTGCATTAGAATACAGCCGAAAAATCTATGACGTATGTCCAATTCTCTAGAGCCACCCCAAGGGACCTTTGCTAATGCATTGGGAGGAGCATTTTCGACACAGGCTATTTATGTGTTAGACAAATTACCAGGTAATATATCTACCGAACATGTAATTGTTTCGATGTTTGTTTGGCCAGTAATTGAAGAGCAAACCTCGGGGACACACGGTGGACAAACCGTTAATGACACCTTTAATTGGATGACATTAGCACCAATGTCCAATGTCCCGAGGCATGAACAAGTGGGCCCTGGCTAAAACGTTTAAAACATTCACTTTGACCTCTGCCTTTGTCTAGAATCGATCCAACTCTATTGAGTTTTTAACTAAAAAAATCTCCCATATAAAAAGCAAAAAATGTGTGACGAAGGAACCATCCGGGACTGTGAGCCAACCACCTTGCGGCTTCCGTTCAATAGCTACCACATCAACTTGCCTCTGTATATTTTGGACATGGTGCGCATCTTCCAAGACCATCCCAAGTATAGCAATGGCATCAATGATCATCATATCCTGGAGATGCTGGAGAAAGAGTAAGTTAGACTTATAAAAATACAAAATATATGTTGTATCTTCTCACCTCACCAGACCTTTTGCTTGCGGGGACCTTGAGTCGCAGATAAAGACCGCTTTGCTGGATCTCACTGCCAAGGGATTCATACGATTCATTAGCAATGGATACCGAACTCTGGGACCAATTGCCAAACTGTCCAATGCGCGTTCCGTGCGCCACTTCAACATGACATGGCAGCGCATTGCCGAATTGCAAAAGGTCAATTGCCCCAGCCTGGAGCCAGGATCGATCTCCAGCGGTCCCTGCACCCAGCGTGGATCAAACTATTGATGTCTAGATATATCCTTAGTTTATTCGTTGCGTTAACCATTTCGTTCATTGAATTAAGTTCCTCCAAGAGCAGCGTGAACGCTACTCCGCACACCAACATCGAAATTATAAGCGTCTAGTAACATTCCAGCAAATCTAAGTTTCAGGGTAGTTTAGTACGGGTGGTCATCATCATCATTATGATGAGAACACATGTCGCGGGGTCTGCCATCCTTTTGACACTTAACCAGGCTAATTATTCTCGAGGGTTGGCCCAATAGCATGAGGAATGTTGCAGGTGTTTTCATAGGGGAAACGGATTTTAGTATGACAATTGTGTATATAGGGTAGCAAACCCTAGTTATGATCCGACGAACTGTGCCCCAAAATGACCCCTGGCCAGGCCGATTACCCTTTTGGCCGAATCGTTTAAATTGTCAACACCAGGACAATGGAGGACACGAGGAGGACCTGTCGTCATTGTTGTCCTCATATGCGCCATATAAAGCAAACACGCATGGGATCCCGTCCAGGTGTTATTTATTGCCTCTCTAATCGTTGCGGCATAATCTATTAGCACCCCACCGACAGATCGGTGCTCCTGGGTCCACAACGGTGTCCTTTGATTTTTTGCTTTTGCACATTAAAGGCAATTATTATTATTGTTTTAGTTCTGAGACAGTTTTGTGTTTGTCATTTGCCGATTGCTGTTCCGCGTTCATAATTGGACCAGCCCCAAAACAGAACATTAATCAAGTGACTTGACATGTGGGTAACGTGTTGGCATATAGCCAATTTAATTAGCTTGCCATGTACCATAACTAAGTTATAATACTGATTTAAAAACAGCAATAGTTCATCTAAAAAAAATAAAAGTAATTAAAAAAGAACTTTGAAGATTTTATTGAAGACGTCATTACTGGTCTTCTGCGGTCCGCCCCTTTCAGGCAGTAAGGATTGATTGTTAGGGAATTTTGATAAATTGGAAATATTGCCGAAATTGGCCGATTGTCAGCAGTAACCTGAGTAACCCAATTTCTTTTCATTTGTATATATTGTCCTCTCTGTGAGATCTACATATATGCAGATTCAGTTGGGCGACATACAAATTACCTAAGGTTACCTAAGGCTACTACCTCATGCAAGACGATATAGCCGATCTAACTTTGCATGAGAACTTTCCGAAGACGCAGCACTCGGCGTTGGTAGAAGATTAGATTCTCTTAAAGCTTGAGTACCTCAATTTTAATCATTACAAAGGTGTTATCCATATTCACTGTTAAAAATATATGTATATATGTATTAAATTAAGCTCAACAAATAGAAATACAGTCTAGTTCAAAGCTTTGCGGCGGAAAAAAGACAAAAGACCGTTACAAAATCAAAAACATTCGTCACAGATATTTCAGTTTAATTTTAATTTTATCGATATTTTTCTTTGATTTTGGCTCCCTTTTTTTTAAAGGTCTCAAACGATATATTTCGATAGGCACAGCATATATCGATAATTTTCGTCAAACAAGTTGTTTAGAAATAGAGAAATCATTAAGCCAAAATGAACGATAGCAGCGTTCCCGCCTTCGTAAGTACCAAATAAAAAAATGTTTTATATGGCTGAAACTCCTTTGTATCATGGTAGGAACTCGGCGATGCTTTGGCCACACGCTGTGGCAACACACTCACTGGCGTCTTTTTGCCGGGATCACGAATCGCACTAAGCGCCTACCGGCATGTGACGCACAATACGCCGGACGTCCCAACTGAGTCTGCTGGCCAAGATCCAGTACTCATCTACCTGGCAGAGGAGTCTACTCTATTCGACGAACCAGTGCTGCGCAGTGTCTTGGCTGAGGCGAATGCCACCTTTGCCACCCTGCAGCAACTGGGTCTAAGGGCCAGTCGTGCCGAGTACGTTAACATATCGCGGGCATACCGCAGCATCGTGCGGTCCTGCCTGGAGAAGTTAGAGCAGGCCAAGAAGTCACCGGAAGTGCAGACTGATGAGCCGCGCCTTTCTCGTTTCACCGATGCCATCATCGTGTTCTATGCGGCGGAGTGCCTGTGGCATCTCTTCGAAATTCTATACATCCAGAATAATCAGCTTGTTGTGCCCCAACTACTCGACTGGGCACGCTTTCATTCCCCACAAACTGAGGACAGGGCTACCGATCTTCTGCTGATGGCCGAGGAGGCTAGCGATTCGGATGACTACTGGAAAGTACTTAGGTCACTTATCATGTTGGGCCAAATAGATGTCTCGCGTGCAATTCTATCTCAGAATCGTAAGTCTGGACAGCCAGCATTCAAGGCGGCTGAGCTGATCCTGAAATCTATGCCCGTATACCAAGAGGGCTATGCGCTGCAGAAGTTTCACTCGCAATGGGAGTATTGGCACGTGGACTCGGAACGTAAGATTCAGACCGGTGTATTTGCCACGGAACCAGAGCTAGAGCAGGTCCTTCGGCTGGTCGCGGGCAACAACGAACAATGGGATGCGGGAATTAAAGAGGCACAAGATTGCTATGAATACCTACCTGGATACCTGCTGTTTACCAAGCCCACCTGCAAACCCTTTGAGCTTAGAATATCAGCCACCAATTGGCTGAACCGCTGGTGTCTGCTTCGTCCAAATAAGGAGGTCTGCGGCATGAATCGCATGATTGCGCAGCTCATGGATCACGATATAAAGCTCTTTATATACGAGACCCAGAAATTAAACGATACCCACTGGTTCTCCACACATTTAATTGATCTAATCCATCATTGCGGTCAGCTAAAGAGCTACTTTGATCAAAACAACATGTAGGTGTTAATATCTTACGCTTTGCATTCAGTCGAACGATAATATTTTACTTCTTATATTTTATAGAGATCTTCCAGCCTTACGTCATTCAATGATCTATGATTACGGCAGTTATCTAATGACAACACACAATTTATGGCAATTAGGCATCGATTATCTGGACTGCTGCAAAGAGGAGGGTCAGGCAGCTATTGAACTGCTTCTGCCTCGTATCACCTTGCACACTGAACGTCAAGCCGCTAAGTTGATCAACCTGGCCAGGCATCGAGGACTCACGGGTGTGGAACAGGAGATCTGCAAGGTGCTTTCGAAGAAATCCTACAATAATGAACGTTATGGCAATGCTCTTGAATGGGCCATCCGCTCCAAAGATGTTCTGCTAGTGACGGCGGTTGCAGACTACATTTTGAAGGTGACAACAAATTAATTTTCCTTATGTATGTTTTTATAATTGCTGGCTTCCCCCATTAGCATTACTCGAGAACAGGAGTCATGCTGTGCCCGGACACAATAGCCAATGTGGGAGGACGAATGTTTATCTCACCACGCTTAGTTTTCCTCTCCAAATACTATGAGTTCTACGAATACTATCGTAATCGAGACTTTCTCTCTGCTTCTGAGCTTCTCGTAAATCTGTTGGAATCAAGAATTACACCTGATTTGTAAGATATAGTCTCTAAAATTTTAAAGATAATTTTATGTTTTTAAATCACACCTATCTTCAATTAGCTTTTGGCCGTCATTGCTCATCGATTCCATGCCACTGCTGGAGTCTGAGAATCCGAAAATTTTCGCCAAGGAAACTGTGGCCATTCTCCATCATATTGAAACTGAACTTGTCCCTATTATCGAACGCGATGTGTCCAAATATGGAAATGTATGCTTTGACCTACTGCTGCTATAATATTGTTAACTAATCATCCGTTTCCTCGACAGCATCATACAGAAACCGTGTTCAAAGACTATCGGGTGGAAAACGTCGATAAAATCCTGGACCGCATGCGTCTGGCCTGCGCTCGGAATTTGTCCAGAGCACTAATCATTGAGAACACTATGCCAGTGGCGTGATTTTTGAATGCATTTTTAGAGTAATTTATTTTGTATTTTTCGCTTTTCCAATACATCGTAATATAGATTGTTTGCATTGCTAACTTGTTATTCATACGCATTTTGTTTATATCTTGTGCCTCTTTGCTATTTATTGTACCAACAACACTACTTGACTGGCTGCTGCCCTTTGACTAAAAGGAAATCCAAGCTGCATGGGGCTGGAGGGTTTACAGTACGCATTAGTAAACTAAGGATAACGCAATCGTTAAAAGCAGCTCCAACCTGCTGGTATCCCAGCTAACTATGCTAGTGTACACGGCATGGGTTAATCTATAGGATACACTTCTCTGGAATCAGCTAGGCGGCAAATCAAAACAGCTTAAACCAAACTTAAAATATATTAAAATCAATCACTACGAAGTACTTTAGCTGCACAGATAGAAAGTTGACACACGTATACGACGCACCTAAAACTATTAAACAACGCCCAGAGCTCAAGGGTTAGTACACATAAGTTTATGTATATGCGTGGATATATATATATCTGGGGGTATGTATATAATTACTATATATTCTGGTTGTTAATCGTTATGAGAATCGCACGGCCTTGTACAAAATGTTCGATTACTATGTACGGAATTACAATTAAAGTCGCTTGTCTCTTGGCTTGGCCCTTGAACCGCCATCGGCATTACAAAATATATATCATTCGCTTGGTAAAAACAATCAAAACTAAACTAAACATAGACGAAAAGCCGCCAGGGGTGGATCGCACTGCGTATTCATCATTCTAATGCTTAACAAACTCCTACTAATTTTTCTTTCAAAATCATTCCTTGGCCAATCACACTAGGCAACAGAAAATACACAAATAATCAAAAAATGTCAACTTATTAACATTCCAATCTCGAACTGACAAGATTTTATGGAGTTTTGGGAAAAAAATTGAACAATACTTTTACATACAAATATGTTAAATAAAAAAATTAACTTCACTTCCATTTTTAGGGAAATCATTTACCCTCGGGGTATATACCATAGTTGAAGATCTTAACATTAAGAATAATTTTGAATTGCAATGAAATATTAATCAATGTTGATAATTCCATTTTAAAAAGATTCTAAAAATGTAAAAATCGAAATCTTTTGTAATTGGAATTGATAACAAGAATTAGAAAATATTTAAAGAATTCAAAAAAGTTTCAAATGTTTATAAGTGACCCAAGGTTACGATTACTGTTTAGAGAAACAGTTTGATTATAAAAAAGGCAGCTTTTTAGGAATGGATGCAGGAAGAACTATTTCTTATGGCAGTTCGAGATGGAAGATCCTGTTGCCTAGTGGGGTCGTTGAGGGACTACGCTGCTTGAGTATTTCACTTATCCTACGCCCAATATCAGTTATTAATGTGAATCTGAGTGGGGGTGTCTAATTATGCTTTGCCGCGCTCGTCGATGCTGTGGCCGTGGTGGATGCGGTGGCCGCCGTGGCAGCCGCTATGGCACTGCTGCCCGAGATCGACCCCAGCCGAGAGAGCGATGGCTCCCGCTTGGGCGGTACGATCGGCTTGGTCGGTATGGGTGGCGGTGCACCACGGGCTCCCGCAGGTGGTACTGTAACTGGTGGCACGGCAATGGGAACGGGATGAGGATGTGGTGGTGTGGCCGTCTGATCGAGCGCAGCTGCCGCAGCCAGGGCGGCATATTTGCCACCGGGCGCCCGCTGAATAGTGGCCGTTGGCTGCATCTTCGCCGGCGAGGGTGAGGGTGGCGCTACCATGGGTACGGTGACTGTGGCAGACGTTTCCATCAATGCTGTTGCTTGCCCAACGATTCCGGTGGCGTTGCTACTGCTGGTGGTGTTGTTCGTAGTGGTTGTGGTGTGGTTGAGCACGGCCGAAAGTGGTGCTATTGCTGCTGTGGCCGTGCCCGTGGGCGCCGTTGCGATACCAGCACTCCGGATGTTTTGGCCCGGCGCTATGGAACGCGCGATGCCGGTCTGTGGTCCCGAAACCGGCATGCTAGTAACCGTGGCAGTTGGCTGCACGATCTTGGCGATGTTCACCATTGGGGGCGTGGCACAGGCGTCGTCTGCAAAACGCAGAGGGATGGGATTAGCATTCAGTTATGAAAAGTTTTGTACAACACTTGATCTTCGGATCTCCGAGACTAGCAGGCCCCAGCAGAAGGTATTAGGGCATTATAGCCATTTTATGCACTTCTGCCAAGTCCATGCTTATGTGAAATGTTTTGGCATGGTCGTGAGAACTCTACAGACGCTACCGGGTGTCAATTGGCTACGCTTGGCTTTTGTCAGTGTGCTCCAATGACTGGGATGTGCGAGCGTGCGGGGTGGACGTGCGGATGCGTGTTTTTGGGGTTGGTGCAACGAGGTGTGCACGAGGAACATCACAAAACAAAAAACAAATCACCTTGCAATTGCGTAACATTTTTTCTAACAAAAGATTTCGGCTTCAAGAGGAGTTCGAAAAAAAAGTAATATATATATAGAGTTAAAGATTGTATATAGAAAATTATAAAGAGGGCAACCATAATTACAACAGCCAGTTTCCAGGTGGAAGTGCCTCGTCTGGCTCACTCACCGCTGAATTGTCGCGCCTTAGTGGCGGTCACTGAAGATCCGCTGCCCCCTAGTGGCTGCTGCTTTTTCAGAGCCTCGTGTTCGCCGCGTAGGGCATTAAGTTCCTGCTCCAGCTCCTTAACCCTGGATTCAAGATGTAAACATGATTAAGTATAAAGATTCTTTTCCAGGTTTGAACTTGACCAACCGTAGTTCCTCCTTCGCCAGTTTAGCAAACAGAACTTTTCGTTCCTGCTCCATGGCATGTGTTTGTTTCTCCAGCTCCTCCTCCATGCGCAATGACTTTTTGCTCTCCTCTTCGAGACCCTCGGCTATAGTGTCTGAACGTTGCTTCTCCTCTGCCAGAATTTGAGCTAGATCCTCAGAGCGTTTTCCTGTTAATCATTAATATTACATTAATCACTGGCCTAGCTTGTAACGCCTATACGCACCTTCTTCAATATATTTCATCAATATTTTTTTGCGCTCCGCAATCAGAAGAAGAACAATCTGCTTTTGTCGATTGCGCTCGTACTCAAGCGTCTCCTGCAGCTTCTTCAAATCCTTCTCCATTTTGGCCACCTGTGCCCGTTCTTCCTCGAGATCCTGCTTAAGCTTGCTGCGCTCCATCTCAAGGCCGTATGTGATGTCATCTCCCTGCGCCGTGGTGTGCTCGTGCTTTCGCTTCTCCTCCTCTAACTCCTGCAGCATACGCTGGTTGTTCTCCAGCGATTCGGTCAGTATGTTTACCATACGTACATGTGTGGCTCTCTGCTTGCTGACCATTTGATACTGTTGCTCCATCTGCTGCTCAATTATTTGACGCACCTCCATTTCGGCCTGGGCCGCCTGAGTAGATGATTCCCTGGAGATAAGGTTCCCATTGAGAGCGATCTTATCCCGAAATATGGCCGCATATGGATCGTTGGGCTGTAATCGCTTAGTACGCAGCTGGGCAATGAGCTGCTTTACTCGCTCGTTCCTCAGGGCGGCAATGCAGACATCCCGCGCTTGTAGTTCACCTTCCAGGTAGTATAACATTTTAACCAGCTCGCTGTGCGGCAATTCGGCTCGAGTGCGTCCATTTGTGGCTGCGGTGGTGGTGCTGGCAAGCACCCCGTGCACAACCCCGGGTCCAGGTTTCATGGTCTGAAACTCATGATTGGCGCTCACAGTATCGCAACCCGACAACCCGGATCCGGAGCAGTTATCAATGCCATACTCTGAATCTGGAGCTGGTGCCTCTACCAACGCCTCCGCGGGAGAACTGTTCGAGTTTTGCTCCATTTCCCTCCGACTCGTTCTTTCAATTCCCTATTCCCGGATTCCCAACTCCCGATTTCCGCCTTCTCTTAGCTCACGGCATACAAAAAAAGGTTTGGTGCGTTTCAGTACTCAAATTCCACAATATTCACGGTTTCTACGATCGTTCACTTCGGGTCTGGGCTCCGTTCGAGCCTCCTATTTTGGCAAGTGGCTTTTGCGGAACCTGCAATGGCCACAAGAAATAATCTTTAAAATTCTTTGTCAATTTGTTGCCCGTGAAAAAGTGGATACTTGCGGCAGGAATGCCAATTCCGCTTTTTTCCGTCATATCTGGCTTTTTTATGGCCAACTCGTGAAAATTTTGTGAATGGCGGGAATTATAGATTTTTAAATGTGTTTGTCTTTTGATTAATAAATGACTTCTAGCCCGGTTAATGTGAAGTTTAATTGTTTTTAAAAATACCGCATTATTATTCCAGCTTAGGATCCGTGACTTTCATACCTCTTTATAGCTTTTTTTGTCCTATCTTTCTAGTCAGAAACCGCTTTTTCGGATGTAAATTGGCAGCGCGGATTTGTTCTTGTTGCCAGCTCGTTAAAAAAAAGTGTTGTACAACACTGATTGGACTAAAATCAAGGACTGCACCTAGCTGTTTGCCACCGTAAAGTAGTTTGAATAAATATTTATGTGTATAATACTTTGTAAACAAGTGCAAACTTATTACTATATTGAAAACTTAACTCCCTTATATTTAAAAATTAGGGAATTTTTGATTTTAATTCCTTAAAATAAAAAAAATTGATTTAACAATTTTATGTGTTTATTTCTTGTACACAAAAGGCTTTGTGGTGTTGTAGGCCAGGGAATACCTTATGTGCTTTCCAACCAACCGATCTGCTAGCGGTATTAAAGCGGGTTCACGTTTGTAAATGCCAGCAGCGTTTGGCGTCCAGACCCGCAAACGACACTCTGAGTTTCTTGGCAAAAGAAATCCCATCCAACCCGCAGAGCTGAGAGTAATATCACAATTTAGCCTTTCGTCTTCACATTCTACGCTCGTTAGCGTAATATCACCGTCCTTACACTGCAATCCTGGCCAGGTTTGCAGGCGAGCCTGCAAATCTTCATTGACCATGGGAACACCCAAGAAAGGCGTTCCAACATATCTTTTGTACACGTCGTCCGCCGCCTGGGTATCTGCTATCAGTACTGGAAGATTCTCTGAAGCAAATACAAATACCTTTAACCAGTCAAACTGTTTTTTTGAGCTTGTTATTTCCAATAGATCTAAGCGGGCTAGACCCCCCAGAAGGATGCTCATCTGGGGCTTCAGGCGAAAAGCTCTGGGACGAATCATAGTGGTGGGGTGCAGCCTAACTAGCTCCTCGGCGGTAAGCAAAGGAGTCAATTGGTCAGGCTGCATAACACCTGGTGTATCGTAGACCCAGCGCGCTTCCTTGTACTCCTTTTGGCGATCGTTTAGAGTAGTAATGGGCCGCGAACCTCCGGCCATGGCGAAGGCATCGTTGACATCTTCGAGACGATCGAAGGTGCGTCCTACGAAAGACACTGGTTGAGCTGCTGCTACAGACCCCGTTGCCCTTGCAACTGCGCGACGCTCTTTGTTCATTGCTGCCTTATCGTTGCGCTCCGAAACTAATCTCTTGAAGCGTTGATAGATGCGATCATTGGACGGACGCAATATGGGAAACCGCAACAGTTTTAGTGTTGTTCCCGGCCAGGGACAAGTGGTGGCTTTGCGCACCAAGTTGCTGGCCTCAGGCCGACAATAGTCAGAGTTGAGAAGGATGTTGAACAGCGAACTCTTGCCCACGTTGGTGCAGCCTAGCAGATAGACATCCCCTTTGTATGCCCACGTTTTATGCAACTGCGTTATAAGCTCCTCTATTCCATAGCCGGTTTTAGCAGATATCAGGCTGACATTCTTGATATTCAACCCATCTCCGCCACCGTGCTTGACGAATTCGCGCTGCAGGGAATCCTTAATATGTTGTAGATAGATATTTGAGTCGCGCGGCAGTAGGTCCACCTTGTTACCCACTAGGAAAACAGGCCTCTTTGTACCCAGAACATGTTGCATGCCTGGCCAGATAGAGCTTGGAAAATCTAGTAGATCCACCAGCACAATAGCCAATGCGAATTTGTCCTGAATGCGGGATATGGTGTCCACATAGGTACTAGGAGTCACTTCCACGTCGAGGGCAATGTTGTAGTGCTTCAAAAAGTGACACCGCTTGCACGTGATGGTTTGAAGTTCTTGATGCGTTCTGCCTCGGAAGATTTCACTGGGTATGTAGCCGGGCAGAGAGGCACTGGAGCATTGTAAGTTTGCGCCACAGCCGTTGCAGGGTACCTTTGAAGGTTGAACCGATGGATCTGGAGTACCCTGCTTGTCTGCCCCATCGACTACTCCCTCGTAGAACTCGTAATCGTCCATCCAGTCCTCAATAAAAGGTGGATGTGCTTTATGATCCGAGTAAAATGTTTTGATTTTAGTCTCCAGAAAAGAGCTGTAATGAACGTGCTCATGATCGTGGTATTTCTTCCTGGCAAGCAGCCACGCCCTTTCCCGCGAACTCTGTCCAACTTCGGCAGCCGTATTCTCCAGTCTCGAACATGTTAAAACCACATTTTTATTTATAATTTTATATAAACGCGAAGTCTTAAACATTTTGTAATCACACTAAAGAGGTCTAGCAGTCAGACAAAAGATGTCATATACAAAATCCGATAAATGTCAGATATTTTTAGTTTATTCTTTGGTAAAAATAATAATTGTCCATTTGTTAGTGTAAAGCTTCGGATATAGAACAATTTTAAGATCTTTCTGTGAATCATTGTATGTAAATAATTCTTTGCTGAAACAAAAATAACATCGAATTTATGCCGATTCATATCAGACAATCGAATTGGATTTATCGGAAATCGAAATCGGTGAAAGAGAAAAAAGAAAGCAGCGTTAGCGAAAGCAGAGGTGAGTCGAGTGCGGGACAAAAAAAAGCGTGTATGTATTAAAATTGAAACAAAAAGATCTAGAAAAAACGTGTCCACGACGCAATTAGCGTGCTCCTGCGGCGGTTGACAGGCGATTTACGCATTGGTAAAAGTACAGAGTACACGCCGAGTAAAAAGCAGTAGCACACAAAAAATAAAATGATTAGGAAAGTGTGTAGAAAAAAGACAAGTGTATGTGAACGGCGGCTGTATGTGTGAGTGACGTGACGCGACTGTATGCGTGCTGCTGCGTGTATATGAAATAAAAAGTAACGCAAAGCGCGACCTAATTTTAACCAAATATTACAATAATATTTGCATAAACAAAGTCTATGCAATTAAAGGGACGCTACATTTTTCCTCACCGCTCCCTCGCATGTTCATTATTGTTGTTGTTGTTCCGCGGCATGCCAAGAAAAGTTGCCGCCGCCATTGTCTAGGCAAGCATACAACAACAAAATGGAAACCCAGACTGAAACACTTTTCCGTCGAGTGTATAGTTCTTCCCGATTGAGTAATGCAATAACATCAATAAAAGCTACACAAATTTTTGAGTGTTGCAACTTTCGATGGAACTCGTTTCGAACTGTTGTGTTTGTTGTTTTTATCGCTCGCTAACTCACTTACTCACCGCCGCACACACTCGCTCCTTTCCATTCTTCTCTGTTGTTACCAAAACTGGTCTTTAAGAAGAGAATCAACAATGCAATTTCTTGACGGGGTAGGGGAAAAATCGATAGTTTGGTTTAGATTAGACAACTTTCAACATCCACGATTCAACGAAATGCACTCGGCCTAGAAGAAGCTACCGATAACCCCGGCCCCAAGAGTAAGCGAGATAGTTGCAGCCGCCTGCCCACACTCACTCGCACAAAAACACGCACACACACTTACACTTATGCAGCTGAAATTTCCAGCGATGTCTGCTCTGCGTTTTTGTTGTTGTACTGTAATTGCGAAATCATAACGGCAGTTGAAAGTTGAGAGCGCTAAGCCAGTGTGAGTGAGTGGGAGAGAGACACTGTAAGTTTAAGCTTAAGTGTACTCTGGCTGCCCTTCTCTCCCCCGCCCACGCAAACATACAGCCGGTCGCAAGTGTAGCGCATATGAGAGTCGCATCAACAACAACGCTATTCCGCAAGAAGAAAAACACATGTTGGCCGCACAGTGGGATAGAGTGGGAGTGGAGTAAATACAAAGTTGCTTAATGGAAGTGCAAATGCAGCCGCCATTTTGGTTCTTTTCTTGGATTGGATCTCGAAAAACCCAGTGTGAATGATATTTTAATGGATTGCGTCCTAAAAATAGATTGACATCGGTAATGCAGAAGCATCGAGTGTAATGGAATTGATCTTGAGTTCTGCGACACTGTGCCACATTCAAATTCAAATAAGCAAAGCATACATATTACTGAAAATGCAGAAATTGCCTTGAAAAGTGAAAGGCATTCAGCAGAGCGAGCGAACTAGCGACGATTTGATATTTTTGCCTCTTTGTTTAACCTTTACGGGCAGCTGTTTGTTGTTGTTAGCGCTGGCTCAGCACTTTGACATTTTCCAGCTTACTCACACACACACAGAAATACAAATGCGGTACATTCCGAATTCCCATTTCCATTACACAAACGCTGCACATGCGCCGCAGCACTTTTATTTTGAGAATGTTTTTTGGCCGAGAGGCGTTCAACAGTAATGCTCTTTTGCAATTCCCCAAAGCCAATGCTCTCTCGTAACGTTGCTAATTTCGCCAAGCTTTTGTTGTTTGTTCGCCTTCCGCGCACTAATGTTTTATGTTTATTTCTCTTGCAGAGTGCGGCAACGTAAACCCAATCGAAAACTCACGGATTAAGTGGTCTGCTGCGAATTAAGCCCATCCAACAGTGAACCTTTAGGCCACTAGTCCAAATTAAGCCTCCTGACCCCAGAATTAAATCCACACAGTTGCACCCCCATCAACAAAAGCTTCTTCATGATGTCGTCGGATCAACAGTTCTTTCTAAAATGGAACGATTTTCAAACGAATATGGTGACCTCGTTCCGTCACCTGCGCGACGAGAAGAGCTTCACAGATGTGAGTACCCAAAAAAAACCTTATAGTCATTGGGAAAATCCCTTTACAGTCGACCCTCTATAACTTAAACCATTCGAATTAGAACCTTCAGAACAAAACAAATTTTCATTTAAATGTATACTTATTATCTACAAAATTCTTATAGTTGTATTCGAATAGTCGTTTCTTGAATTAAATAATATGAATTATAAATTATATTTAATCAGTTTTTTAAAGTTAGATAAAGAAGTTTGACTACAATTTACAATTCTCAGGGGCGATCTGAGGTTTACAATGCTACTCTTGGCCCGATTAGCTCTCGGACGCCCCTTGTAGAGGGTCAGTCACCGGCTCAGCTCACTTTGTCTGACTACCTGGCCCTCACGGTTTTTTCTATCCATTTTTTTTTACCTGTTTTCTTGCTTGTACATTTTCTTATATTTTGTGGTGCTCTTGTAGGTGTTTGGTTTGGGGAAAAATGTCTAACGGATTTAACTGATTTCCTAATGCCTTTTTCTTACAGGTAACACTCGCCTGCGAGGGCCAAACCTGCAAAGCCCACAAAATGGTGCTTTCCGCTTGCAGTCCCTACTTCAAAGCGCTACTAGAGGTGAGTTTGTGACTTAATAAATAATCAACCAACTAATTTTTTGGCATAATCCGCAGGAGAATCCATCGAAGCACCCGATTATTATTCTGAAAGATGTATCATACATCCACCTACAGGCTATACTGGAATTCATGTACGCCGGTGAGGTGAACGTGTCCCAGGAACAGTTGCCAGCATTTCTTAAGACCGCCGATCGCCTTAAAGTAAAAGGCCTGGCAGAGACACCCAGTTCAATAAAGCGGGAGGGTTGATGGTATTAAACAATAAACAAAACAAAAAATACATAAAAATAACAACAACCAACTATAAGAAACTTATATGTATGCAAGAAAACAAAATTCCAACCAGAGAAGAAAGAAAAATATAACATGAACGACTTTTGGTGTACAAATTCATGTAAGAGTACACTAAGAGGATGATGAACACCAACAGACAACCACACAAAGCTGACAGATTGAAATGATTAGCCTGTAAAGTAAAGGTGGTGGCGAAATCCACCAGCCCAATCCCAAGCCCACTCATTCACATTTGACCTTCCAATTTGTAAACCAACACTTACCGACGCCCCACAGAATTTGATTTGAATTTTGTATTCGTTTGATTTCTGCATAAAATAGTTTGTAATATATTATTAACAACTACATGAAGAAAAACACACCACTCTGTATAAATGAAACAATATGGACAGCCCCTAAACAAAGCAAAACAAAACAAAAAACGCACTTTTGTAAAGTAATTAAAAAAGATTCATTAAAAAATATATAAAGATAATTATAAATATAGTGTGAAATGTGCAAGTAAAAGAAATAAGCCACACCGGGCGCGAATATTACAACACATTCGGTTAGTTTTTAAGCCACTAACTACAACCCCAGACATGCCGCGCCTCTAGACAGACAAACTCATTTTCATCTATACTTAAATAATAAAATAGAAACAAATGCAAAATTGTACTTTAATTTTTTGTGGACAAACGCGACCTATTTTCAAAGTTTTTTAAACATACACCAGATATTTTTTAATAATAACAAACGAAAAGGAAAACGTTTCAATGTTAAGCTATCAATTCTACTTAGTTTAAACGAAAGAGTAAGGAAAACGATAGATCGAAAAATAAAACTTGAGTAAAAAACTATACTTGAATATTATTACATAAAGTAAAATATTTATATGTATGTATATGTATACATGTGAGCATAGATTTAAAAAACTACGGTAAATAAAAAGAATAATTACAAAAAAAGTTCAAATCCTCTTAAGCTTTTTATTGATTTTCGATTCGAAAGCGGGACGATTTGTGATTTCTTCGAATTTATTTTTATACTCTCTCATAACATACTCACCTCCATTGTCATCGTACTCTGTATACAATAGTTCGTTTACAAATTAACAAAAATATGTTCGCTTATTTTACATTACACTAATATTTGATATATTGCCGATTGGATCTCGCACGCTGCACACTGCAGTGGATTTAGACCTAGATTCACATTAAACTACGGTTTTTAGTTATTGAAACAGTACGCGTTGCGCGTGTGAAGTTCGAATGGATCGGTTCGCATCTTCTGCTGATTAACCTCCACGTAGCGCGAGACATCCGCCACAAGATTGGGTCGTTCCTCCGAACTTGCAGCGCATGGCGACCAGATCTTGATATCATGGTCAATGCCACTGGTGGCCAGCATACAGATGCTCGGATGCGGCTGCACACAATTGACAATGGCACTGTCTGCCCGATAAACGGCACGTATCTTGCCCGTATCTCCCTCCCAAATGTACAAATTGCCATCATCTGAACCGGCGGCTATGAATTCGCCTTGGCTACCGAGATAGTTTGCTTCCTTAATGTCAGTCGTAATGTTGCAGTGGCCCACATAGCGTTGCATGTAGTCCCGGGCGGTGGAACGAAGATCATACTCAGCGTCTGTTAGCCGCAGGTATCGGAATCCATCCTCCATTGCTACTGGCTCTGGTTCGGGTGGCTCGGTGTTTTGGGACTGCCGGCGATTCTCCTTAATGTCCTTGTTCAGCATTAGCACCCCGTGATTGTTGGCGAAGTCGGGAAAGCGCTGTATGAGAGCCTGCAAGCATTTATCAGCATCCTGGGGACGATGTAGCTCAAGCAAAGCCCTGGCTAGTCGAAAGTGGGCTTTCACGTAGCTAGGATCCAGACGAAGAGCCTCGTGGCAATCTCTTAGAGCGGCATATATATCACCAAACCAGCCGCGGCGCATCAGAGCTGTTGCTCTGTTCAGATAAAGAACCTCTCCTTGTGGGTATTTTGCTAAAGCCGCTGAATAGGCATCAATCGCGTCCACAAGTTTGCCGTTCTCAAGAAACTCATTTCCTTCCTTTTTATGCATTTCAATGCTGGAGGGCAGCGAGCGGCTCTTGTGCGGCGCCTTTACCGGCTCATCCTCCTGAGAGACTGGTAATGTAAAGGCGGGTAGTTCGTAGAAAACCGGAGGCTCAGCATGGTTCAGATCGTAGCGGTAGATGTGCTCGCAGCCCATGTTGACAAGCAGTTCCGTGCCATTGCCGTTAAACGTAAGATAAGTGATGGCTCGCGACTCGTGAACAATGTTCCGGCTGATGTTTTTTACGATCTGTCCGGGAGCATAGAAGGCCACGCAGGCGGAGAGACCTGAAATAAATTCTAGTTTGCAATATGGTGCAGAACGTCCAATTTTAACAACTTACCATTTCCATCAGTAGCGGGCAACTTGCGCCGATCGTACACCCGGGCAAAGGGATCGTTGGTTCCCACTGCTAGGTACTCTGTTCTCCTGGGGTTAATAGCCAGGCACTTGGCTTCCGCCGTGGATTCCACCTGATTGCACAGGCTCAGGAGCTTGACGCCACTGCCTTCCTCCGGACGGCAGCGGTGTGGTTCACGCATATCAAGCTGCAAGATGCATCCATCCTCTCCGGCCGACCAAAAAATATGTGGCGAATCCTGCGCGGTGGCCAGACGCTTTGCGCGCATAAGGTGACAGTTGCATGCAAATAAGGTCTCATTCGAGTGATTGATGTCGTAGACGTAAATAAATTTATCCGCTGCACAAGTAGCCACAATGCTGTTGTTGGTCTTGGGCAGGAATTTCACCGAGAACATGTTTCCCATGTGCTTGGTCCTAATAACATGGACACGTTTCTTCCGAAACGGATCCCAGATCATCACACGATAGTCATCGGATCCAGAGGCCAGCCAAAGCCCATCGGTGGTCCATTCCAGGCAATTGACGCAGCCCTCGTGTCCGGCGAGAAGTGCCTCCTGCTCCAGCCTGTCCACATAGGCAGGAGAGGCCAGGAGCCGCCTGCGGAGAAGTTCGTCCATCTCGTGGTACTGCTGGCGCTGCCAGTGTAAGGAACTAGCGTTCAAGGGCGTGTGCTGGCGCTGATAGCGCGAACTAGAGTACTTTACGCGATACAGTTCATCGCTCGACATTATCTCCGAGTGATGTGGATAGGATTATGACACTTGTTTCTGTTTGTTTTCGTCTCGCTCTCCGTTTAATTCATTTTGCATTCGCTGATTACCCTGGCCCCACTTCGCCGCCCCTGCGGTCCAACCTTGCTGTTGTTGACACCTGTGCGCAACGTTGCCACCCCAGCGCTTTTCTCGTAACAGCTTTTGTTGAGTTTTTGGAGAATGACAAATTTAAAATTAAGGTAATTTATTTCTTTTTAAAATACCAGCTCGTCGAAAGATTAAGTTAGGCCTAGTACGTAACTGAACTGAAGAACATACTAGCTCTAATAATTTCGTATGATTTTGATGAGGTTTCAGCTGTTTCAGTTGATAACAATGATGTACAACTTATCGATAGGTGTATACTCTGTAAGCTTAAAGTTTCACTCTGTTAGCTTTCCGTTAATTTTTAATTTCTTTTAACTGGCTGTCAATTTATTACATTTCACATGTTGTGCCCACATGCAGTGGCAAAACTTTTTTTTTAATATTTTATTTTTTAAAATTCTCTGCTCACTGATTACTGGCTAAAAGATAGAATAGCTTTTTAGGAGTTTAAAAGGGTGTGTTTCCTAGAACTGAAAACGATCTACAATTTTTCCAAAATTCTGATCTCGGGACCGACCCCAGATGAGTGATAAAGCGAAAATGACCCTTCGGTCTTCCAGTTTTTTATCTTTAAGATTATTGCGATTTTTAATTCGCTTAACGGTTTACCGTAGATGATAACTGGGTAAGTCAAAATAGACCTTTCAAAATTAAAAAGGATATTTATGACTAGATGAAGTTGAAAAATGAAAACTTATGCAATATGCATATGGTTATGAATTACAATATAAAAAAAAAAATCACACAATTTTTAAAAAGATAAGAAAATAGATTGGAACCCGTGTTTCTTGGATTGCAAGGCGGGAACCTAAGATAAAGGCTAAGCAGTGCCACAAAATGCTGGTTATATCACTGGAACCACCTATTCAGCATATGAGACTTTATTTTGTTCTTATCGGAAATTATGTTTGTGTAATGGCTGGCAGATGATGGCCATAGAAATCTTGGTTCAATTTTTAATAAAAAGGAGGAAAACAAGCACTAACCAAAAACAGTCTTAAAAGATCGCCAGTCTTCAACAGACCACTCTAAAACTGCATTGAAAATTTGTTCTTGACATTATTAGTTTCTTAGTTGAGCGTATTGACATTCGTTCGGCTAATTCCGTTGTTTCTATTAAGATTTTTTTTATAAAAAGAAATACATTTATACATTCAAAATTAAATCGTAGAAAAAGCAAATAAATTTAAAATTGCAATTTTGACTGGTGCGGTACAAAAAAAATGAGCTTAAACGAAAACGACATCCAGGAGGAGCTGAGAACTGCGCTAAGCAATCGAGACATTGATCAGTTTAAAAGTGCTCTGGATCGCGGTGCCAATCCTAATCTGTTGTATGACAACCAAAATAGTTTTTACGAGAAGGCACTATATACTCCAGGAAGTCGGCAATTCATAGAGGCCTGTATCAATCATGATTGTTCAGTCAATTATGTAAGTATTTGCACCTAAGCTGTTAAATCGATCCTCTGATATCCAATATGCTTTTTCACAGGTTAATGAGAAGTGGAATAAGGCGGCAGTTCATTATGCCACCGAATCAATGGATCCCGAGAACCTAAAGGAGCTCCTAAAAGACCGCCCGGATGAAACAGTCTATGTGGACCAAAAATACTACCAAATTACGCCACTAAACTGGCTGGCCAAGAATCTCACGGAGGAGAACGCTTCGGCAGTGGTACAGTGCATGCTGATGCTTTTAAAAAAAGGCGCTTCTTTCAATACCACTGAATACAAAACGCTAGACATTGACAGCGATTGCGGTAGAGAGGTGCCCGAACTCCTACAGGGAAAGTTTCCAGAGTTCCACCTGCCTAAAGAGCACCAGGAGACGGAAGCCAAAATAGATCAACCAAGTCGTAGTTTCAGAGACGAAGACGAGAATCTGAAAGCCCTAAAGCATGGAGCCTACATTGGATCTACCAGCAAAAACGGAAATTTTCTAATTAAACAAATTCCGATCGTCGAGCTCAAGAAACACTTTGACTCCTGCATCACCACAGTCGGATCGGATCCCGAAGCATCAAATTATATGATCAAAATCGATTTTAAAACCCTGAAACCGCCCGAAGATAAACCCTTCGAGATGGCCCCGATCGCTATTTTGGCCGAGTCAAAGGAATTGGTTTATTTACTTCAGCATCCTCTTATTTCCGGCTTTCTCTTCCTTAAGTGGCGCCGTGTTTCGTTTTTCTTCTATGTGAACTTCATTTTTTTCGGGCTGTTAGGATTAATTAATATCCTCCATATAGTCCTTAAATTTCACGAAATCCGAAGCATTGCACTTATTATTATACTGTTGGTTTGCACTAGCTGTCTATTCTTTCGGATGATAATCAATTTGTACATATTAGGATATAGGTACTTTTGCTCCGCAGTAAGTATCATGGAGTGCGCTGTAATGGTGCTCTCGTTTACGATCTGCATTAGCTTCGAAGATAAGCAGACAGAACGCGTCCTGGCTTCCCTTTCCATCCTGGCAGTCTCAGCAAACTTCTGTATAATGATCGGCTTCGTGCCAGCGTTGGGCATTTCGACGTACATGCTAATGTTGCGTGAAGTTTCGTTCAGCTTTTTAAAGAGCATATCGGCCTACTCGATTTTTCTATTGGCTTTCAGTGGTTGCTTCTATATCCTTTTCAATGAGCCGTTAAAGAAGCCGGATGTAGGTGGTACCACGGAACAGAAAAATCAGACATTCGACTTCACCAACTTTTACATTGCTTTTATAAAAACTACTGTGATGATGACAGGGGAGTTTAATGCTGGAGAACTTGAGTTTACTGGCATCTTCACCTACCTGTTCTTTCTGCTCTTCATTATGTCCATGAATATTATGCTCCTTAATCTGTTGAACGGTCTGGCCGTTAGTGATACCCAGGTAAGTCAATTTGACTTGTACGTCTGCTTTACTTCACTAATTAAATTTATGTTGCCATCAGGAAATAAAGAACCGTGCGGAGCTCAACGGAGCCATCTGCATGTTCAATTTGCTAAGTCGGTGCGAAATGATACTTACTAGTCCTGGACGTTTTAATACTCACTTGCGGTCTATAAACATCTTTCCCAATTATCTGAAAAGCTCATATATTTACGTCCTGCCGAACCAAGGTAATAAGGTGATCATACCCATTAATACAAGCGAGTACAAAAATCATAACACTTTGAGCAGAAAAAGGTCAATTTTTCGTGAAATGGATAGACGGACGGTGAAGACGGCTCTGGAAGTGATCAGAGAAAATAAAAGATTGCAGCTAAAGCGTAGGCAGGAAGAGTTAAATATGAAGAATGAGTGCAATCAGGAAAAAAAGAACGAAAGGAGGATGGACCTCATTGAGAAAAAGCTGGAAAATTTGGAACAGATTAACGACGATGTTAGAAATCTCATCGTCATCGGCATAAAGAGCATATTTTTGAAGAAGTTGGAGACAATTGTATAAGCTCTTTGTGCGGTATTTTATTGTACATAGTCAAACATAATTTAGGATAATATAGTAAGTTTTTACATAGGAATGTAATGCAGCAGTGCTGCCAATGTGTGCACAACCAGCAAAGCCATGGCTGCTATAGATGGCAATTTTTAAGGACTTTCCTCTAGATTTATTTACTTTTTAGGAATTTAGATTCCTAAATATATAAATTAGATAAAAAAAATATGGAAACGTTAGCTTATCCAACAACCATAGTTTCTGGTAAATTATTGATTTCCGATCAGTTACTTGTCAAATTTTAAATGATTGTTTTAATAAAAAATTAAAATCTTGCATATACATATATGTTTTTTAAGATACAATATTTTTTTTCTGGAATGGAAATACTGTAATCTAATTCCTCGAAATACTTGTGTGTTTCGCGTTTGAATTTAGCGGGAACGCGGATTTTTTAGTAAAAAATCAGTGTTGGTCAACAGCTTTTGGCTTAAAAGTTGATATAGCATCTGGTAACACCTCGATAAACTAAAAAAAAGATTGATTATTTTAATTCAACGAAAGACGCGACGGGTTCCGAAAAACCGAGACATGTCCAATGAAAAAGAGGACGAGTGCGAAAAGCACAAGCAGCAGTCTGAGGCGGACGCCAAGTCGACGTCGAGCGATGATTCGGATGAGTATCAGTCAGCCGGTGAGGGAGATGACGGCGAAGGTGACGGTGATTCCCCAGAGGAGCACCCACCGTTGAAAGCAACCACACCTGCCACCACTACCCCGAAGACCGTCACGCCCACAGCTAAAGTAGCACCTCCACTGCCCACAAATAACCCAACATTAGAGCCAATGGATAATTATCCCATGCACCAGAGCGTTTTTGAGGACGACATAAAATCGCTTCAACGCCGTCTCCTTTTAAGCACGGCTCAGGATGAGGTGGGCCGGAAGGACAAGCACGGAAACACGCCACTCCATTTGGCCGTAATGCTGGGCAGAAAGCACGCAGTTCGTCTGCTCCTCGCCCAAAACGCCCCTGTGAAGATCAAGAACAATGATGGCTGGTCTCCACTATCCGAGGCCATTAGCTACGGCGACCGACAGACAATCACCCAGGTGCTGCGTATGCTCAAGCTGCAGTCGCGCGAACACATGGAGAGCCGTCGCGAGAAGCTGGTAAATGCTCTGCGCCAGATGCAGGACTTCTACATGGAGTTCAAATGGGACTTCCAGTCCTGGCTGCCGCTGGTTTCCCGCATCTTGCCCTCGGACATATGTAGGCTTTACAAGTCAGGCGCCTCCATTAGGTTGGACACCACACTGGTTGACTTTAACGATATGCGTTGGGAGCGAGGTGACATATCGTTCTTGTTTCGAGGGGAGGCACCACCGAGAGAATCCCTGGTTCTGCTGGACAATGAGCAGGAGTGCTACCAACGGCTGCGCTATGAAGAGTCCGATATGGAAGACGAGGTGGACGTACTCATGTCCACAGATATCCTAGCAACCCAGATGTCTACCAAGACGATACAGTTCGCCCGCGCGCAACGTGGCTGGATATTCCGCGCCAATCGAAAGGAACTCATTGGCGGTCAGTACCAGTGCGAGATTTACACCATCCAGGGTTTGATCCTTAAGCAGCGTAAGAGGCGCGAGCATCTGTCGCATGAGGACTTACAGAAAAACCGCGCTATTGTCGAGACAATCACAAAGGGAGGCGGCAGTCAACAGCCAGATGCCCGTCGCTCCAGCCTAGGTAGCCAACACACTGCTACACCTCCCGAGTCCAATACGCCGACGGCTCCAAACGGCATAACACTGCCAGAGCTGCCGCGTCGAAGTTCGTTGCAAGCTCCACCGGCCACCACGGTAACCTGGAGGCAGTATCTGGAAGCTGAGGTCGGTAAGTGTCCGCAACTGGGCAGGACACCTGTTCACAAGCAGTCGAACAAGACGCTACGCGCCACAGTGGCCATGAGCAAGGACTTTCCGCTTAGCGTGGATATGCTTCTGGACGTTCTGGAAGTTGTGGCGCCACTTAAACACATCAACAAACTGCGAGAGTTCGTAACCCTCAAACTACCGACGGGCTTTCCAGTGAAGATCGAAATACCCGTATTACACACAGTTACCGCCAAGGTGACGTTCCAGAAGTTCGAGTTCCGTGACAACATCCCCGCCAAGTTGTTTGAGGTGCCGTCACACTACTGGGAAGATGTACGTCGTTTCCAAGACTTATGACCAGGCGACGGAGAAACCGTGCCGAAGCCCAAAAACCCGGAATCCGGTTCGGCGGGAGCACCAACTGGCGTCCGAGTCGATTTAAATCGCAATGCTCCGCCGCCGTCCATTGCAGAGTTCGATTAAGGAGGCGTTTTCTGCAGCCACCTAAATCAACCGTTTTATAGGTCGTGTCGTGTTTTGTGATCTCTCTAGCAAAAGCCGGAGGATACTGCTCGAGCCCGTGACGTTTATGTATGTATGTTTGTTTAGGAGGAAACCACCCAAAACTCAAAATTGCAATTTTCACCTTTTAGAAGATTCTATTTCGTGGGAATCAACATTTTTGAGCTCATTTTTGCATTTGTTACAGCAGTCTGAACTAAAATGAGACGCTATGAAAATTGCAATTTAATATTTACGTTTTGTTATGTACTGTATTTGTTTATAATTAACCCCTTATCCCAAGGGGAATTATTTCGTAGTATTTATTGTTCGATTCAACCAACATTCTGCCCAGGCTCGTAACTTTTTATATCCCCAGAATGAATCACTTCGAAGTAATTGGTGTTTTTTAGATTGTCGCCCTATATTTGGGTGGGGTCTGAAAACAGCTGCTCTATCGGGAATGAAAACCAGAAAGTTCTATTTCGGAAATTGACTTTCCTATCTGCAGATAATCGCGGTGGTTAAAATGTAAAAATAAATGTGCAATCGAAAGAAACACTAGCTGATTGATAGCCCCGATTCATCCTACATAATCAAAAAGTAGTTAGTGAGTGATTATATGTATGTTGCCCAATATCCGATCGTGGCAAACTCTGTTTATCATCATTATATTTATGTCCACCCGCATCCCCTTCCGTGTTTAGTGCAATTTCATACATAGATTTAAGGTAATTTCCAAAGGAGTCTGCATTAACCGCTTAAATAGTGTACATCCAACATTTTCGTTCTTTTTATACTTACGCTACGTGTACTAGGAAATCGTCAGCAAAACAATTTCGTACGCCTTTTTCATAACAGTCCCAAGTATTTCAAAGTGCGCAAAACTAAAAACAGCTTCACAAATCAATTATTGATAAATATTTATAACTGTGTACCATTGTATTTATGTAGCTCCATTTTAGCCAATTATTTAAACCGTAATAAAACGTCTTTACTTTTATTTGTTAAAACAAAAAAGCTTGTAGCGCCGAATTAGTTTTGTTTAGCATTTCACAGTGTGATTTTGCCCTTTTATCAAATTATTTGCAGAGTATGACTAAGAGCTATGTATTTATGTAAAACTGCCATTGTTTGTTTAATTTTTTTGGGCTCAAGTTTTGTTTTTTATAACCATCACTTAAGCAAAATCAATGCGATAATCAAAGGAAAGTGTTTTTAAACATTTTATTAACTGTAACCCTAGACACAAACACATCCACACAAGAAATCTGATATAAACAAAATACATGAATTTTACTAGTTAAGGGCAATCGATTGAAATATTTATATTTATACGTGGCCACCCTAAATGTAATTGAACCGAGCATTTGTATATGCTATGAAAATATAATAAACACATCCGCAAGCTGTAAAATGTGCAACCTAAGATGAATTCGTTTTATTTAAAACAAAAACAGGTGTAGAAAGAATTTTTAAATTGCGCGCCCTTTTCGCCACACTGACCGCCGCGGGGTTACTCAACACTCCTATTCGCTGAATCAGCTTTTAGTTTCCCCCCTCAATACATCGATTTCTTCTGTTCATAAGTTGGCAGCCCTAATCAGCTGATTGACTCACAATCTTGGAACTAAACTCATAAATTGAGATAGAATTTGTGCTTTAAATCAAAATAAGAGATAATACAAGCCTGCAAATATGATTGTTTCGCGCCTGGCCTTTCCCATTAACCTGGCCCTACAAAAACTTTCGCGAAGGGTCGCGGAAAACCCTGGTAACCTAAGGATCCTGCAGCGCCACATGTCCAGTGTGTACTTCCGGAGCGGAGCCATTAAGCCCAAACCCGAAGAGATGCCCTTCGGACTACTGGCTGTCTTCTGTGCCGTTATCCCGGGTCTATTTGTGGGTGCCACCATCAGCAAGAACGTGGCCAACTTCCTGGAGGAGAACGATCTCTTCGTGCCCGCCGATGATGACGATGACGAGGATTAGGTCCTAAAAGCAATTGCAATCTTCATGTGGGAGTGCCTCCTAGTCGGGATGAGTATGTTAGCTTGGAGCCGTTGTCCCACTCAGAAGATCTTTACAATCGGCCAAAAGTTTATTCATCTATCTTTTTCAATATAAAACGATGTATACTTTTAAGGTCCCACATTTTTAGCATTTTGTGTGTTTCATTATATGTATGTATTCTGCAAATCCCGCTTTGATATTTTTGACAAACCAATTGTTAACCACGCTCGATATATTCACGAATGTTACTAGACTTAAATAAACTTTTTTCAACTATGCTAATGGATGACTTTGTTATATAAGGGACATCTTCTGAAACATTCATATATATGTAGAAGATATCTGCTTGAAGACTAATATATATTATATACTCCATACATACATAGTTGTGTTCAAAAAAACAGTACTATTGATATGTGCTTGGACAGCAATTTATATTTTAACAGTTATAATTACAGCTATTATTTTGAGCAGCTTTATGTCAAACCCACCTTATGCCACCCCCTAAATATGTAAACACAGTTTTTGCCGAAGTGGAATTTTATTGTTATTAAATTTGTTGGGTGTACAAAGGTTTGTTTAAGGACTTTCTCTCTGCATTCGTTACAATGTATTCAAATGGTTTTAATTGCTGGGTTTTGCTTCAAAGATGCGCAATCAAATTTTAACAATCCTATTTTTGTTTAATCATACAAATTATGCTTTATATCGCTTTAATATATAAGGATACATATATATCTGCTTTATATATAGAAGTGTGTTGATTTGCGTATAATTCGTGAAAAGTAAAATTTTTCATCCCTTCAAACTTTTTGAATATTCCAATTCGGGTTTTGGTTATGTTTTCTGTTTTACTCTCAATTTACTGTGTTTGAGTTTTTTTTAAATATTTTTGCATTTTCTGCATATATATATATGATTTTTGTGTTTTGCAATTTTTTCAATCATTTTTGCTTGGTTTTTTATTTTAGATTTGTTTAATAAAAAAATATGAATTTCACTGCCCGAGCGGCGATTTTATTTCCGCTTGCTTTAATATATCGTATTATGTATGGTGTAAAAACATTATTTACTGGTAATATTCTTGTTTCTTTGTATATAACAAAAGTCGGAACGCAAATAAAATCGCGGCGGCGTCCGTATTACGAGTTCTCTTCAATATATATATTTTTGCAAATCGTAATAAATGAATGTTTGTTTTTCGCTTCCATTGTTTGGATACGTGACCATAAAAATCCTGCTTGCTTATTTGCCCTCGGGTTTTTCGCCGTTTTTCAGTAATATGCTTCATAAGTTTCTCACGCTTTAGCGCTTTTCTTGTGTTTCTTGTATTTCTCATATATATGTTGTTGTTTAATATGTGTGTGGGTGTTGTGTGTTTATATATATTTCCTTTTTTTTTTTTTACTGTTTTTACATAGGTTTTTCAATTTTTTTGTAGGTTTTTAAAGTTTTTGTTTTGTTTTCATTTTTCAACATATTTTCTCTGCTGTTGGCTTTTGTATTTTCTTTCTTTTTTTAAAGTAGCAAAAACTTGACTCTCATATTCTTGCGGTTATCTTTTTTCCTTTCTCTTCTGTTCTGTTCCGCACAGTTTGCTTTACATTTTTTCGTTTTTATTTTAACTTTTTTGCAATTTTTTTGTTTTGTTTTCTTTGCTTTTTTAAAAGTGTATGGTTGTCGCGTTTTTCTTTTTCTAAACAAAGCTTTCTTAAAGTTTGAATTTGAGAAAAAAAGAATTGAAAAAAATTACATATCGCTTTCGTGTGTTGTTGTTGTTTGAAAGTGGGGAGTGTTGTCGATGATTTTAAAAACACAATTTCAATCATTGCAAAAAGCTTTCTACAATTATGCTTTAAACCGATGTTTATTTTGCAAGGTATTTAATTTTTGCTTTATACGCATACAAAATATTACTGATTCAGTTTAAGCAATGACAAAAAATATTTTTCTTTCAATTCATATTTTTCAATTTTTTTGTTCAGTTAACTTCTTGTTTTTGTAAAAAAAAAAAAAAGGAATTCTTGAATCTACTGCAGAATTGCTTTTTCTTGACTTTCTTCTTTTTGCTTCGTGTACTTGCGTAAATGCGTTCGAAATTAAATGATTGAAATTGTTTAAGCTGATGTTTGTCTGGGATTAGAAAAGAAAAAAGCCGGAGTTTTTACGCTTCGTTCCTCTGTGTTGAATGTGTGTCCTTCTTCTTGGCGTTCTTTCTTTGCACTAGGCATCAGTGAATGCGAATTGTTCTTAATGAATTGAAAGTTATGTGGAAAACTGCAATGGCAAAAATCTGAGATTGGTAAGGGCGTATTTTTTATGAATGCTGCACTACATACTTTTTGGGTGTCGAGTGTTCTTGTAAAATTTTCATCCGCTTGAGCTGTTTGATATTAGTTAGCGGGCTCAGATACGCGGTGCACCTGAAGCACAGCTACAGCCTCCTCAACCTTGGCCTTGAGGGCTTCTTGATCCTCGATCATGTGCAAGAGCTCGGAGTTTTCAATCTCCAGCAACATGCCGGTGATCTTGCCAGCCAGAGCGGCGTGCATGCGCTCAATCATCGGATACAGACGCTCTCCCAAGATCTGCTTCTGCTCCTGCGGCTTGGCGTTGGCCAGCAACGAGGCAATGAGCTTCTCAGAATCTGCAATAATGAATTTTTTAATTAGTGAAAACTCTTTCGTATATAGTTTACTTAAAACTTACTTTTTCCTTGCAACTGCTGTGGGACTGGCTGGGTCTGCTGCAACTGTTGCACAGGGGGATTGCGCATGTTGGATGTGTACTTGTAGTTAGAAGCACGCTGCTGCGCACCGCCAGCAATTTGTGCTCCAGGAATTTGCATATTAGGAGCTGCAGTCTGTTGGCCGGTGATGGCACGCGCTCCAGTGTTGCGCATGTTGTTAGCTGCAACAGCGGCGGTGGCGTGCGTACCTTGCACACCCTGGGGCTGGGCACCGCGTGCTCCAGCAGCAGTCGAACGGAACTGGGCGGGCACTGCTCCGGCGGTACCCTGGAAGCCACCAGCTCCAGCTGCGCCCTGGACGCTTTGCACCGCGGCACCGGGACGCACACCGGGCGCCCAGCGTGGAGCGTTTCGCATCTGTGTGGCAATCTGGGGACCTAAGAATCGATGGCTTGGCGGTAAGGTCGGCACATAGAAGCCTCCGGCTGTGTTGGGCTGGAAGATTTGTCCCATTTGCTGCATGCGCATGCCGGTCATGTGACGCATGTATTGCGAGGCGAGGTGAGCCTTGCGGTCCTCCTTCCTCTGAGCCAAAGCGACGTACAAGGGCTTGGTGCCCATTACGCGACCGTTCAGCTCGGTAACGGCACAGGTTGCCTCGTTGGGCGAAATGAAGCAAACGAAGCCAAAGCCCTTAGAGCGACCCTCCTCATCAGTCATAACCTTAGCCGATGTGATTGTGCCGTACGGCGAGAACTTTTCGCGCAGGCGATCGTCATCAATAGTGTCGTCGAGGTTCTTCACGTACAGGTTAACGCCGAACACAGACTCGTGACGCTTCTGCTTCAGTTCTTCGAACTTGCGCTTCAGCTCCTGCTGGCGCTCAGCCTTCTTCTGAGCACGGGCCACGTACAGGGACTTGCCCTCGCCCATGTCTTTGCCATTTAGAGCCTTGACGGCCGCCTCAGCAGCCTCTGTGGTCTCAAAGGCCACGAATCCGAAGCCCTTGCTTTTGCCGTCCTCTTTGGACATGACCTAAATTCGAAAGTAATATTAGTGTGAAACAAATTAAAAGACGAACGAATTTAATACTTTACCTTGTAGCTTGTGATCTTGCCGTAGGGTTCAAAGAACTCCTTAAGCTTTTCGTCGTCAAATTCCTCGGTGAAGTTCTTGACGTACACATTGGTGAAGAGCTTAGCCTTCTCGCCGAGCTCCTTCTCGCGCTCCTTACGGGGAATGAACTTGCCTACGTAGACTTTCTTGCCGTTTAGCAACATACCGTTGACTTTTTCGATGGAAGTGTTGGCGGCATCTTCAGTCTCGAAGTGGACGAAGCCATAGCCCTTAGAGTTGCCCTTCTCATCGGTAGCTACCTTGCAGCTCAAAATGTTGCCAAAGGCAGAGAAAGTGTCGTATATGGCCTTGTTGTCAATGCCCCTATCCAGGTTCTTGATGAACACGTTTCCAACACCAGACCGCCGAAGTGAAGGATCACGCTGAGACCACATAATGCGAATGGGCTTGTTGCGCACCAGGTCGAAGTTCATGGTGTCCAAAGCACGCTCAGCTACGGATAAAAGATGGGAAGATTTCCAATAACTATTGGTTCGCTTTTGGTCAAATTAAATGAGAGTCTTTAATGGTATTGTGACTCTTCAACTTCTGCACTGGCCATATGCAAAAGCAGCCTAGTGCATGGTAAGTCAAGCCTGGACTCTTCTTTTGCAACTATGAATCTTAGTCGTGTCAAAACAAGTTAATTTGACCAACCAATGGGTAGAAGTTGCCGAGTCGTATTCTTTTAAGCTGCTACTTTTGAGAATGGTTTCTTTGCTAACTTTACGTCGAGTAGAAGAAGGTAGGTAAGAAGAAGGTATAAATAGTGTTTTTGTTATGCTTCTACTTCTGCAAATGGTATGCGTTACCAATTTACATGGTAAGTTACATAGATTTATCTGGCAACTTTAAATCTTAGTCGTGTCAATAAATGATCAATTTGACCAACCAATGGGTAGAAGTTGCTACTAGGGCCTAGGAAAATGATTAAGGATAGAATCGGTGATTGTCATGCTTCTACTTCTGAAAATGGTATGCGATACCCATTAACATGGTAAGTTGCATTGATTTTTATAGCAACAAAGAATCTTAGTTGTTTCAAAAAGGATATACTTGATCAACCAATGGGTAGAAGTTGCTGAAAAAGATTTTGAACTAAAAATTCGCGAAAAGGATATGTAATACTTCTACTTCTGCGAATTGTACGCAAAAACGATCCGCATGGTATGTTGTATAAATATTTTTCTGGCAACAATGAATCTTAGTCGTGTCAAAAACAGTAAAATTCGACCGACCAATGGGTAGAAGTTGCGAAGACAATTTGTTTTCAATTATACATATATTAAATACTAAAGCGGAAAAGTTAATTTAAGCCGACATTGTCAAAAACAAATACAGATAGCTTCGCCATAACCTCAAAACATAAAGTTCACTAAACTTTTACGGAATGCTGGAATGCGGCGACAAGCTTTCACATGCAGCGTAATCATTATTGGCCGCCAGTTTTGTGCCATTGTACGCTTAATTCAATAAACAAATGTAAGCGAACAACGAAAAACGAAGAAGCAGCAGCCACTATGCGCAGTGAAAGTTTGTTTTCGTTTTTTTTTAAACAAGATTTTAATGGGCGAAAGAGAGGCCGAGGAGCTCGGTTCACTGACATGTCAAGAATTTGGAAGTGTTAATGAATGGATTATGAAGAGCAGGGACGACGTGTGAAAGTGAAAGCAAAAACAATGGTAAGCAGCAAGAAAAAGCGGGCGTGCCGAAATTTAGTTAATGGAATCTAACCTAAAATTGATGAAGGCCAACAAGAAATGGCCCAAAACAACAATGAACACATGTTCATGGAAGAGAAACACACACACACAAAACTGTGCGCATAAACGTGTGCGTGCGCGCAAGTTCACCGCTTGGAAACAACACAACACATCAAATAAAACCAAAACAGGCGATGAAACAATGAAACAACTAATGGGCGGGGCTGCGATAAGCTGTCTGGGCAATATGGAACCATATTATACCATCATAATTGCAATTTTGCGAAATTGAGGCGGAAATTTCTAGGCGAATGGTTGAAGAGTGGCACAAGCCAGCTGTTTTTCCCTTCTTTATCCCTCGCACTTTCAGTCACTTCCACATCAACTGGAATTCATACATATATGCACTAACATCTGAGAGTGTGTGTGTGCGACGAGATTAACGTAAGCATTGTACGGTGGAGCGAGTTATGAAATACTTGGAAAGCCGTTTATCAGGTATTCTTATAAGTCATCGTTCAACCTAGTCCAGTTTTTGAGGACTGTTTTTTCCCCACTGTGCGACATGCGTCTGTATGCGTAAGCGAGTGCAAAAACTGCACACGTGTTTTCTTTGTTTCGCGCGGAAGGGGCGGACTTTTCAGGCACTATCGACTATTTAATTACACTACTTTTCACGGATTACTCACCATCGGCTGGCTGCTGGAAATTGACGTAGGCATAGCCCAACGAACGACGGGACATCACATCTCGGCAGACACGAATGGACAGCACTGGACCAGCAGACGAGAACTTATCAAAAAGATTCGATTCAGTGATGTCCTGTTGGAGATCACCGACGTATAGAGAAGCCATATTTGGTGATCAGGTCTACCTGCAATTTCAGAGAATTAATTTCGGAGTTTTTACATGTTTTTTTTTATATTTATTTTTAATAATTTTAATTTTACGGACCGGATGGATTCGACCAGGCAGGCGGTGAAATAGAAAGAAAAAAAAGCGGCGTGGCTTTAGCTCTTCTATTCGTCTCTCTGTCTGCGTGTCAAGGTGGCAACACTGGTGCGTGTGACAGTCGGTAGACATGGCAACGCTGCGTGTGCTTTGTTGTTGCTTCTTGCGCTCTCCCCCAGTCACACTCTCGCACCATCTTCGTGTTGGAAAATTTCCACACATACACACAGCCACAAAGATAGACACGCGTTCTGCCTGCTCAAAGCTATACGATTTGTTGAATTTTCGCAAAAATTTACAAACATGAGACCCTTGCCCGCGATTCTGCGAATAAGTTCACGCTTTGGGCCGCCATCTTTAAGACACGGGCAGTGACGACAAGCAAGAAAAGTCTTGCTGGGAAAATTACCCATTCGCTTTGTCTCGCGTCGCGCCCTCTTGTTCACCATTCCTCTAATTCCATTTTCTTTGCACCGTACTTACTTTTCAAACACTTGCTCGATTTTTTGCTACTTTTTACAATTTTTTTTGTTACGTTTTTGGGTTTTTAAATTTTTTTTTATATTTTATATATTTTTTTCTTCACAAAAAATATGTGATAAGCCGTGTGCTGAAAGCGAATCCACGACCGCTCACGTAAACGGACTCTACACGACTCAGAGAAGAGAATCGTTTCCGATAGCCCTAAAAAGTATCGGTAAAAACGCACTTATCAGAGCTGCCATTTTGGGTTGTAGAAAAATTATCGAACGATTTTTCGAGAAGAATTTGACTAAAAAATCCAAGAGCGCAAAATTTAAAAATGAATTCATTTACCAATAGGCCTTTAATAAGCTGATTTCCTTTTAATTTAATGAATATTTTTAGCCTATTGTCTACTGAGAAAAATACGTGAAGATATGATGGCAGCCCTGCTGGACTTAGAATTTTTTTTTCACAAATGTCATTATAAATTTAACTGGGAGCCGATGCGGAAATGTATAAATTGGGGATTCCCCTTTCTTCAAACTTACCTAAGTCCGTGGTGTAATTATTTGCCTGCAAAAGCAAAACTCCGAGAGGAGCTGGTGTATTTCACAAGTGATTGTCTTTAACCGGCACTTTAGAACGTAATCGTCTTTTTATGCTTTTCGTTTTTCTACGAAATAAACAACACTCAAGTAAAACCTTCAAAAACCGAGTGTAATTGAACAATTTTTTTTTGTTTTATGGCAATAAACCAATTTTTCTTATTTTTTTTCTGTTTCAGATTGCTGTTGCATGTGCCCTAGCTGGTAGTCGAGTGCCTAATGAAGCGAGTAGGCAGTCGGGGCTTGACAGGTTCGAAACCCTAATGTCACTTTGGCCGCCTACTGGGGTTTTTAACCAAAAATCACAAAAAAATGCACTTTTTCGAAACATTTATTTGGGCATTATATACTTCGTTAAGAACATTTTTCGCTCTGGTTTAGCCTAACATATATGTACGTCAATGTCAGCTTGAGATTTTGTTTGCGTTCAACTCAATTTTGATTTTGTTGTTCTATTTTTTAATTGGTAAACATAAAATGTAATTTCTTAATTCATTAATGTTTGTTTTCCCTAATCTATGGGAACGAATTATTGAACTAGTCCTAAATATTATCGAATTTGTGTTTATGTATATCAAGTATTTTTTGTATGCATAACATGATTTGTTTGAGAGTTTCCCTTTTTAATATATATTTTTCAAAAATATACATGGGCATAAAACTAAAGTATAGTACTGAACTTAGCGAATCGTTTTCGTTTGATAGACATTATTTAATACAAACTCATTCAGCAGCGAATGTTACATAGGATTCCAGATTAATATTGTAATACTTTTACCAATTTCGTGGACCTTTTTAAGTTTTGCTGCAACACTTAACTGCCATTGCACAATTATAACCTGTATTTAGTTGCTTTTTGCATTTTTTTTTTACAATTTAACAGTATACCGCTTTAATGCTGAACCAATATTTTGAACATTCTTTTGCTATTTTGGCAGTGGTAATAAACTTTTAAACGTTAACAAATAAAGAGGCCCGGAGCTGGCAGCGAACATTAATAAAGAATAACGCAGGAAAATGATAAACATAAATGTAAACATGAGTCGGTATGCCAAGAGTCTAGTTTCCCATCGATCCGACAGCCGTTGCCGCAGCATCTCCTCCCCATTCAACTAGATACTGGACCTGTCCGTTTCCCATGCGGCGCTTGGCTCGAATTGCAAACGGTTCACCAGCATCTATTCGATTAATGGCGCCGCCGAAGTACTTGTTCACCGACTGCTTCAGATCCATTATGGAATGTCCTGGGGCTGCAATACCATTGCTGCTGCTGGTGGTTGCCGTAGAGCTGGTTGAGTTCCGGCGGCTCTGGTTGGGAGAAAGCTTTTGCGGCCGCTGGCGTAGGAGGCGTCCGTGCGTTGGCTTTCCCATTGGCGGCGCCGGTGGCTGCAGATCTTTGGCATAGAGAGGAAGATAGTGGCTGGGTATGGGATTGATGGTGGTGGTGCTGATGACCTGGTTAATGAAAAAAAAATACATTAAATATTGCCACAGCTTATGTTTTAGATTTCTACCTCAATGGCCGTTGTCAGGCGGCGGGTGCGACGCCTGCGCACTTCCTGATTGGGTCCTATTGTTATGTCTTTGGCACTCAGTCTTCGCTTAATTGTGCGCACCATGCGCGGTTGCTCCTTGGAGGTGCCTTTAAGCTTGAAAATGGTGTTGATAATCCCATTCATCCCAACTCCAGCTCCCATACCGATGCTTCGTCCCTGCAACGCTTTTTTTGGAGTGGCCATGAGGAACGGATTGTTGCGCCCCAGAAAGTTGGCCGGTGGGGGTATGATGAGGTCCAGCGAACTGGTTCCCCGACTGCTGCTTGAGTTCTCATCGGATGATAGATCACAGTGGTTGCGGCTGTTGTCATAGCGCTTGGACAAACGGAAAGCTTTGCGTTTGCGACTACTGTTAGCGTCCAGCAGCGGTGGAATGGGTGCTGGCAGTTTACCGGGATCGCCATCATTAGCATTGTCGTCGGCGAGGTCCAGAGCGCTCGCCTCGATGTGTTCCGACTGCTTTTGCTTTAGGAGCAGATCATCTTGCTCATCCACCTTTTGGCTAGCTTGCTTCTTTGCCTTTTCGATGATTTGCTTGATGGGGATCTCGTCCTCGCTCGTTTCAACTTGCTCATCTTCATCCGTGTTGAACTCATACACGTCTTTCGGAGCTCTTTTCAGAGGCTCTCGGTGATTTTCAACGGACTCCTCGGGAAAGAGAATTAATTTGAACTCTTTTATCAGTAACTCATCGGAAAGTTCCTCGTGTGGCTCTAGGAACACTTTGGGAGTGAGTGGAGGGCCACTGTGCCGCAGAGCATAGAAAGCAGGCGCTCTTTTAAACTCTCTGCCACAAACAAATCTCTCCGAGTTGTCTTTTAGGGTTAACTTGATACGCTCCATCAGTGCCGTCTCCGGCATTGTGCGCCACTGATCACAGATAGGCAACTGGTGGCGCTGTTCGAGTATGAAGGGCCAAATGTCCTTCAACAGATGGTGGTACTTCTGGTGCTGATGTTTGCGCAGATTGTACAGGGCAATGTGGAGTACATCCACCCAGTTTATCTGCAGACGTCGAACAAACTCCTCGCCTTTGTTGCACACTGTACAGCAGAATACAAAAAACCTGAAAAATAGGTTACTTAACGCTTTTAATTTTATAAACATATCTCAAATCTTACATGTCGCCGCGCAACAACTTTCTCTTAAAGTTCTGCATGCATTGGGTGTGGAACCAGTTGCGACACTTACAGCACTGCAGCATATTTTGATCGAATTTCCCAGGCTTGCCGCAGTAGCAGTAAATCTGCTCCTCGTTAACCCGATGCTTCTCATCCCAGCTGAGCTTATCCGCCTGTGGGCCAAATGAGATTAGTTACCCAATTCCCTGGTTTAGAAACTAAGTATACTCACATGGTAGGGTAACTGTTGGCAAATTCCTACAGGCTTAGTAATCTCGTGGTTTACCGGGTGCTGCATTTTCATTGGTTTTGCGCAGCGCTTGCAGCTCCAAATTCCACTACCGGTAACGATTTCCATAGTGCACCCACGATGATAGCCACGTCCACAACGCTCGCATATTTCTACCACATCTTCGATGTCTGCTCGCTTGCAGGCCACGCACATGGGTCCTGTGGTGGAGGTATTTGAAGTATCCGAACTTGAGCCAGCTCCCCCGCCACCGGTTAGTGAACTTCCGCCGCCCAATTTGCGTAATTTATCCGGTTCGCACCATTGCTCTGACTGATCATCAAAGCGGATAAGAAACTGATGGCTCGTCTGCTCAATTATGGTGCCCAGGTAAAACCTACCATCGCTGCACTTAATGAAGACGTCCTCCTGCAGGGCATATGTGACCGCCGGCGGAGGAGCAGTAACTGGTGGCGGTGGCGGAGATGGAGGAGTTGGAGGCGCGGGTGGTGCTGATTCGATGGCCTTGAAGCTAGGCTTCAGTTGGCTGACGGCCTTAAGTAGCGATTCCGTGGCTAGTAGCGGAGGGGAGGGTGAATTCTTTCCAGGTGAACTTATAGTCTCAGGGGTAGTTGGTGGAGTCTGGGGCGTTGTGGTGGTAGAATCCGGCTCATCCACAATTACTATGGCCGCTGAGGTGGTCGTGCCCCCACCATAGCTGCTGCTGGAAACAGAACTACTGCTGCAGCTGCTACTATCAGCTGTGCTACTGTCGATCAGGGGCAAAATAGCCTTGTGCTGAATAGCCGGTATGATGGGCGACGGTTGCTGAGCCGTGGTCAGCGATGAATTTAGAGCGGCGGGCGATTCCGCATAGTGGTTATTGATGCAAATATTGATGCGGTCCAGCACCACGGTGGAAGGCGGCGAAGAGGAGTTGCTCACGGGGACCAGAGGCGGCGGCTGCAGTTGCTTGGCATTTCCACTGGCCGCCATCAGGTTAAGTTGACCAGCTGTTTGGCTACCGGCACTAGGCAAATAGTAAGACTGAACGGGCGCATAAATGGAGTGCGGATCCTGTGGCGATTTGTTCAGACTGTAGACACTCGGCGCCGTCGAGATAATCCGTATATTGTTAGCCTTAAAAGGACTGGAGCTTGTTGCCGCCTGTTGCTTCGTTGGAGTAACCTGCTGGGCAAAGCTGTTGGTGATCTGGATAGTGCTGGGATGTGAGGCCTGTGTCCCGGAGGTGGCATAGTAACGTTTTGCTACCGTTGCGGGTCCTCCGTTGGGTGGCAGGATTTGATAGGTGGTGGTCATCCATTGCGGCTGCTGGCCAGATTGCTGTGGCAAGTAGCCGTATGAGGTGGTCGTGGCAGGAGTTGTTCCAGATGCGGCAGCACTCGGCTGCTGCATAAACGAATGTGCCACGTTTTGTGGCGGATGATCGTGTTGCAAATGATAATGGTTGTTCATCATTGCGGCGGTGTGTGCGTTTTGGTAGGTGCTTGATTACCTGAATCTTCACAAGCGCAGTCTTTTATTAAAATCAAGAACCTTTAGTTCAATTTGCCGGCTTTTGTTGGCTCGTTTTTAATAGGTTTCTTGATGGTTTTTCGCTGATTAACACGAGCTCATTAATCTGGCGCCTTTTTCGTCGAATTTGTTGTTGCCCCGCTTACACACACACGTACACTTTTGCAAGATGTATGGACTTAAGAGCGGGCCCTTTTGTATTCTATGTGTCTTCCACATTCGTACTTTTCCACACGCACCACGGCACTTCTTATTTCGGGAGCCGATTTCCCCACCTTTCAGTGTATTTCGATTCGTGCATTAAATTAGCATTGTGCTCAAATTAATTAGGGTGTCGGCTTTAGGCGTCGCTGTCCCAAGTTCATCCTTAACACCAGCGAAAATGCACAAAACAAATCACTTGAAAATTAATTTGTGTCAGCCATTTTTCAACATATGCCCACCAGTGTGACCGCGGAAAATCGCAAAAAAATATATAATACTGGAAAATACTGGAAACAACTTAAATAATTGCGACGATTTAGAATTTTGGTTAAGCAACAATTTAATAATTTCTATTTATATTTGTGTATAATAAAAATACTTGGATAATATTTGAATACATAATAAGGAATATATAAATATATATATAAATAATACAACAATTTAAGAAAAATAGTATTGTTTTTATGCATATACAAAAAAAAACTTAACTCAAATGTTTTTTTTTATATTAATGAACAATTTTTGAAACTTGTTGCCTTCGTTATAATGTTATATCATCCACACTCGACCAAGTAGAATATACTGAGTGAAAGCCTCCTAACCTTCCTTTTTTAATACAACCGTTATAATACCGACCCGAACCTTTTAACAAATCTATAAGTAGCTAGTAGCTACATTAGATTGAATAAAAATGTAGACATATAAAACTAAATTACAGACATTTGAATAGAGAAGTTGCGCGCTAGAAAATACTAGAAAAATACCAGAAGAGCCAAGCAGACATTGAAAAGGTATAAATAGCAGCGAATTATAGTTCGGTAGGTTTTTTCCAAACTGGTCACGCTACGAGCAAAAGCAATTTTATTTCACGGAAATTTCATTAGGTTTTCACTTGTGAATAAATCGCGGAAAAACGCTTAAAAAACATACAAATTATAGAAAATAAATCGGTAAAGAACGAGAGTTAAGTGCAAAAAGCAAATTAAACGAGTTAAATACGTTTTTTACACCGCAAAAGCCGAACGAATTGCAAATTTGTTAAGGTAGGTAATCGGAGCAGGAGAAGAAGAACTAGAGCTCCATTTGTGCAAATTGCTGGCTTGAATGACGCATTTGGCTGTAATTTAAACTATTCGATTTGAGCTGCAACTTTCACATCAAATTGTATCCATATGTACCTTTTACATATTTGTATGTATATTGTACCTGCACACGCACACTGCTTCTCATACACACCAATACATATACGTGGAAAAGTGAACTGTGAACTGGAAAAGGAGCGTGTGTGTTAGTGTGCTGTGAATTCATTCATTACTCCTTTCCAGGCTGCTGGTCACTATATGTCCAGGTCGCGTTCATCCGCCAAAGCCGTGCAGTTTAAGCACGAATCGGAGGAAGAGGAGGACGACGAGGAAGAGCAACTGCCAGGCAGGAGGATGCACTCGTTCGGGGACGCTGGCGCCATTGGAAGTGGGGTGCCGGCCTTTTTGGCGAAGTTGTGGCGCCTGGTGGACGACGGCGATACCAATCGCTTGATCTGCTGGACCAAGGTAATTTTACGACGCCATATTGTTTATTTACCTTTCCAGGGACCCCCCTCTAACTATTTACCGCTAATCAGCATGGCAACAATGACGTTGCTTGCAGGTGTCTCAAACTCTCTTTCTCAGATGTCTCTCTTTGTTGTTGCTAGGTCTGTGTCGCAACGCACGTATGCAGACCACCATGTTATTGTTGTTGTTGTTGTTGTTGTTGTTTATGCTATTTGCATGCGTACGTGCGTGAACTTTGAAAAATTTTCCATCTCCAGCCGTCAATCGAAAAATTTCCCTTGGTCATTCGGTTTTTCATTTAAGATAAGAGTAATTGGTTCTCACTTTTGGTTTCATCACACTCTTAGCAAAGAGTGTACTGATAAGCGTAGCATTCCAAAACCTTTTATAGTAAAAATAATACGGTTTTGAACAAAATAATAGTATATGAAAAGAAAAAAATAATAAGTCATAAGTAACTATTATTGTTCTTGAACAATTTAAGAAAACCTCCATTGTTCAAGTAATGCTTTATTTTCCCGAAAATAATTCATCCATTGCTCTTATATTAGGCATTACCATTATCTTGACACTTGCTGTAATTTTGCTCTTCGGATCAAAATTAGCTTAATTATATACGAACGTATGTTACATCAAACGTAAACTCTTATCGTTTCCATTTTGCGGCTTACCGCGAATAATTTTGTGGCAACCACATATCAGCATGACTCTCATATCGCTTCCGTTTTTTGCTTTATTTTTTGTAGGATGGCCAAAGTTTTGTTATACAAAATCAGGCTCAATTCGCAAAGGAATTGCTGCCCCTAAACTACAAGCACAACAACATGGCCAGCTTCATTAGGCAATTGAATATGTGTAAGTAAAGTGCATTAAAATATCTCACTTTAAACATCTTCTAAAATGCTTTTTTTTATGAACAGATGGATTTCACAAGATCACCTCCATTGACAACGGAGGGCTACGTTTCGATCGCGATGAGATTGAGTTTTCACATCCATTCTTTAAGCGAAACTCTCCATATTTACTAGACCAAATTAAAAGGAAAATATCGAACAACAAAAATGGAGACGATAAGAGTGCGCTAAAGCAGGAGGCCGTGTCCAAGATACTCAGTGATGTTAAGGTGATGCGTGGTCGCCAAGATAATCTGGATTCACGCTTCTCCGCCATGAAGCAGGAAAACGAGGTGCTGTGGCGCGAGATTGCTAGCCTGCGTCAGAAGCACGCAAAGCAGCAGCAGATAGTCAACAAACTGATCCAGTTCCTAATCTCTATCGTGCAACCATCGCGCAACATGTCTGGGGTTAAGCGTCATATGCAGTTAATGATCAATGATACTCCCGAGAACGATCGCGCACGCACAACCAGCGAGACAGAAAGTGAGGGTGGCGGCGGCCCAGTCATCCACGAGCTTAGCGAGGAGCTGCTCGACGAGGTGATGAATCCCTCGCCGGTTGGCTACGCTACAGCATCGCAGTACGATCAGGAAAGCGTCTCCCCTCTGGCTGTTGAGCGACCGCGTTCAAATATAAGCGTTAGTTCGCACAATGTTGATTATTCGAATCAGAGTGTCGAAGACTTACTGCTCCAGGGCAACGGCGCTCCTGGTAGTAATATTTTGGTTGGCGGTGCCGCTTCTCCGCTGGCATCCAGTGTAAGTCAATCGCCGGCCCAGCAAGTTGTCTACACGGTTACGGAGGCCCCCGATTCTCATGTTCAGGAAATGCCCAATAGTCCGCCGTTTAACGAAGAGCAGAACGTGCTTACCACGCCTATGGTACGAGAGCAAGAGCAAAAGCGTCAGCAGCTTAAGGAGAAGAACAAGCTGCGAAGACAAGCAGGAGATGTTACAATCGATAATGGCGAGATTCTGGTGGAAGGTGTTTCATCAAAGGTGCAGCGTGCGGGCTCTCAGATTAATGCGCAATCTAACACAATTGTCCAACCAATAATGATTAAGTCTGAGCCGGAGAACAACTCTGGACTGATTGATCTAATGACTCCCTCAAACTCTGATCTATACAATGTAAACTTCATCAGTCAAGACATGCCCACGGACATTTTTGAAGTAAGAAGCTTAAAAAACACTTAAAAATGGTTGCTTATTGTTTTTTTTTTTTTATAAACCTTTTAGGATTCTTCTTTGATTCCCGCTGGCGTGGATGAGGCAGCAAAGTTGGATCAGCAACAAAAGTTTGGACAATCGACTGTAAACAGCGGCAAGTTTGCTAGCAACTTTGATGTGCCTAGCAACAGTACTATGCTGGATGCTGATCAGGCTTCGACTTCCAAGGCGGCGGCCAAGGCACAAGCAACGGAGGATGAGGCAATGGCTGTAGCCAAATACACGGGCAACGAGAACGGATCTACGCGAGATCCCAACAACGGCCAACTTCTTAGAATGCCTTCAGTGTTAGTAGACAAGAAGACTTCAAATCCAAGCAAGACAAGCCATAATCAAGAAGCAAATTCTTACTGTTGCAGTGATGATCTCCACGGACATTTGGACAGCATGCAAGATGAGCTGGAAACACTGAAGGATTTGCTACGGGGCGACGGGGTGGCCATTGATCAGAACATGCTTTTGGGTGTAAGTATCAATAATATATTTATTTTTTATTGGATTAGCTGTCCGTTTGTCCGAACAAAGGCTTATTTTACATACGTTCTATTTACATGATCAGGCGCCTGGCAGGACGCCCATTTTTCAGTTGACCGAGGACGAGCTGCTTCTAAAGGTCAGCGCAAAACGTCCACAAATGCTAGGCTTTCGTGTCAAAAAATGTCCTAACTGAACCAACTAACAATATGGTTTATTTGTATACTTTACAGCTCTTCAATGACTCGGATTTAATGGACAACTATGGCCTATCTTTTCCCAATGACAGCATAAGCAGTGAAAAGAAAGGTGGGTTCGGATATTTATATGAGTCTGACGGACGAAATTAACTAATTTGATATGTGCAGCGCCAAGTGGCTCAGAATTGATTTCGTATCAGCCCATGTATGATCTTTCCGACATTCTGGATACGGACGATGGAAACAAAGATCAGGAGGCCGGCACTCGCCAGCTGCAGACGCAGAGCTCTGTCTTAAATACGCCACGTCATGAGTTGTAACTTATATTAAGTAGTAGCAGCTAAGGCGATTATCTGGCGAACAAACTGTTTTTAGTATATATGTAATGGAATCAATCTTACATGTTAATTTTCTTCACTCTGTCTAACCTTTTAGTTGATTCTTACTATAATTATATTATTAATCACCATAATCATATTAATGATGCTGTATATGCCTTACGCACTATATATATGATATATAGACTAACCAGTTCTTGTTGTAGAAAGACTCGAAGAATCAGTTAATTTTTAGATGTATTTTGTATCTGGGGATTTTGCGAGCCTCGGGCTCAGGTCGAAGATTTTTAGTTTGCACTAACCGATCGAGAAGAATAAATGCTGTTCAGATCGTAGACGATTTAAGATCGCACGCTATAGGGTATACGTTTTACATACTACTTTTATTAATCGATAATAAATTGTTTTAAGCTGCGTTGAGCTGCAAATGAAGGCGACCGTTGTTCTTTTCTGTGAACTTATGAAATACCAATGGATACCTTATTTTGTGCATAATTTATTTTGGATCATTGTTGATACAACTGAATAGATATGGACACATATCGACTCATCCTAATACAAATTAACTTAGGAGAGCTTAGCCTAGAACGCAGATATACAAATTATATGTAAGTTTAAAAATACATAAAATGAGTGTTCATCTGGGCGTGTTTTAGTGCGTTGTTTATTACTAAAGTGACTAATAGAAAATTGTACGTATAGAATAGCGATTCTTTAGCACTCGTCCTTGTATTTGGCGTCCTTCAGAATGCTTGCGAACTCGAACTTAACACGCTCTCTCTCCGATCTCGGCATGCTGCGAAGTGTGTCCACCAGCGAAAGGCAGTAAAGCTCGATGGGATCACTGTAGGGAGTCGTCACTGGGGCCTGAAGCGGCGCTTCGGGAGCCTTACGCTTGAAGGGATTGCTAAGAAAGTCGCTGGGTAACGTGCGCCTTACGGCCGCCTGCTTGTAAATAGGTTCAATAGTAACCTCTCCGTTGGAGAGCGAGCTATTCTTAATCGGTTTCTGCTCCGGGGGTTGCTGCTGGGAATGCATTTCCTGGTCGTAACCATTTCCCATGACAACCATGGGCGTGAGCAGGGGTGAGGACGCTGGCGAACTGGGGTGGTCATGTTCGTGGCTGTGATTGCTATTACTTGTGCCGTTTAGTGTTGACTGCAAGGATAGTTCCTGCTTCCGCTCCTCCATGACCAGCTGTAACTCCGGTACAATCTCGTTGTCGTCGCTATTGGAGCCATCCTCACTGTTGTCCAGCTCGATAATGTCGTAGCCCTCAGAGGCGTCGATTTTCAGATGCTCCGGATCGGGATACAGGAAGCTATTGCTGTCGTTGTCACTTCCTCCTCCATTCTGAGGAGCCACATAGCTCTGGGACTTCTTGACATTGTAGGTTTGGGCCGTATTCTGCAGAAAGGATAAATCTTCCGTAAAGCGTCGTTTACGTACATTCGGATTTGCCTGGCCAGTCTCGATTGCCTTAACCTCTTGCAGATAGTTGTAACGTATGTTCTTCCATTTGGTCTGCAGAAATCGAGCTGTAAATTGGGCAACGCAGAAAATAGGGTGGTTTTATGGACACAATCTACGCAGTGGATATATTGAAATATACTTACAGGAGGCGCCCAGTTCGTTGGCTATGCGATCCCATATGTCCACACGAACAGGATTGCGACGATAATGCGGATGGCTTACGTCGTATATTGCCGGATTAGCTCGAACAAGCTTTATCAAGCGATCGTCTGCCAGAAAGGATTTGTGGGAAAAATCGTTAAAATCTGTTTTTGTTTCGGTCTTGGGTTCTACGTTTCTTCGCAGCAGAATTAGCAACCCCTAAGCACAGAAGACACATCCTTTGCTGTGGGGGTTGATTCTGCGAGCCCCGGTTACTCTGATTCTATTGTGTACCATAGCAAACCGAAGGAAACTTACCGAACTCGGGTCCTGTGGTCTCGCGCTCAGCGTAGTAACGCTGCATCTTCTCCGATTTGGTACTTATGTCCTGATTTCCGCTCCTCCTGCTCATTTCTTTTTACGTTTCTAATTGCTTCTTATAGTTTTGACAGTCAGGTTTCCATAGGCGGATGATTTTTTTTTTTTTTAAGTGTTCTTCAAGACTCCGCTCGCTGGGAATTCTAAAAGTTTATTTTGCTGCGACCGATTTACCGTTCGACTCTCCTGCTTTCTCTTCGTTTTGGTTTTACGCGCTCTGCGCAGACTCAAATCGGCTGGTCTTAGCGCTTGGCAATTTTTAGTGCCTTATTTTTCTGCAAATCGATTGTGCACGAAAAAGATATCGATGGCAATAATACCGTAAGGTGGCAGCGCTCCATTATTGGCGGGTAACTTACAAATTTCTCAGAATAAATTGTTTGAACTTTCCAAATTTGTATGTTTCTTGGAACTTTTATATTTCAAAAATGTTGCATATATCTTTATTCATTTTTCACTTTTTTCTTCTTTTAATTATTTTGTTGAATAACAAGTTTTAGGCTCTTAAATGTTCAAATTGTTTATCTTTCACCAATACAACAGGTGTCTTTTATAAACATTTCATAATTCATTTCCCAAAACCAAAATAAAACAAGACATTTAACATGGAGCGCTTATTTATTTAGAAAAAATACTTTTTGATAAAAACAATACAAACAATTAACAAAAGACAGTGAGAGTGGAGCTTCTAGGCTCCCTTAACAAAAGCACCGGCGAATAGGATATTCTTCTTGTTCCAAATGACGTAGAGGAAGGGACGGTCAGCTTGGAACTGCAGTGGGAAAGTCATCATGCGCGTCATCATGATCATGCCGGTGGCAGCTGCTGCCTCCGTTCCCTCCTCGTTGACCTCAATGGTGGCTTTGTGCAGCACCTTGGACACAAAGATGCCCTCGGGGGACTCCAAGAGATTGTTGAATTCGGCTTCATCCGAAAACATTTTTGTGATGCCCAGCTAAAAGTAAAAAATAAACAAGTACTAAGTAAATAACTAATGAGGTCATAGCCGCTTAAAGGTTTCGGATCGATAAGATATGACATATGAGGTGTGTCACATCCGACTGCAACTAAAGTTCTGAAATTTTATTGACTTGTGTGGCTGATACATGATCTTTAACACGAACCGCAGCCTGCCACTACGATACGGCTACCCATTTTGGTTATCTGAGACACCTTAGCGTCGATAAGCTACTAAAAATAATTCCTACATCAAACGAGGAAATTTTTAAGATAAGAAGTTAATAAATATTTTTCAGGGGGCGGTTTGCAGTGCTGCAACGTGTCGATAAAATGGAATATTACCATGTTTTATTATGGGCTACTGCTAATTATAGCTTCTTGTTTAACCTTAACCACCCTACTTGACTAATAAGGAAGGCATTTCTCATTAAACGCGGTCAAGGAACTGTGCCGAATTATGTAAAAGGGAAAGTTGACCATGAATTGAGCTTTTGTCAAAACGGGTGTAGGCATAAGGGAATTCCTCTGTTAAGTTGTTTGGCTAATTCTTAATTCCAAACTTTATTAAAAGCTTCGTCCTTACCTGCTTCAGTTTTTCGGCCAATTCCAGGGAATAATCCACCTTGAACTTAGGGAACTTTACATTAACCTCCTCCACGGTCATTTTGTCGGCCAGATCCACCAAGTTAACAGTCTTGAGCTTTTCAGCCAGGTCGAAAATTCCCGTACGCTCCTGCGGCAGCAGAACGAACATGGAAAGATCCGAGTCCTTGTATGGCATTTCTAGGGCTGTGCAACCGAGGTCCTCGAAGTAGCCATAGTTGAACTTGGCCTTTTGGTTCATGAAGTTGAGCTTAACCTGTTCTTCATCGCTCACCCAAAAGTCATCTTCCAGAGTACGCTCCTCATTGAACTTATGCTCCCAGCTGCCCTTAAAGTGAAGGGCATTGAGCAGGACCAGTCGGGTGTTGTCCGAGAAAGAATCCGAGCTGACTAGTTCTGTGATCTTACCCTGCGTCTTGGCATTTACCCAAGCATTGATGGCCTGGGCGGCGGCATCGCTGAGAGCAAAGTTAATGGACTCCGCCTCAGAATGATACTGTTCCTTAATGGCAGCTTGATATTCTGGTTTCAACTGCTTGCCCTCCTGAACGTACAGCTTGTTGGCCACCCGCAAAAGGTTGCTATTACGATATTTTTCCAGGACGAACTGGAAAGTCTGCGCCACCTCTGGCGGAAAGTTGGACACAAAGTGCAAAGTCTTTGCAATCTCGTCGGCGGTTTCTCCCTGTGATCCAGCAAAAGCCAGGGCGATGCAGGTTTGAATCGAAAAGGGTGAGAAGACTACGTTTTCCTTGAGACCACCAGCGGCCAAAAGCTGAAACAGTTCCGTGGTAAAACGGGCGCCTCCACGCGCAAATTCCAAATTGAAGTCAAACATATTGACGGACTAAGAGATTGTGGGTGTGATGCGTAATTGCGGAATTACGTGTACGTGTTTTCTGGTCTGCTGTCTACACCGGAATGCCTTAAATGCCGTTCGGGGCCACAAAAAAAGTGAAAAGCAACCATTTAGCAGAGCCGGCGGATGAGTCACATTCAAAACATCATCAAAACAATCGACCTGAAGAAGTGGCGTCACCATTTCCTTCCCCCTTGGTGGTTTTCCCAGGATTACTGTATATATGTTAGTGTACTCGGCCTCGGGATAATTATATGTGGCCTATATGGAAATAGTTTTTTTAGTTTTCATGCGAAAATATTGTTTATTCAATTTGTTTATTATGTTCGTAATTAAGCGTCGTCGATTGACGGCGTTTGTGGAACGCTAGAATTGAAACATAAATTTCGGCATATTTGTTATATGCAATTAAATCAAACATTTATTTTAAAATCATCATTTCACAGGTGTTGAAATGATATGTAAATCAACCAAAAGAACTTTAACAATATAATTATTCTGAAATTAAATTTATAATTCACACATGTATATTGTGACCCAACCATTGGCGCCCAAAAATATTCATATTAAAATACCATAAAATACTAAAACTACTCCTGCATTAGCGTGAGAACAATAGGGGGACTCCAATATTTTTTTTAGCGCGACTTCACTGATAAAGGTTAAATGTTCTGAAAATTAAAAAAATCGAATTTAACAACTAACAATAAGCAGGTGGCATTTACCAAAAAGAAATATAGCAAAAGTTAAGCAATGTATGAAAACGGCCTCCAAGTTATCGAATATCGATTCCGATAGGAAAAATACCAGACCGATTAATGTGCAACCCTGGCTATTCTTGCCGTCGCACGCAACCCACCCCGCTTCCCGCTCACCCACAAGCCATTATTTTCCGAGTTTCATCCGCAGCCACAGTGCAAAATAGGTTTATCAATTTAATTTAAGTGTTAAAGTAGTTATAAAGTGTTTTTTAAGTTGCGCACTCGATCGAGGCCATCCTGCATGGATGTGTACATGTGTTCGCCGATCGAACGGAGTTCTTGCTTTTAGTTGTTGTGATTTTCGCGTGACATTTGCGTACGAAAATCTTTTTGGGAACGGACGAAGGTGAGTTGCGACCGCAGATCGTTATGCCATTCTCGTTTCGAAATGGGGTTACGGAATGATAGGGAATGGAATCCGTGGATCTGGGTCCTTGAACCCCCTGCAATGCACGGAACCTGAATTGCACACTGCAGCTGCATTTTATCAGATTTCACCAAAACAGAAAACATAAAACAACCCAACAACGAAGACGATGTCGACCGTAAGAACCAGAAAAGTGCAACAAGGAGTGGTTGGTTGGTTGGCATCGCATCAACTAAACGAACCCTTCTACCCGCTGCCTGTCACAATTTGATTTAGGCCGTTGTCGTCGCTTCAGTCGCAATTCTATATACACCATTTGCATTTTGCATTTACATGCGCTGCATGCAGTTGCAACTTGTTTACTCACAATCGCGGCACAAAGAAACACCTCCAGGCCCTTTGTGCGGCCAAGGAAAACATTGTATACATATGTGAATGCCTGTCTCATTCTGGTTTCTTCTTCTATCCTTGCAGCTGCGGTCGCTGGTTAATCGGGAGTCGTAAAGGTTACAGCTCCTAAAATGCAACACAACGTTCATGCCGCCCGGCCAGCGCCTCACATTCGAGCGGCCCACCATCACAGCCACAGTCATAGCCATGCCCACATGCACCTCCATCCCGGGATGGAGCAGCACCTGGGCCCTAGCTTGCAGCAGCAACAGCCCCCTCAGCAGCCTCCACATCGCGACCATCTACATGCACGGTAAGGAATCGGTGTCAGGGATAATTAAATTTTTGGGGTTCAATGAGCAGCTAAAGGTTTATTCACCATTCAAAAGGGAATGGATCATAGGAAAAGGATACGCCTACCCGATCCATAAAGATTTCCTCAAACATCCCCTTGTGTCACTTGAAACCCAGTGTAAAAGAAAGGGTTTACCTGAAAAAGGTCACTCTCCTACGTTTATAAGAACTTACATATCGTCGTAAAATATATACATTTTATTCTGTTCAGAAGTTATTTCTGAAGATTTCTATCAGTTGAAAGTGAAAGGAGATATGTTATTAGTATGGGAGGGTATTTCTTAAACTTTGATCATTGAATCTCATAAAAAACTTTCTAGGAAATAGGATTCCAGAAAAGAAATAACTTTTCCTTTGCGTAGTTGGATCTCGCCAAAGGGATACCCACAACTTGTTTGAGTTGGATCTCAAGCAAAAAAAAAGGCAGCTTCTTGGCTCAGTTGGATCTCAGAGAGGTTCCAGCCAGCTTGTCTGGGCTTTATGCGTTGCGGCAATTATGTTAATTCCTGTCACTGACAATCGGTGTGAGACTCATCATCCCATTTTCTCAACTCATAAATTATAATTTCAGTGGCTCTTTGTTCTTTCGCGCTCAGCATGACTTCCGCTTGATGATAACGGGTTTGCCCTGCCGACTGCGCTGCAATTATCCTTGACGTTCGCGAGGATCCTTCGGCTCGGCCTCTATAACTTCAGGCTCCTCGTATTGTCTTCGATCATATGTTTTTCCAAAACTCTCACTGAACTTCTCATCCAGTTCCGCCATCAGTTGCGTTTTGCCTACCGCTCGGATCGGGTCGCACAAGAACATACCGGCGGTTGGAAAAAAACTTGAAGTTCACTGTCAATCGGAGATTCTAACGTACTTTTGCGTACGATTTCCCAACGATCATGAAACAGTTTCATCAGTGCGAAGTGAGAGGTGAAATATGCAAAAAGATTGTAGCCAAAGAAATGAAATTAGGATTCAATATCGCATAGAGATACAGTGAACTTTTTGAGATGGGAACTCGTATATCTTTCAATGATTATCTCTTTAAAATAATAAATTTAATCTTTTTATCTTAAGAATTTGAAAGTGAGTGGTGAAAAAATTCAAGTTATTAGTGAGAAGTAATATGTAGTGTCTTTACCGTTTAATAGTTAACTTTCCTTCTTACCGTCGCTTAAGTAAGATAAAAGAAGGGAAATGTAATGTAACACAAAAGATAAAGACAAGCAAATCTTACTGGAGGGAGTTGAAAGACTTAAAAGATTATAAACAATTGCTATTGGAAGATAGTGCCCGCCAACAAAAAGACGTGATTCAATTAATTAGCTTTACCTTCTTACCTAGGACATTTTTATCGCATATCAACTGATCCTAATCACAAATTGCCCATATCAATGTTAATTTGAAGGCTTGTTCCCGTACTGATTTAGCGATTATAAATTGCCGAAAATATTTCTTCGTCTTGTGAAATATGCTAGGCTGTAGGTAAATGCGTTTGAGTGCTGTCCTACCCTCGATTGGGAGGGGAGTGGGATTGAGGAGAAGGGTAGGAGCAGGAGCAGGGTGTCGCAGTAGGTGCGTCTCAATTGAAACTGACAGTTGGCGAAAAATGACACGATGCGTAAGAGAATGCGGCTTTTGTGCTTTGTTAGGATTTTGCCTATTGTTCAGCATTGCCGCTGTTGTCTGCGATTCCGCAGGAACAACAACATACATGGCGAAGGGGAGGAGAAAGAATCTTCTAGGACCTCGGCTCATTGGTGTTTTTGTTTTTTCCGTGCGCCAGTCGATGTACACTTTTGTCTCGATGGCCTCTATAATCCTCTTGGCGTGTATTGTTTGCTGATATAACCGCAGAAGCCAGCGCATCCGCCCCGGGAGCTTTTACTTGTGGCCATCGATTAACCAATTTGAGTGCTCTCTCCTTCGTTTTGCAGTCTGAATCATCACCATCTCCACGCTCAGCAGCAGCAGACGCCATCGAATCAAGCCACCGCTGTCGCTGCGGCTGGGGCTGCCTATCATCACGGCAACATCAACAGCAACAGCAGCAACAATATCTCCAGCAACAACAACCAGATGCAGAAGATCCGCCAACAGCACCAGCACTTGAGCGGCAGTAACGGCATCCTTGGTAACCAGCCTCCTGGACCGCCGCCCCAGGGTTTCAATCCTCTTGCTGGAAATCCGGCTGCCCTTGCCTACAACCAACTGCCTCCGCATCCGTCGCACCACATGGCCGCCCATCTGGGCAGCTATGCCGCTCCACCGCCCCACTATTACATGAGCCAGGCGAAGCCCTCAAAATATAACCAATATGCCAACAATGCCAACAGTAACACCGGTAGCAATAACAATGCTAACAACTATTACCCCAAAGGCCATACTGCAGAATACGTATAGGAATCAAAAGGTCGTTGTTCCAGCATTGGTGCAAGAGGTGAACTCAGTGGCCGAACCGCAAGTGTCTACCACAACCGCCACCACCAATAACTCCAGCAACACTACCAACAATACAGTCAAAGCAAGCGATCCTGCAAACCAAGAGAACGCATCTCAGGAACAGGAGTCAGCAGAGGAGCCAGTTTCTTTAGCGGACGACTGCAGTAGCACGGAGCATATTGATGCATCTGGGACACTCCCCAATGAGGACACGATGAGCTCAGGACGTGGTGGCGGCAAGGATAAGACTCCAATGTGCCTGGTCAATGAGTTGGCCAGGTACAACAAGATCAGTCATCAATATCGATTGACTGGAGAAAGAGGCCCGGCCCACTGCAAGACATTCACGGTGACTCTGATGCTGGGCGATGAGGAGTACTCAGCGGATGGTTTCAAGATCAAGAAGGCACAGCATTTGGCTGCCAGCAAGGCCATCGAGGATACAACGTACAAGCATCCACCGCCTAAGATCCGGCGCAGCGATGACGGACCGTTGCGCACCCATATTACCCCGACTGTGGAGTTAAATGCCCTAGCCATGAAGTTGGGTCAGCGTACTTTTTATCTGCTGGACCCAACTCAGATACCTCCCTCGGATTCCATGGTGCCGCCAGAGTTTGCAGGAGCTCATTTACTAACAGCACCCGGGCCGGGTATGCCGCAACAACCCCCACCACCTCCTTACGGTATGCGACAGAGGCTTGGCAATGGTTTCGTGCCCATCCCATCGCCGCCAATGCATCCGCATTTCTATCATGGTTCTGGACAGCGACCCTTTCCCCCGAAGTTCATATCACGCTTTGCGATTCCTCCGCCACTTGGTGGTCATGTGCATCACGGACCGAATGGTCCATTTCCACCTGTACCTACGCCTCCCAGCAAAATTACCTTGTTTGTAGGCAAACAAAAGTTTGTGGGCGTCGGGCGAACACTGCAACAGGCCAAACATGATGCGGCAGCCAGAGCATTGCAAGTCCTCAAGACACAAGCTATTTCCGCATCCGATGAGGCACTTGAGGACTCGATAGACGAGGGCGACAAAAAGTCGCCCATCTCACAGGTGCATGAGATCGGGATCAAGCGCAACATGACCGTGCATTTTAAGGTGTTACGCGAGGAGGGACCAGCGCACATGAAGAACTTCATTACGGCCTGCATTGTGGGCTCTATTGTCACTGAGGGTGAAGGCAATGGGAAGAAGGTTTCGAAGAAACGGGCTGCGGAAAAAATGCTCACCGAGTTGCAGAAACTGCCGCCCCTTACACCCACGAAGCAGACACCTCTAAAGAGGATTAAGGTGAAGACTCCCGGCAAAAATGGAGCCTCAACAAGAGAAGGTTCGGTTGTGCCGGGCATTGAAGGTCCGGCGCAAATGGGAAAACCGGAGAGACGCAAGCGTCTCAATCCGCCTAAGGAAAAGATGGTAGACCTGGACGATGCGGATAACCCTATTACAAAATTAATTCAACTACAGCAGACGCGCAAGGAGAAGGAGCCAATCTTCGAACTGATAGCCAAGAATGGCAACGAAACCGCTCGGCGGCGGGAGTTCGTCATGGAGGTTTCCGCTAGTGGGAGCACGGCCCGTGGTACAGGCAATAGCAAGAAACTAGCTAAACGAAATGCGGCCCAGGGTAAGTTAAAAATGCTAAACAAAAAGTTCTGCAAACCCTTAATAAACCCAAATTTTATATTTAGCTCTTTTCGAATTGCTGGAAGCAGTTGAATTCAACCCAAGCAACGAAACACAGTCATCGGAAGAAAGCAGCACTTCAGCAACAATGTCTGCTGTTACAGCGCCCGCAGTGGAGGCAACTGCAGAAAGTGAAGTGCCCATGGTATCAACGCCAGTCGGTCCAATGCCAGGTATTTTAATACTGCGCCAGAACAAAAAACGTAAGCTTAAATCACTTTTAATATTAAACACAATATAAGCTAATAGTTTTTAACAATTACAGCAGCAAAAAAGAGAGATCAAGTAGTAGTTGTGAAAGCTAATGTGGATACTAAAGAAGATGAGACCTCTAAGGCGGTAATAGTCGCAGCTGAGGAGAATAACACTACCAATGGCAGCTCTGGCGATACTAGCAACACCAGCAGTGGTGATTCCCAAGCTACAGAGGTGGCCAGTGAAAGTGCTCTTAATACTTCCACCGGCAGCAATACAAGTGGTGTAAGCAGCAACAGCAGCAATGTAGGTGGCAACACAGACAATAGCAATAGCAACCCTGCCGATAGCAGAAGCAGTAGTGGCAGCAATACCGTCAACAGCAACAGCAGCACAGAAAGCAGCAACAACAGCACAAGCAACACAACACAAAGTGCTGGAGTGCACATGAAAGAGCAGCTTTTGTATCTCAGTAAACTCCTAGACTTTGAGGTAAGCTATAGAAAAAGAAAAATTAAAAAAGATTTCCCAAGACTCTAAGTATAATTTTATTGCAGGTCAACTTCTCTGACTACCCCAAGGGCAATCACAAAGAGTTCCTGACCATTGTTACACTCTCCACGAATCCACCACAGATCTGCCATGGCGTTGGCAAGAGTTCCGATGAGTCGCAAAACGATGCGGCAAGTAATGCCTTGAAAATCCTCAGCAAACTGGGCCTTAACAATGCCATGAAATAACGCGTAAACCGTTGAAAAATCCTTAAACCCCATATTAACTGCAATTTTTGTTGTTGCACATATGCAAGTTAAAAGCAAACAAAAAAAAAAAAACAAAAAACAATTGAAATACCCGTCCACAAAGCAAACCTTAACAAAATCCAAAAACCAAGCTGTGTGCAAATTCAAAAAAAGAAGAAAAAAAAAAACGTGAAAAAAGTAAGAGAAGCAATGCAAAAAACAGTACTTTTTGAAATAGCAAATTATTAGTTAATACCTATTTATTTATTTATGTGCAAGTTGTGCAAACTGGTGTTATTATTTTATTTATTTGTTGAGAATTGAATCGAACTGATTGTAACCGAAGTTGAACAGAGGCGAACACTTAACAGAGCCGCATAATTGTTAATCCAAAACGAGAAATGAACAATAACTAGACTTAATGAGAAACCAACAAATTCATGAATGAACATATGCAAATGTTTGCAGTATCTAAACTTAAGATTAAAGCTGAAGTTGAAAGCTCAATAACCACTTGAATTGAATTGATGAACAAAGGACTATTGATACCTCTTAGCTGCATGCGGCAATCGCTTTCAAAAATAAATACAAAATTTCTGAGCACCACGAACGGTGCAGGACAAAATTCGAAGGATATCCCATATCAGCGGATATACCAGGCCGTCAGAGATGAAAATGGAAACAAATTTTTGATTTATTTTTCAAAGCAAGACAACCATTAACCGCTTGTGGTCATATGCTTGATGAAACTCGTCGAATAATGAATCTATTATATACGTATACTATATTTAAGTGTTAAGCATAAGCATCGGCGGATGTCGAAGAATCGTATACCCCATGAATGGTCGATTTCCCAAACTTTCAGCAAATAATTCAATTTCACAAACGACAAAGAGTTTTGCAAAATTGAACGCAAAGTTTGCTGGATTTTGGAGATTGACAGGACATGGTAACAAGGCGTTCGTTCGTACGCGTCGAGACCTACAAATATAAAATACAATTTACATAATCGTTATAATTATATTTATGGATGTTTAATAAGCCATTTTTGTAAATGTTCAGCTTTTGGCCAGTGTGCATGCTAAAAGCTGAACATCCTTATGAATAATGAATCGTGTTGTTTAATCTGTCATGTTTTGTCCTCATATTTCTTGATCGTTTTTGAATCCGTTTTATGTTAGTTATGTTTATGTCATGTACCACACCCACAACCATTACAAACTGTCACACACATCCTTTGAAATTTCGAGTACAATAGTTTTTAAATACTTTTGCCCTAAAACAGCACCAGTTGATTAAGCGTTAAGTTGCGTTATGTAAAATGTATTTTGTCTAAGCAATCGCGTCGGCCACAATGTGCATGATTGCTTCGCGATTCGCAATTCGCAATATCGCGATCCCTAGCCTAAGCTTAAGCCCCAGCGAACTGTAACCGTTGAAATTGAAGTCAAACCCAGTATTAAATGTATAGATTAGGGCAGCTATCAGTAACTCCCATAATAACAAAAGACTCACAGATATCGTGCACATTGTTTGCGCCACACAAATTGTTCATTTTGTCAGAAGATTTTGCAGACCCAATTACGATACGATATTCATAATAATCGTAATCATTATATTTATTGTGGGAGCAAAGTAGTCGGTGTCTGCTTTTGCAAAATCTTCACAAAATTGATTGAAATTATTAATCTTAATGGGAGATGTATTCGCAGTAACAACAAAGCGTGAAGAATCTGTTCATTAACACCAAATAAAGGCATACGAGTCAAGATGGAAGAACACATTTATTAGTCTTAAGCCTACCCCCCACACACTCAATAAGTTTTGTCTATCTGTAATGTGACACTTAAGCATGTTATATCATAAAAAAAAACCATAAAGAACCCTTAATGAAACTATGTAAAATGTAATTATACGAATAAAAAGTGAAATAAAGTTGAAACACGGTGTGTTTGTTTAGTTTTTGGGGAAACCAATTTTATACATTCATTTGCATATAAACACCAACGATATTTTTTATTGACATCCCATCGGTATTAAAAACTATGATTTATTTGAACATAAATTAATTTATGGTCCCACCTTTCCTGCCCGACCCTACGTTGAAAATATTTGTGACAGGTGGTGGTATAATATGTAATACCATCAGGAAACCCCAAACAGCTCCGTTACATAAAATATCATAAAAATTAGGGAAAATTATATTTCCTAAATTCACAATCAAAATGCTGGCAATAAAGGGGTGAGAGGCGGCCATAAACTTATAAATACATAAACGATTGTTAATTTGGCAAAAACACAAAAACACCATTTCGCAATCCCAAAATCACGAACTGTAAACGTTTTTAATGCCCAAATCAGATTATGATGTGCCGACAGCTCTGGCTGACTAATCGATGACAAATGTTTATGCAAAATGGTCTAGGCTAAAAATCATAAAAGACATTGATTTCCATTCAAAATTTAAGAAGAATTTAACATTTTTTTAATAATATTTTAAGCTTGGAAACGTATACTTTAGAAAGATAGCACATATTGTAAGATGATAATATGTTGAGAGGATTATATTGGTTGGGCGACAGTAATTTTGAACTTGTATGTTCTTGTTACTTAAAAGTTAACTTGTAACTTATAAATTCTATAATTAGTAGATCTCAGCTTTAAGTTTAAGTATATTCAGTTGTCCATATCGTTGCCCCATTTAATCCAATCTTATAAAGTGTCCGATGGGATAGGCCCTAGTGCAGCTCCATCACTTTCTCCGATGGCATTTGGCTAGTTTTTGTGGCAATCGTGCGATTAAAACAAAAAGAAAAAAATATATACAAAAAAAAAAAACGTGTGGCCGGCAAATGCATAATAAAAACATAAAATTAAATTAATGCTTGCTTGCACATCAGCCAGATCCAACGAATCCAATGCTTTCCGGCAAAATCAAAGCGATTCCGAAGCCCATCTCACTGCCCCACCATTTGCATATGCATTTCTCTCGGAGGGCTTTGGGGATATATTTTTTGGGAATCCAATATACAGAGTACGAGGAGGGGCGAGAGCAATTTTGTGTGCCTCTCGCCACTGATTAATTTATGGCGCTGATAATAATCCGGCAGAGGTACGGAATAGTAGCGTGTGATTATGAAATTTGGCTTGCCAAAAGAAATCAATAATATGAGCGGTGGAAAGAAATGGGGACGCTGAGGTAGAAACAAGATACCCGTACCGCCGAGATGAGTGGAAATTAACATGTGTTTGTCAGACGCCGTTTGCCGGCATCTTCGGCTTCATCTGCATATATAGTATCTGTTGATGTGATGTAATAGGCGTTTGATTATTTTGATTTTTTAGTTTTTTGGGTTTGGTTTTGGTTGGGTCTCAAGTTTTTATTTGGAATTGTTCCCCCCGGCTACGGAAATGGAGCTTCACACACAAACTTTTGGCCGAAGTAATTAACCAAATCAATGCAAGTAATTTGATTTAGAAATGCCTGCCTCCTCCAATCAGGCATTTTGCTTACATCACAATTTTAAAGTTCAAAACCCTAAACCCTAATTTATATAAATTGAAAGCGATATTCGGGAACTTTTTTCTTGAAATGAAAGTGAAACTTGTCTGTTCACAGCATTCGATTAGCTCATAGGTGTGTGTGTATGTGCGTGTGTTAATTTTGATTTATACGAATAATTTTGGAAACATTTTGAGTAATGCGATGTTTGACATGCGTTTAGAAGCAACGCCCATCAGTCTTCGCCTTCACATGGACTCTCTGTGGGAATGGCTTCTCCACTTGCCTTATTTGCATGCTAAGCCCACTGTTTAAGCGGAAAACAAATGATTGGAGCCAACTAATGATGATTACCACTGTTCCACTGTTCCAATGCTCCCAGTGGTTACTAGCTTGGTGGTCAGCGATTGCGTGCTCTGGCGATTCGAAAATTTGTCTATGAATGCTTTTCCCCCCACCTGCCGGCTGGTAATCAAATTAAAGTCTCGATGAATGAATCGATGGTTTTCGGTTTGATGGAAGCCTTCCTCCGCAGATTTAATGCGATCGGATTTGCATTTAATTAACGTCGTCTATTGGAGAATAACTCCATCTGGCCAAATCCAAATGGCTGCACATAGAAATATTGGTTAGCTTTTCAGATGAAAAGAAATTACAATTTTAAACTCAACTTTATGGATTCAAATTAATATCTTTGAATTTTTGATAGGGGGTTTAATAGTTCGTCTGCATCAGTAATGGGTCCCTCTATAAAAATTTGACTGTCAAGTCTTAAATATCGATTTTGATATGATTTCGTTCTGCCATATATCATTTACACTTTTTGTCTCTTGGAATAAATTGGGTATTAGTATAAATTTATTGCCAATGAAAGAGCTTAGGAACAAGTTACTTCCAAAGCAAAAACAAAAACCAATCGATCATCTATTAAGCACATTTTTTTTATAGAACAAACACATTTATCTTAGCCCGAACGAGCATAATTACAGGTCAAGCGGTTATTCCCATTTTATATTAATAAAGATATCTTCTTGGACGTCGATTTATTGGGATATATCACGTGCGATGACCATTGAAAATAGAAGCATTTAATCTGAAGTTTCCATTGGCTTAGCCAAGTATATCGTGCTCTTGGCCATTGGGCTAGCAAATTCGGTTTTAATAATAGTTTCAGCCGGCAAATATTTTCTTGACAGCCCCACGATAACCAACAATTAAAGGCAGGCCAAATGATGATGTGCAGACTTAATAATTTTATATGACACGTGCAGGAAGTAAAGATTTTAACGCTTAACCAAAAAACGTTGTGCCCGCATTGGCCGCAGGTGGAATCAAAAAAAAGAAAAAAAAATATCGAAATCTATAACTGAATCTATATAATGTGGAGGCAAGATGAATGACTGGGCGATTGGGGCAACAATTGGATTACTTAATTTATGGAAAGAAAACACTTGTCAGCGGCACAAAGGAAACACTTGGAAGCGAGCCGCAGACAAATTGTTTGCCTCATTTATTATGCCGAATAATTGAAAGAATTTGCCAGGCGATTATTTTGATTGTACCCATTCAAATCAGCTGGCCGTTTATCATCCGTCGACTCGATCAATTGCTAGCTTCGCACTCACTACTGACTGTCTAAGTACCATAAGTTCTATTGGTCCATTGCATAATGATCAACGCTGTTTTCGTAGGTGGTAGTTTGCATAAATAAAGTCTGGGTCTTGGGGATTGTGCGTCGGTAGAAATATAAATAAATATGATTAGTCAAATTGATCGATGTCCGACAATGCCGATTGGCAGGCAATCCCGTCTCTGCTTTTATTCAGCTTTATTTAACTATTTATTTACTTTTTGTCTTTGTTTCAGCGGATTTGTCAAAAAATAACTAATTTGCCAATGAAAGAAAACATATAAAATGTCATGTTTAGAGATAACACGCTGCCAAATGGCTTAGAAGAGATAAAATATTGAAGAAGTGTGAAGGGGATTAGATTGAAGAAGCGCCGAGTTTGGAAATACTCTAAAAGTATTGAGAGAGTTTACCTTTTAGTGGGTTTTCTATCATAGTATTAGAATTAATAAACAATATTTGAGATTATTAGACTTTATTTTTAAGGATTTTTCTATTTTATTATCAAGCTGAAAATATAAAATGCGTGTAAATGACCCTTTAAGCAGGGTATTAGCCTAAGCAAAATATCATATATCCAATAGCCAATAACAAGTCAGATTGGTAATGTTGGGTGATATGGCCAAAAAACTGAAGCGTGCATAATTAAAACGTTGTCTCTGACCCCTCACAAAAAAACATACACAGCCACCACTCCTAAAAACCCTCTTTCTTCGGCTTTCCGTTGCGAATGTTTAAAATCTTTATTGATGCATGCAAAGCTTATGCAACGCATCTGTGGAAAGTGGTCAGTAGTTGGATGGGATTTCCTAATACCCAAGACCCTGTCCTTCTCGTTTCCTAATGAACTCCTCTATAGCTCCAGCTGGAGTCCAAGTTCCGAAGAGAGCATTTCCCATGTCCAGAAACGATTTAAACAAGGCTGCATAATCGGTATTTGGTCTATCTACAGTGTCATCTTCCAGGGGAACGGCCAAAGTTTGAGTTGGCACGATTGTGGCAGCGATCAGAGCTGCAAAGATAAAGATGACTGCAATTCCGGAATGCATTTCAACTGGCGTTCAACTCGATTGCAGTTGCATCATCAGTGCACTTTTTATAGGGATGCATATGATCATGTGGCACTGAAAGTTGCTGACCCACTTCTCAATGTTGCAACAGTTGGTGGACTGTAATCGGACTTGTAAACTTAATACAGATTACACTGGAAAAATGTTTTCCTATTATTGATATAATGTAACATTTAATGAGTTCATCTATTTTCAATTTTAAATTCTGAAAAGCCTAAAAGAATTTTTTTTGTTGAAACTTTTCTTGAATATGGAAGCTATTTAAGAATTTCATTGTTGATATTTTTCACTGTGCAGTCATGGCAAATATTTGGCCACTTGTTCGACACGTTTATCGGCGAAAAATAAAAAAAATAAAAAATAAAACATGTGAAAAAAACATTTAAGCGGATCAGGGGCAGATATTGTGGCAAACAATTTTTCAGCTTGTCCGCTTGTTGGATGGCGCTCAAATTCCAATTTGTAGAACGCGCACCAAGGCGTTTGATATGCGTGGATCTGCGGATCTGTGCGGATCCACGCTCACATGACACCGCCAACGCCATAGCCATCCATCAATCATTTGGCCAAAAAGAGCCAACGAGCCACAAAACGCGTCTCAAGTGCAGCTGTTTAGCAGCGCTTAATGTTAATTGATCGAGCTTTTGTTTAATTAAAATTTTAGATTTGGGTCACACGATACTCAAACGTGGTCTTTGGTTTATATGCGGAAGTCAGGCCTAGCTCCTCTTCCTTCTTAACATACCCTCCCTCAATCCATCATTAACCTAAGCTAGATCATGAACTTATTGAGTAAATTATGCGGCATGTGGAAGGAATCTGGCTACAAAACGGTTTGCCGCATTTTTCAGGTCGTGTGAAAACCGAAACCAAATGAAAACGAAAGCGTTTTGAATGTTAGTACAGTAAAAGCTCTGAAGAAGAACGTTTGAATTTCTTTGAAATACTTTTGCTGCAGAATTCAATTTATTTCACATATGCAAGTCATTATTTAGTTTTGATTTTCGTTTTGTAAAAGCAATTCAATTATGAAATGGAGCAGCTTAAAATCGAATTAGTTTTAGATTAGTTTGTATAAATCATTAATTAATCAAGTTCCAAATACATTTAGTTTGTTACATTTCAATAATACATTTTCAAGGTTAACCACATTTGAATATATGTTACGCTATTGACCCAGTAAAGGTCTATAGTTTGATTACATTTGTGCCATTATAGAGAGTTTCCACTGTTGTTCAATTTCCCATTCGAACACGCCCTTAAGGAAGATAGTTGACAGCATTTTGCTGGGCTCTTTCTTTTGTGACTTTTTATTTTTTATGGACTCCAACTGATACTGTTATGCAGACTGGCAGCGGCAACATTTTCGGCAGCAGCAGGTTGTCACCGGTTTCCCAGCAGCCACATCGTCATTATCATCATCGCCATCGCCATCGCCATCATCATACGCAATCGATTGGACTTTTGTTGCTGTTTTGGTTTTGGTCGGGCTTGTATCTTCTTCTTTGACGCATATTTCGGGGTCTGAATGTCTGGCTGCCGCTGCTGCTGTTTTTTTTTTTGGATGCTGCTGCTGCTGGCCGAACTCTTTTTGGCCAAAATATTTCGATTACCTTTGGATGGTACGAGTTCAGTTCAAGTTCGCGCCTCGAACGGTTCAGTTTGCCTTGTTTTTCCGTTCCGCAGCCGGTGTCCGTTCAAGGATAATCTCGATCCCGACTGACAGGATAATGCTTTAGCCCCCGCTTCAGCTTTAGTGTGTTTTTGTGAAATTAATTAACGAAAAGTATTTCTGTGCTACGAAACGAAAAAGTTCCCAAAAACCAAAACAAAAAAATCCAATTAATTTTGGGTCCAGTTTAATTGTTATTCGGAGATATATAAGGTAAAAATGTGACTGCATGGAGAACAAATACAGATAATCATCTGCCGATCGCAAACAATAAATATATACTCATTAAAAAGCTGAGTATGACAAATGTCACACACACCCACTAAGTCGACAAAGCTTAAAGAGCAGTAAGCTCATTTTTGAACTTTAAAATATTTAGATCTTCTGATAAATTAGAGTGGAAACAAATGGTGTTGTTGGTGGCAAGTCTTGGGAAGAAAATATGATTTTGTATTTTAAATGATGAGCTCAAAAGATATTCTTCAGTTTTTGTATTTATAAAAGGACTTGTACGAAAATGTCTACAAGACGTATTTTCCCATATCCTTAATTCCCTCAATAAAATCAGATAAAATTCACTAAATATTAGAAATTGAAAATAGAATATGTTAAAAAATAGTATAGTTTTTAAAACAGTAATCCCCATTTTTACATTAGTCCATCAATATTAGTAATGTCAATATAAAGGATAAAATGTTTCGAATTTCTTTACATTCTTTGTCATTGGCTTAAAGTTAAGTACTTACTTGGCCTACATATCTGGAATGTTTTAGCTCGCATCTTTCAGAATCTCATTACTCGCTAAGAAGCTTATTTTTGTTTAATAAAAAATGGATATATAATGATTCCTAATCCGCATATGATATGTTTACATAGCAAACTTCTCGACTTCTTCAATCGAAATAGCTAAACGGATATACAAACGGCAGAACACGGAACCCCCAGATCGATGAGACAGCCAGAAGTGGCTTACTCTCAATCTCTTGTCTTACGCACTCGATTTACGTCATCTGCCCATAACTGAGCAAATTCCAAAAGATGCGGGCTCTTCAGATCTGTGGGGCAAGATCGTGAGAAGAAGAAACCAAATGGGATTGACATGGCAGGCGGAACAGAACCGAGGAGATTTAGATCCTGCTATAAATACATACGAACACTCATGAATTCCTGGGGCAGTCATCAATTCAGTTGGATGACACCCAACGCTCATGGGCTTGTCGGCGCCATGGAGTCAAAGTTAGAGATTTGCTATAATTAAATATATCCGACCGGGGTAACCCGTTCTCGTGATATCTGTTTGAAGATTTATGGTTCAATTCAAGCCCGGCTTGAAAACGTGCTGCCAATTAATTTGCACCAAAACTCAGTCAGCGATCATAAAAAGTAATGATCGAGGCATTTGAATTACAGCAACTAATATATATTTTTTTTTGTTAAGGCAGCACATTTGATGGGTCTATCCATTCTCTTTTATATTATTTTCAATGCAAAGTCTGTTATCTGAAATTTTCCTTCCCTATTCTTGGCTTCTTGTTCGGGGCTCTCATCTTAATCATCATTTGTCTGGCATTTCGGTGTTTTGATGGATCATTGAAAACAATGAGAAGTAAAACATTTTCTACAACGAATGCTTCCTCGTTGTCGGTTGTTTTTTCTGAACTCTTTTTTTTTTCATTTTTTTTTGGATCTTGTGCGTTGCTCTTGATTAGATGACCCTGAAAGTGTCGAATTGTAAATGGTCTTTGTAACGAGACTGGCGGCCAGTCCAGACCCAGCCGATAAGTACATCTCATGAAGAGAGGTCATTTTCCATTTTCCCCCCAAAAACAACATTTGCATATTGAGTGTGTGTGTGAATTGAACGGCTTCTTCAGCTTCTGGCTGAAGATGGGATCATTAAAATTCAATTAGATGTCGCTTAGATAGTCATTATAGAACTGGCCAGCTTACAGTTTGTTGACTTACGGGAAGGTTATTGACTGCCAGGGAATGTCAACGGTGGCAATGCAATTATTATGCTTGTAATTATGCTCATACAATTGTTACATCATCAGCAAATCTTATATAAACGATAGAGTTATCATTGCAAATTGGTAGACAATTAAAGAATTGTGTTGTCCCCCAAACAATGGTCAACGTTAAATTGTGCACTTATTTTAAGCATCCACTGTTGGGTTTGATTTTCGCCCGCTTTGAATGCCTATGCCTTCCAGCTGCACTAACCAAATCACAAATTTTTTATTCGCAAACAATTGCCACTGAATATTTTCATTGAACAGCTCATGGAGTGTTTTCTTTACGCTTTGCTTCCTTACACAACAATCAATGGCGAGCAATTAGAGGTAATCATTCAGGGTGAAGACAAGTGAAGATGGACCGTGTCGAGAGTTCGTTGCCTAAGTCTTTCGTTTTAATTTGCATGAAATATGAAATTTATATGTTTCTCTAGCTAGAGCCGAGTCCGCTGTCAGCACATATCATTCGGAAAACATAATAGCACCAAATGACCTCAGCAACCGATCCAAAACCCATCGAGAATTGATTGCTCAAGTGTTTAACTGGAAGCGCTGCGAATACTTGATTTCTGTTTGCGTTTAGTTTCGATTTGCTTTGGCTAATTCGGTATTAGCCACATTCTAATAAGGCCCGAGTATGATTAATAATCGCTGTCCATCAATTAAACAATGCCAAGTGATTAATGATTATGGTATGGTAAAGAAAAGAACTTATATAAACACTTCATATCGATCCGATATCGATCTTTAAATGTTCAAGAGGCTTAACATCTAGATCAAGCTTGAATTTCAGGGTCATTAAGCTGCTGCCTCCTTTTATTGTGAATGCAAAAGATAAGCCCAATCGAATTTAATTGCCATTTGATGGACACACTTGGCCATAAATGGCTCGATCTGTCGGCTGACCCCACGCAAAATTATCCGGACAGTGTTGCAAAAAAATCACCGACCACCTGTAAAAGGCATTTGTTTGGTTCACATAAATCAGTTAGCATCCGCTCGATTCGGTTACGTGAGAGCTATGGACACGCCTCGCTAATACATGTTATATGCTAATAATCTTGGACCCTTACGTGTTTCCGTTGTCCGCCGCATTTGTATGCAAATGGGCCAAAACACACATTTGAATCAATGAGTTTCGGCCCGATTCATGGTTTATCAATCAGCCTAATGAATAAAGTGTCGCAAATCGCCGCTCACGAATGTCACAATTAATCCATTTTGCATGATTTCCGTTTTGATATTCCAGCATGTGGCCACCCAGCTCCTGTCTGTGGTTGGCTCTCGTCCTCCTGGTAGGCGTGGTTAATGGGCAGAGCAGCAGTCGAGAGCACTTTGAAGATGCGGATAAGTCTAGCGAGTATACGGACCAGCAGTACGACCTAAGGCACACGATTCCCGGCGAGCCGGGTCTGGATTATCCCATTCTAAGTGCCCCGCCCAAGACGAGCTTTGTTTGCAGAGGAAGACATGAAGGTTTGTATCATTATGCTAACCTCTTTCCTTTCCATAAACTGAAATAACACTTCATATCCCATTACAGGTTATTACGCAGATGTGGAGAGTCGTTGTCAAGCCTTCCGCATTTGCGCCCACACTGCCCGATCCCCTCAAGGATTTGGTTTCCTCTGTCCCAATGGAACTCTCTTCAGCCAGAAGAACTTTGTGTGCGATTGGTACCGTAACGTGAACTGCGATGACTCCGAGAGGTATTATGAAATGAATGAGGAGAAAACCGTAGGCAGTACCCACGAGATGATGGAGCGAGTGCGTCACATGATGGAGTACCCAATGAAAACCATTTCAAAGGCTTTGCAGCAGACCAAATCTCAGTCTCAGAATCCTCATCAAAGTCTCAGCAAGGATTTAAGTGGAGCTAGCGGTGTTTTGAGTCAACCTGCTGTTATTAAGCCGAATGATATCCAGGAATCTCCTGTTGTTGGACGTGGAGAAGCTGTCAAAAGCGAGCCACTGAATGCGGGGAAAGCAGAAAGTCCGATTCAGGACAGTGAAGATGAGGGTATCTATGTGAATAGCTTGGGAGAACTTTCTTCGGATCCTGGTATTCAGTTTGATCACACCAATGCCCATATCGTGGCAGAATATCCCAGGGAATATCACTACCAAAAGCAGAAAAACTTTGCCGAGCGTGTAAATGCTGGTTTGGAGGTCTTAACCGATTCGGAATCGTCATCCGGCGAGGTAATTGCTCCCGATTATATGAAGCACATAAGAAATACCAAGGACGAAGCCGTGCAACTTGATTTGGTCTCGAATATAAACAACCTGCTGGATGAGGTATCCACCGATGTGGATCCTTCCGTTTCCGGCTATCAATCTATGGCTCCGCCGAAAGTTAAGCAGCCTTTCCGATTCTTAAGTCGTGGATTCTCAATGCATGGTGAGAATGGAAAGGGCAGCTCATCTTCGGGCTATGGCTACATTAAACCCAAACAGACGCCCAGCACTGTCAGATTTACGGTGAGTTTTAGTAGTCGATTTAAACTAACTTTGGAAACTTTCTTTCCATTTCATTATTGTCATTCTATCTTAACTTTTTGTATCTCTATCTATCTATCTTTCTGTCTATATTGCTACTCTATCAATTATCGCTTACATACGCAACTTAAAACCACAAACCACACATATACACAATAACAGCCCAATGAGATACCCACCGAAGATCAGAAATCCATCGAGCACAAACATAAGTTTTCCAAAACCACAAGTACCACATCTACGACCACTGAATCAGCCACTGATTCTTTAGAACAACTGCTGATAGCACCCACTTTACCACCCGCTGTGGATGAGGAAGTAACCACGACAGTGGCACCTGAGGTTACCTCAACCTCAGCTGCAGAACCACTTACTTTTTTGGCTCCTCCACCAGAAGTGGTGACTAACGGGGAAGTCCCGTCCATCGAGTCCATTGGACAAGCAGCTTCCCTCACTGCCAGTCTGCCCATAAGTGAGGATATAGTCGAAGTTGAACAGAGTCCCGAAAATGCTGAAAAGAGTGATGTTAATAATGAGGCAGCCAAATTGCTGCTGGCAGGTGTACAGCTCACCTCCCACAATGAAGAGAAGGTGTTGGAAAGGAACGAAATAGAGGTTACCAGTACCACAACCACTAGTCCTATTACCCCAGTAATGCTCACTTCCACCGAAGTTGTAACTGAAATTAGTAGCACCCAGGAACGTATTCGTGGTTATCGCAAGAATCGTCCTGGAGCCATGTTAAAGCGTGCCCACATACGTCCCTTGCCCACCGTGCGAACCACAACAACATCCACCACCCAAAAGACAACTTCACCCACTAAAAGTTATCTGGAACGTCTGGCAGCTAGTAGGTTGCGTCTTTCTAGACTATCGCTAGCCACCAGGAGCACTACCAGGGCAACCACGGCCATTCCAAGCACCGCAACAACACCGACCACCACGACAACTATTTCATCATTCCAACAAATACGTGGTGCTGTAGAACCCGGTCCAAATAAGAAGCTTACGGTCCGGGACATTGATCGCGAAACAAAGGTTGCTCCAAGTAAGGCCAACTGGGAAACCGTGCACAGCAACCTGCAACGGTTCCAGGTGCAACGCGGCAACCGAGTGTACACACCAGCAACAAGAGCCTCGGCCAGCAACACCAATGGTTTAATCACTAGCAGCACCACCACCACTCCTAGAAGCTATATTGTGGCTACTTCTCCCCGTTCCACAGTCACCATAAATCGCGGCAAGAGTCGCTACTCCAACTTTAAGACTCAGGCGCCAGTGCAAAGAACTCGAGGAACAACCACACCAAGGACCACAACATTGCGCCCTACTTCCTCGCTTTCCTCTCTCAACCAACACATATCAGCTATTGCATCGAACTATAATGCTGGTTATAGCTACACTCAGACACCGCAGATCAGCAAACCCATCATACAGCAGTCACCACCATCACACGTTTATGCCACACAAACGGCTAGCAATATCGCTGCGCATGCCTCTGAACCCCAAACCATATCCAGTCTTTCTCCCGCTTCCTCTTTCCTTTCCTTCGATAAGTTAACCCGTGCCATTGTTGACGAATCCGTTTTGCAGAATTTCAAGAGTGCCCAGTCGCAGGGTTCCAATCAACAGCAGCAGCGGCAGCAACATCAAAGTGCCAAGCAGCAACATCACTCTGTCAGCAGCAGCTACGTTAAGCCAGCAGCGCCAGGTAAGGAGGAGGAGATTTTAATGGATTTGTAATCCAACATGTAATCTATTTTAGCCATATCCAGTCTGACTGTTCCGCCACGTCCCCAGCAAGCTTCTCAGTTACCTGAGCTGTCTCAGATTCCTGGAATTGTAATTGCTCGTGCTGAAGGACAGCGTATTGCTCCCAACTCCGCCAGCAACATCATCTCAAACTTGGCGACTCAAGCACCCGTTACAAATGCTCAAGGCAATTCCTATGTTTCTCTTAACGATTTCCTAAGCAACAAGTTTGGCCAGAGTCCTGCAACCACCAATAATATTGCTCCTGCTGCAACTGTGCAACAGCAACAGCGTGTGCCGCAACAACAACAGCAGCATTATCAGCAGCAGACCATTCAGCAACAACGCGTGCAAAAGCAACCTGCACAGCAGCAACATGTTCAGCAACAGCAACGCCAAACTGTGTATCAGCAACCTCAATCTGTACAACAGCAACGCCAACCCGTGCAGCAGCAACAATTCAGTTTTATCTCACAGCAATACCAACAGCCTCAGCAGCAGTCAATCTACCAGCAGTATCAGCAGCCACAGCAGCAACAGCACTTCCAGTCGCAACATCAACGTTCCACGATCCACACCAATCAACAGCCATATCTGACGCCCAATATTTTTGTGCCCTACCAGCAGCAGCAGCAACAATTGCCTCAATTTCCACCTTTGGCTCCGCCCGTGTCTGTGTCCACTGGAAATATTGCCCAAGGACCGGTAATAGCTGGACGGCATGTAGATCACCTGAACGTACAGCTGCCCACGCTGGGCAATGGCTTGATACCTGGATTGCAATTGGCCCAGAAGCGCAGTGATGTGTCGGCCAGTCAGCTGCAACTCACAGATAGCAATGGTAAGGGCAGCTTCTCTGGATCTGGCAAAAGTCGGGAACGAGCCTTCTACGCCGGACGTACTTCCTACGAGGTTCCCCAAAGCAGCGTGGGTCGTCTACCCAACGATGTCACGCAACAACTACGACGGCGGTTGCGACGCTTCTGAACGAGATTTCGAGATTAACGAACTAGGACTAGAACCTTAACTTATAGCTAAATTAGTAAACTATTTATGCCTAAGCTAAGTCGACAATTACTATACTATAGAGATCACTTGTTTCAAAAATCATACTCTGTTCGTATGTATGTGTGTGTATAATTTTGCATATTTATTGATAAATAAAACGAAAAATTTACAAAAACCCCGAACGAGTTAGCCCATCCTATTGTTTGTGAGATTAAGTTTTTATTGTTTATACGTTTTAAAGTTTTAAAATTATCAGCAATACGTACAGACCTTACTGAATACAAATACAATACAAGGTTTCATTTTGCTGGCTTTAACTTTTCGCTTAAATTAACATTACTAATATTATTATATGCATATTATATTGTTTTACAATATTCCATTTTTAATTGGGCTTCGAATGTTCTCGCTTACTTGGTGTCAAACATTTTCTATTTATAAGTAACTTTACTGCAACTTCACATCGCATATATCAATTGGAATCTCCCATAGCTACTTCAGTTATATTGATTACTCGGATATTGGTATGGCATGGACTATTTGATTATACAAACAGACTGAATTCAACTAAACCGAATTATCAATTATCAATTGGCGTATGTGATGCAGATGGGTGGGTATTTAGACATGGGGTGGAGGCTTTAAAATTATTTAGAACTAAAAGGTACTAATGTAAGGTTTGGGACTATGCGAAGAAATAATTTAGGAATCGACTTAAACATAAATAACTAAAGTTTTAGCGAGGGAACCTAACTATAATGTGGCAAACGCTCTGATATCGTCTGTGCGGTGCGTCAAGCCTTAAAATGTACAGCGGATTTATACAAAATCACTTCACGGATTACGAAATGCCCTCCTGGCGACGTACGACGGCAGTCGGAAACTTATGTACAAAGCTTAAGTAAAAGGTGCAGCGAGCTGCGGATTCGGTTGGGTTTTGGATTCGGAGTCGAGGGATCGTGCCTTAACGCTCAACGCTTGGCGACCAGGCGGCATTTCTGGACGCGCACGCGTACTCAGGGAAGCGAATGAATGTTGATTGGGGGTGGTGGTGCAGGAGCTGGAGCAGGAGCTACTAACGCTTCTACCGGCGCTAAGGACTCCGTTTTTATGGGTTCCACATCAGGTTCATCCCTATGCAGCTGGCAGTATACCTTCCGATTATCCTCGCTAAGGCTCCACATGGCGGATCGCGCACACGGCACATGAGCAGCAGCCTTACAACATCGTTGGAAACAGCATATACTGGCCCCCGTCTGCTGGCAAAGCACGCACTGGTACCTCGTACTTTCCCAAACCGCTGCATCCAGACCGTTGACATGGGCGCCAATTAGCTGAATGTCGTTGCTCCACACAGCACAGTCCTCGTGCAACCAAACTTCAAAGCCGTGTTCCGAGGTCTTCACCATTCCGCGAAAGGTTTCCACGTACTTGGTTTCGTTACTGCACTCCAGCGGGTCCACAGATGAGCATTGTGATCGAGACTCATTTAGGTCGTCGCTGTAGGATATCGAGCTGTCGTGCGTCTGTTTGCGCTTTCGTTTATGCTAAAAAGAGTATGGGTTAGTGAAAGTCAATATAATAGGCCTTATTTTAACTTTAATCTTACCATGCTTATCTTAGGTGCTTGCATAATATGGGCAAGTGAGGCGGGCACAACGGGCAAATTCCTCTCATTCAGCTTTACCATGTCTTCGCGTCTACGTTTGTTAATAAACAAACCATCTATATCCTGAACTCCGGGTGCCTGCACAGCCGCACGATACTCTTCGCAGTCGCTGGTCACTAAATAAGGACCGAAAAGATCACCCAGGCCGAGTTTATGGGGACCCCGCTTGCAGAACACACATATCCAAGTGGAGTCGGTGGTGTCTGCATCGTAGCGGTTGCTCAGAGTGGAACTGTGCATTCCTCTTACGTTTTTTCGTTCGTGCGGCGCCTTTTTAGCCTTTGTCTGCTTCTCGTTAACGTCCTCGGCACTGTGGGTGTTCTTTATGCTCAAGCTTCCGTCCGGTTTAATAAGAATGAAGGGAGATTTGAACTTTAGCTCGGGAACTGCACCACCTCCGTTTGTGGGTGCTGGAGTGCTATCCTCGTCGGTGGTGAACGCGTGTTTTCGGCCCGACTTCTTCCCATTTTGTTTAGCATTCTTTGCATTACCTTTTCCTGCTGGTCCTTTCTTGCCCTTACCCAAAGCATTCTTCTTTTTTGCACCGCCAGCTTTTCCCTTTGGAGCAGAAGCAGCTTCGCTTAGTTGGCGAGCTGCCAGAGCCGCAGCAGCTGCTGCCGAGGTGCTGGGTTTGTCATCATCTTCAAGCTCCAGGGGTGGAATAACTTTCTTCTTGCGGCCTGTTTTCTTGGCAGGCGGATCGTCGATCATAAAACGTAATAGTGAGACATCCATGCCCATGGAAAGTCTACGAGGTGGTGGTCTCCTGTAAGCGGGGGTTTTAGGTGGAACAGGGGTATCTGATTTAGCATCATCTGCTGCAGCCAAGGGTGTCGACGTGGAACGAGCTTGAGGAGTAGGACTGTGCACAGGACTTGGTAGCGTTGACTTCATCGCTGCCTTGGTGGCTACCGGTCGAATTTCGGGTGTAGGTGCTGCGGTTGGCGCCAAAACTGTTAGCACTGAAGTCTCAACCTTTTCCGCTGGCGCCTCGTCTGTTCTAGCACTGTCCAGAGCCAGCTGGGCGGTCAAATCGTGTGCTACCATCTCTTCCGTTTCCTCCGCTTGCTTTTCCGGGCTGCATATTCTTTCCGTCTCCTCCTCGATTCCGGCAAACATTTCCTCCAGTTTATCTTCGACTTCTCCAAAAGGACAGGGCTCTGAGTTGGCAGCGGGTGAGGGTTTCTTGGGGGATTCAGCCACTGGCGGATCAGCAATAGCAGGAGTGGGAGGTGGACCAGAATGCGTAGGCGATTCTTTTTTTGCTGCTGGTTCATCTTCCTCATCACACTCATGAACACTTACCGCAGGTTTAGCATCGATGTTTCCTTGTTCCACTAGAGCAGGAGATGCAGGGGTATCCGTAGTAGCCTTGTTATTGATCTCAGGTTTTTGAATTCTTTCTCTATCATTAACGGCATGACTACTGTGGCTGCTATGCGTGTTAGCACTGGAGCTGCTTGAGCTACTGCTGCTGCTATTGCTTTGCGGACTAGGTGGCGGCATTGTGGGAGGTGTATGCTTCTTCGGAGGCTCATCCTCCTGCTGCATACGGTGCTGTTCTGTAAGGTTTCGCTGTAACAGGGCCTGCCGCTGCTTCTTGGTCTTGGGGTTATCGTTGTCATGATACATTGTAGAACTATTGCTGTTGCTACTGTTTTCTGCCGGAGCCGGTGATCCTCCTCGCCCGTTTTCTTGTGGCGGCTTTTCACTATGTTCTTGCGACTGGTTTTGTAAACTAAAAGGTTGAAACTCAGCATCTCCATTCTTGGGTGACAGTTTGGGACTGCAGCTGTTGTTATGGTGCGCTGGCTGTTGTTGATTTTTGATCTGTGATTTGTTGATTCCCCCCTCTGGGGCGTTTTCATTTGGGGTAACTCTCATGACCATACTAGCTTTTCGTTTGCGTCGCTTTCGACTATTGCTGCTGTTGCTGTTCGACTCCAGGGACTCCTCGTTTGAGGTGGTCAGGTAGGGAGACTCAGGGGCATCTGGTACCGGATTGGCTGCAGGTTTATCAGCTTCTGAATTGCGATACGACAGATCAGTTATAACAGGCTGCTCTTCCGAATCAGGCTTATGCTTCACTACCAGATCGAGATTCGTCAATTGTGGGTTTCGGGAATGATGCATCTGATGTTGACTTGAGGAAGCTGTTTGTTGTTGAACCGCGTCCTGTGGTTGTCCGTGGAACTGTCCGGTGGCCAAGTGAGGTGGTAGGAGCGGAGGCGGACCTGTTTGGCTGGTCGCATGCTGATTGTGGTAGTGTAAGTGCTGGGGGTGTGTTTGTGATTGCGTTTGATCCTGCTGCAGATGCTGGTAGCTTCCTCCCCCTGAGCTATTGAGCTGATGGTGCAGGTGCAGTTGATTGTAATCTATTGTGGGTGATTGCATCTGATGAGGGGGCGCAGCCAGAGGAGATTGAGGCGTTGGCGGCGTTTGTGGTCCATTGTATTTCGGGGTTAAGTTGTAAGGCGGCTGTTGCTGTTGGTGATAATTTCGCAGAGGTGAGGCTAAAAAATAATATTAGATTAATATGGTTACTATTCTAAAAAACGCAGTGTTTATCTTACGTTTCTTGTTGGCATGTTGCTGCTGTACATTGTGCGTGGGCAGTTTGCTAGCTGATCCCGCAGTTGGATAGCCAAAGTCCTTTTCCTTTTGCAGATTCTTCCCAGAAAGCAGCTCGTGATCAAAGCTACGCTTCAATTGCGCCAGTTTGAAGTTCTCATCGCGAGTTGGCATGTAGTGCGGGCTTGTTATGTGATTGTTACTCCCACTATTGCTGCTACTGCTGTTGCTTCCAGTGTGATTGCTGTTCCCAGAGGCAGTTGTTGGTGGCGGTGGCGGGAGCAAGGATTCGCAGTCGCCTCCGTTGCTGAGATTACCTGACGGGGCTCCCTGGTTCTGTCGGCTGGAGTGCAATAAACTAACATGGGCAGCTGCCATGGCTGCCAGGTGTTCTTGCTGTTGTTGTTGTTGTTGAAGCTGTGCACTGGTGGGCGTGGCATTGGTTGTGAGATTTTGACTGTTTTCAATAAAATTAGTTTTATATAAGCATTAATTATATAAGATAAGTGTTCTTACATTGGAGGATAATTGGGAGGATGTATAAGTGATTGTTGCTGCGGCTGGGATTGCTGTGGCTGCTGATTTGGCGGTGGCTTGGGTAGCGGCTGAGCCGCACTGCGGGCGGACTGCAAGGACAGATCCATGGAGTTAAATGGCAAAGTTCCTGAGTAAGGCGGTGCCAACAATGGATTCATCTGATGGTGGTGATCCAGCTAAGAATACAAATATTAAATTACTATTTACTTTACTTAGCATAGACTACAACAAATACAGGACTGAAACTGTAGATAGAAAAAGCAAACTAGAATAACAATACAACTAAACGAGGCTTAAGAAGGCGTCTACAGACTAATGGCGAAAGAATCAAGCATGCTTTTGGGGTCTACTAGGATCAGGATTTCTAGCAGCTTTATCTCGTTGGTTTCTCGCTTTGGCCTAATTACGTTTTTGTGATTAGCCGACATGAAATTGTAAATGGCATCGGGAGGTGGCGGCGGCTGGGCGGAAACGGTTCCGGAAACGTGCCAGGCCAGCGGAGATCGCACCATTCCGGGCCGCTCGTTAGACATGTGAGCCAACTGCGGCTGCCGGGGTATGTATGACGGGATCTGCGGAAAATATAATCGTCAACTTTCCGTTTTTGTCAAAATTGTTCGTCCTACTTACTTGCAGCGGGTTCCAGGAGGCGTTCTGGGCCGCTTGACTGAGATGTCCAGGATGCGGATGATTGTTGTTGGCCATCTCTTTCGGCGGAGGCTAACTCGTGGCGCTCGTATATATCACCCGGTTCATGTGCCGTCGTCTCTAGGCAATCCTTCGGCTTTAATGCGGAATGTTAATAAAAAACCGACAGCTGGAAGTTGGGGAGCGGACCAGCAGGATGGGAAAGGCAACCTAATCTCGATGGGTAGGATCCTGCTCAGAACTACCTAACTCCGGCTGGACAGCCGCTGCTTTTTTTCGCCCATAAACAAGACCGCACGCACTTTTTTCACACACCACCCACACACCAACCCACTCGGAAAAGGCAAAAGGTTTTTCGCCGCTCTCGTGGTCCTTGCGCGATAACGCGATAACAGGGCAGCAGCCGATAACACTACCTATCGGACAGATGACAGCGCGTTGTTTTGTACTCTACGCTAAAAGCACGCGGTCTTTCTCATTGTCGAACGTCCTGATTACATTGTTTTTATGCTTTTGCTCCATTGCCAGTTGTTTGTGGCGTTTGGTTAAAACAATTTTTATTTATCAACCCAACGACACCGTGCATAAATTAATTGCAAGGACGTGGAAACAATGTTGTACCTCTTAATTTTCAGCTGCAGCGCATTGCGAATTCGTTGCAACGGCATGCGAATTTTTCTTGTTTTGGGTCGCGCAGCGCAGCTAAATCCGAAAACGGGATCCAAAACGCGCAAGTGGGCGCCGTTTTTGTGGCTAACACATCGCGACGCACGAGGAGAGTTAAATAAATATTATTTTACAAATGCCGCAACGTTGTTGTTGTGTTTTTACGTGTATTTTCAATTGTTTAACACAAAATGTAATTTATTAGAGTTGGGACTAGGGTCGATGTTTATGCGATATTATCGATTCTACTTATACCATTTGGTCGATCGATGTTTATCCCAACCATCGATTATTATCCCAGTCACGGTTTCTTATTTTTTTTTAAATCTAATAATTATACAAAAATAGGACTTAAATAACATTGCAACGCTGTGTTTTTAGTGAAACGAAAAGGTGTAAACTGCTCAAAATAAGTATAATATATTTGATAATTTACTAACGGGAATATTGGAAAATTTCCCATGATGGGAAATTATGTTACAGCCCTCGTATATTGTTATTACCACGCCGGCAATTGATAAAATGCGCGCTGGAAAACGAGGTGCTTTGATTGTGTTCGAAGGCTGCGACCGCAGTGGCAAAACCACACAAAGCAGTCGGTTGGGTAAGTTACCAAAGCCACAGGAAGCACAAGACCCCAATTTAATCAACAATCTCTTTCAGTTGAACTTCTGAAAGCAAATGGAATTCCTGTACTACCCATGAACTTTCCAGATCGCTCTTCCAGCATTGGCAAGGATATAAACAGCTATTTGACCAACAGCAAGGATCTGCCAGATGAGGTGATCCACTTAATGTTCAGCGCCAATCGCTGGGAGCTCGTGAACCAGATGAAAAATAAGCTTCTTGAGGGCACCACATTGATTGTGGATCGATATTCCTACTCTGGAGTGGCCTATAGTGCAGCTAAGGGATTAAACTTTGATTGGTGTTACGCCCCAGAAAGGGGACTCATAAAACCAGATGCAGTATTTTATTTAAAAGCCTCTGCAGATGACCTAACTAATCGTGGAAAATACGGCGAGGAGCGGTAAATAATTGCATTATAAAGTCAAACAAGATAAGAACCCCATATCTTTTCGTATTGCAGCTATGAGAAAGTGGAATTTCAAAGGCGTGTGGGCGAAGTTTTTGATCGCATTTGCTCCAAGGAAGCCAGCTATTGGCACCAGTTCAATGCCAGCCAGCCCGCTGATAATTTGCATTCCCAGATTGTGACTATTACGGAGGAACTCTTGCCCAAAGTGGCCACCCAACCTCTGGATAAGTTATCATAGAACAGGGTCATGCATCGCCATTCATTAGGGAGGATTTACCTTGATTTATGCCACACACGAATGTTTGTTATAAATGTTTTTAAATGGCGCTTAACTTTTAATTTATGATAGGGCCGCAGGCAATAAATCCAAGCATCGGACGATGCGAAGGACATCGTTAGGTGTTGAGAGCAATGCATTTACAGAATTGCGCATCAAGTGGATTAAGAAGCGGGACTTAATATAAGCCCGGCTGCAAATGCAATTTAATTTCCGTAATCGCCCCTTCATAAAAAAAAAACGCAATTTTTGTTGCTCCATTGTAGTTCGTTTATTTTATACACCATTACTGAGGGCTCTCTTTTGACTAAATGCTAAGCTAAAGCGAAAAATAATTTATGCGGATCAAACTTATTTTCTAAACCACCAAAAAAAGCGAACGAATCCAATTAGGTGAAATTTTTCACCAGAACTAGTTGAACTCGTAGCTCTCGTAGCCAAAATTCTCGCGTCGACTGCGTTGAGCTGCTTTGGGATTCCTCGTTCTCAGAGTCAGCTGGCGGTAGCCAACTCCCGGCTTGTAATCCACATTGATGGGGGCATGGGGTCGCAGCCCGGTCACGCCGCCTCTCCTCTTCTGCGCCTGGTGGTAGAAGGCAATATCGCCGTAGCTGTGCTTCGGCCACATGCATTCACAGCCGGAGGGCACGGTGCGAGTCTCTGATTCCCAGCAGCCGGAGGCATCGTTCAGCCGTATCAGATGAATTGTGCGGTTGAGTTGGATGCACGAGAAGCCTGTCGCTGAGCAGATCTGGGAGGGATTGTCATATAAGTCATATAATTGTTTTTTTTTAATTTGTTTAACCGACCTCTCGCTTCTCGCCACGCTCGGAGAGCAGAGCTCGGAGCAGTTCATTGCCCCTGTAACCGTATTCGTAGTTATGGGTCCTCGATGGCTGGGGTGAGTAGGTGTGGGCACAGGTCACCTCTACGTAGTGATTTGGTCGATAATCGCCGCTCTCTAGCTTCACGGTCACGCGATTTGTGGGGCACAACGATTGATAGGTGACCACCTGTAATGGAGGAGGAGTTTGTTAGAATGATTTATCTAGACTTAAAAATTGTATTAATATTACTATACTAAAAAGAAATAGTTTCTGTTTAAGTACTTACTCCATCTGTGGTTGGGTTGGGTCCCATGAATGGTACCGGTGGCATCACACTGCGAACGCGGCGCTTGCGCACATTCTGGATCCCGTAGGGCAGATTGGAACTGAGCTCATCTGCGTCCTCCACCTGACCCGCATAATCCTCCTCGCCCTCAATGTCGACGCCATCGGGAACACCAGATGGGAACTCATTGTCAGTGTACTCCGGCTGACCTGGTTCTCCTGTTCCTGTTTCATCCATGGCTGCCCTGAAATTGCATATGCATGGAAATTTGTTAGTTTTGGCCATGAATTAGCGCCACTCTCATCTCGCGGCCCAGTGGAGCTGCCTTTGCCTCCACGGATGCCTGATGTCTCCGCAGGCAGGCGGAAATGACTGCAAAAGCGGTTTTACACAGACAAAAATGATAAAAAAAAACGTTATCACAGAAATACAGTTGAATAAAAAATTGTATTTAAAATTATCATAACTTTAACCAATAAAAAATAATAAAATTTATTTTATTCTAAATCATTTCAACTTGTAAAATTCAAATAAAATTACTTTAACATTAGCATATTTATTTATTTGTGTTTGTGAAAGTTAATTCTATCGGAAAAAGAACATTTCTGTGTTGTTTTTTTTTAAATATGAAAAATAAAATAAGTGAGGACGAATTTTGAAGAATATTTTTCTATGTGGTTTGGCCTGCGGTGGTGTGGTTAAAAAAAAAAAAAAAATAAATTCGTTTTTGACGTTTGTTATTTGCATGGCCGCCGCTTCTTTTCTGCAATTTTTCCAGCTGGCCAACAAAAGCGCATCATTTTGCATTCAACTGCAGCAAATGCCAATGAATTTTTTAGCTTTCGCTTTGGCGCTTGGCTTTGTCTGAGGATTGGGCCACGGTGATACAGCAGCAGGGATTGAGATTTCGAAGGGGCAGGAGAATAGAGGCAGGAGATGCTCGTAGTGACGGCGTTGTCCTGAGCCTGTGGCGCGGCACAAAGCTCTCCGCTTCGCGAATGTCGTTGGCTGCCAGCGGATTTCCCCTTTTCGTTGTCGATGCCATAGTACAGCTCCCTTACCCTTATTCCTATGTATATATACTATACCATTCCCTTGCCCATCCATTTCCCTATTCTTCCTGCCTCGAAGCTTTAGCTTTTCAGATCCAGCGGCGTTGGCATTTTTGAAGCGCGCTTTCAGGGCAACAACGGCTTTGATAGTTTTGTCGCAAAGTTAGCGAAAATGTTTTTTGAAATGAATGCAGCTGGAATAGTTGAGGTGAGCGCTGGTTTAAATTAGCAAAAGAAAGAAAAAAACCAAGGCTGACATAATACTGTTTTGTGGTCTTCTGACAGGGACAAGTGAATAATTGTGGCTTTTATGTGGCTGCCTTCTAAAGGTTTAATCTGAATCGATTTGGTGCCGAAGGCAAGCTTAAGCTGGGCAAAAGGATTTTAGCAATTTATATTTAACAAAGGTATTCTTGAAATTAAGTCAATAAATTGGTAAATAAATAAAACAAATAACTTACGTTAACAAAAATTCGTATAACTTGACCTCTTCACTATGTGGCTTTCCTTTTAATAAGATTATCATTAACTGATTATAAAACTCAGTTGAATATCAAGACAATTCCCTTTGCAGGGTATTCATCTTAAATAGTTGAATTTTCCTTGCATTTTTTCACTCCAGTTTTTCTTTCATTCAATTCTCAGTCATTTTTCGGTTTGAATTTCTTTTGTGAAACGCTGTACAGCTATCGTTTGGCATCCATTTTTGGTGAATGCAAGACGCAGATTACGTAATCCCTGGCACAGAATGCACATGATCCATGCAGCTCCTGATCTCGTTCAGTCCGACAAAGGGGATAAAACTCAGTCGACTGGAGGAATCAGCTTAAGCGCTTACGTTTGTGCTCACGCTTGCGTCATGGGATGACGGAATTGACATTTAGTTGATATGCAACCAGCAAGCCAGAGCCAAGATTATTCGGACTGCCAGTAGTCCGGGTTGCTCTCGGTAAAGTAGAAGGAGGAACGGAGAAAGAGGTACAAGCTTTATGGCTTCATTACCCCCTTGTCGGCTCCAATCATATGCGGCCACATTTGCCGGTATCTGAACCCAATGAATGCCGGCGAATGGCAAAGCATTTCCCTCTACCTGCCACTACGCCTAATTTCTCCTATTTTTGTTTCGCTTTTCAGTTTTTGTCTCAATGGGTTACCTAACTAGTGGTGGCTGTAATCTATAGGTTTGTACCTAAGGGTACTACACTTCTGATTTTTACCATTCAAGGTAACCCTTACTTCTTCTTTATAATTATAGTTTTTAAGTTTGTAGATTTAGCAACTTATCTTAAGCATTTGTACCTGTAGTTAGTTAACCTTTTTCCATTATATATTAGTAAAACAAAAATTTACCTTTCACATCACTGGTCTTACCTTTGGTTGATGCTGCTGCTGCGGCTGCGACGTGCCAGCAACAATTGCTCCTGCTCCGGTGGCTGCAGCCAGTTGATGTTGCTGTTATCCATGCTGTTGCTTTTGCTATTGCTATTGCTGTTGTCCTGGTCTTGGTCCTGGGTAACAACAAACCTGCCCGCACCTTGAACGGCCGCATTTAAGTCGGACAATTGCAGACGGAAGTCATTGCGAGCATTCTCTGGATCATCATCAAACTGTCCCTGTTGCTGTTGTTCGAGTTGCTGCTGTTGCTGTTGCTCATGTTGCTGCTGCCGTTGTAGATGTTGCTGCCTGTCGTATATGCTATGGAAGGGATTTCCGTAGAGTTTTTGTTGCTGCTGCTGCCATTTGGCCGGTGCTTTGTTGTAGTTATAGTTGTCATTGTTGTCGTCCTCGTTGCTATCTGCAATGCCATCAGCATCAACATCCACATCCACATCCACATCCCCGTGCTCCCAGTTGTAGTTGTAATCGCCGTAGTTGTTGTCCGCTGTGCTCCTATAGCTATATCTATTGTTTTTGAGCCCCGGCGTCGATTCCATCGCCTCGTCGCAGGCCAAAGCGAGCGTTCGTCTGGAAGAGCCACTACCAAAACAGCGAGCAGCTAGAATGGCGGCCAGGAGCATCTGCAAATGGGGGCAGAAACAAAAGAGATTTTGGTCGATAAGAAGGGTGTGCGGCATGAACGGAAATGTTAAACAATTGTTGTGTATGGCTAATAAACTGCAAAGTGTCAACAGTTGGGCGGAATGTTTGAACGTTCTTACAGGGGGCTTGTCATGCAAATATCCTGCCATTCGAATGGCAAACAATACATGCGGATTAATATTTATCACATGAGATTAGATATTCACTAAATAGGTTCATAAAAAAGAAGCTTATGGAAAACAATATCCAACTTACTAGATTGGCAAATAAAGGCAATGCGATTTTTATAATGGGATTTGGGATTGCCTTTTATCTAGTATTGCTCATTCTGATTAATTATTGCTTACATGATTGCCATTCTAACAGTTAAGCCCTTATGGATCCCCTTAAATAATAAAGATAATTAAGTGCCCTTTTTTTAAATTTATCAATCGAAGTCATAAATCTTATTAACGTATTATCAACTTAAACTAACCTTAAATACTCTCATAAATAGTCGGGTAACCATAAAATTGTTTCTTGGAAAACTTTCAAGCACGTGTCTATTTATTGTTCTTCCCGATTTTGTAATTTATTACTGTTCAGGTGACCTGATTGCTTTGCTCTTATCAACTTATAGATAGTGAGGGGAAAGTCTAGCGATAACAATCAATAAGAAATCAATATATTCTTTTATAATCAAACACTTATTAGAAGCATTCCTTGCCCTTTGCACATTTCTAGAATAACCTTGGTAACCTTCCATTAGCTTAGTTTTTCAATTACTTAAACAAAATCTTTGATTAATTTCCAATTTGATAGTATCAAGTCAAACTAAGAAACAGAAACTTTGTAGCCCAGTGCT